GTTTTATATAGTGGTTTAAAAAGTCGTAGCTCTTAGCGATGGCATGGAACCCATGTCATAAGCCCTACATATATATATTTTTGGACATTATTAAACGTTTCCAAGCAGACGTATTCCTGGCACACACTGGCCGAAAAGCTGGGGTTCGCCACTGCTATATTCCTCTACGTTGGTGCCTTTTGTTACACAGCTCTTGTGTTTGATTTTGTTACGGTTAAGTTGCGATTGGAGTGTCATTTCACCCAAAGCTGTCCAGGGTTGAGCCCCGGGAAGAAAGAAAAAAAATCCACAGCCGCTGTCAGGAAAGTGTTGAGAGGGGTTGTAGGTTCGGAAGATTGGCGGTCCCTGGAAAATATTCGATAGTAAATTGAGCCTTGCGATGCAGTTCTGAGCAGTGCCCTTCAATACAACTGCCTTGCGTTGTGTCTATACAAGTAAACAATGTCCGACGGCGAGAACAATCAGATCTACGGTGAGCTAATCGCTATATTAATGAAGAAATTATGCTCGTACTTTACTCCCATTTAACATTGATGCTGGAGTGAAAAAAAGCCTTGCTATTTGAAATCGGTTAACTCCCTGCGTGGCCATTACAAGCATTGCTCGACTAAATACCGAGTTTCTATAACCGGTGGCTTTCTCTCTGGTCCCAATGAGACGTCGTGTGTCAATACTTGAAAGTCGTAGTACCTCTCTGTGATGCAAGACACGCGTTACAAAGACAAAGACCCCCCGTGTAGCCTTACCAGTCTGTTGGGGGCAAGTGCTGTCGGCGAGTAGCACATATGAAGGCCGGCACGGCACACGCGTCACGGACACAAGACATTGCAGTACATTATTTATCAATCGTGACACCATCGTATCCCAAGTGCATGTCATTTGCAGGATTTATACGTTGTTACCTCCAACAGGTTTTACAATTGAAAGTGTTCTTCAACTCGTGCCAGGGATGCACATAAACTACATCACACCGTGCACATACATTACTCGTTACATTACACACACACATCAGCGCTCTCCGACTCGAAATATATATTTGTGTACAAGATGGTTGCGGTATTTCTTCGGGTTATAAGACGCACGTTACCCCCTCTGTTTTAGTGCAAAAGTTGTGAGTGCGTCTTATAATTCGGTACGGGGTTGTCTTTGCGTGACAGCAGGGCACATTAAGCCTAGGGTGCGTCTTACCTTCCGGACAGTCTGATCATTGTGGATGACACGATAAAGAGGTCACCTCGAGGACACGTGCGTATACGAATACACACACGTACACACACACGTGTGTCAAAACTGCCCCACGGTCCACTCGCACACGTAATGAGTTCCACACGTGTGTTATCAGCAACACAATACAACCACATCCACGTTATGGCGCGCGTGGTATTACGATACGACAGTCCAGATTACAACAACATCGGAAGAACACACTCACCAGCTCACTTTTTTGGGAGGGGGCATGCGGAGTAGATGGCCGGTATGAATGCATTGTCTCTAAACAAAGGACGAGGGAGTGTGTGATTATTTAATTATATGTCTCAGATGAACACTTTCACACGCAGCCACATGGAGCGATGACCCCCTACCCACCCATCCATCCTCCCAAGTGGATGCCCGGCGAGAAACCGATGTTGGATATGAGCCACTTTACCCGTGTGGATGACCCGCCTCCTTGTGCCCAAATCCTGGCATTTCATTGCTGTGGTGCCGAGTTCGGGGGTCTTGTTGTTGCGAGCTGGGATGGCAACGAGAGGGGACTATTAAAACAAATGGGACCTTTTTGCCCGTATCGAAGTATGAAAAAATAAGAGTCGAAAAAAATGGTAAAAACTATTGTTATTTTTTCATACTAGAGGGGTTAGGCGACTCATAAAAATGATGATGCAGGGAGCAATGCTGAGGTCAACATCTGCCCCGGATGTTCCCATCGGCCTCTTTTCTTGGCTTTGCAGACCAATATTATCGAGAATGTGTGCGTATATATGTTGAACTTATTTCGCACAGTACGCAGACAACCGTGCTAATTGTTAAAGCAAGCGAATTCTGGACCTGTTTCAAAACGTTCTTGCTTGAACGAATGCTGCTGGATAATATTGGTCTTAAAAGTGTATAGGAGTAATTAAAACTACATATGTTGAGACACACAACGGATTTCTGCTTGTATATGCTCTTGCCCATTATGCTCCACAGCAGTGCATTGGTTTGGATACAGGTTTTTAAGGAACTGTAAAGGAAAGTGAATGAGGAATGGAAAAATTCCAAAACGATGACAGGTTTCAGATTACAATGGTAGACTCTTGCCTACCAAGCTTGTTCAGTGCTTCAATTTGCTTCCTTGCAAGGAATCAACTCTGCATTAACCACACGTACTTGTGGCAGAACATGCAAACAAATATTCTCTGAGAAGATGCGCATTTTCTTTGAAACTAATTGGCCTACACCAGAGCATATTGTCCACAATGGAGATGGAGCGATAAACTCGGCCTCACGTGCAAGCTTACATCATAGGACCGGGTGATAGCAACGGCCTGGGGAGCCATTCACCCAGCAGTGGATTGATCACGGCTGCTGACGATACAGTGTATAGGTTAGAAATTGTACTTTAAGGTCAGCTGTTTTTTTGTGTTTCTATTCACAAGAGCTATGAGGCCTGCAGCACTCATCTCTGTTCATGTCTATGCGAATTGGGGGCGACACGACAAGGCTGGGGCGCCACGATATCTAGATGTTAACTACCTCGCCTGGTATGCAGGAGATAGTGGGTTTGATCCCGACCCTGACGCCTGTATATTTGGAGTTTGCATGTTTCGTTCTCAGTGGTCGCGTGGATTTTTCTCAGGGTCTTCCGATTTTTCCCTCCTCATTTAGAAACATGCGTTTTAGAGTATTTGGCTGCGATACATTTTCACACGATAAGCTCGTTCGTTGACCAATCATTTGTGGCCAGGTCGTTTATGAAAAGGAGCGACATAGCTCAGTGGGCCTTACCTGGTAAAAAAAAATAGTTTAGTTACTGTGGCAAAAGCCAGTCCCACCATAGGATGAGCACTGTTAACGTCCCAATTTGGTACGTACCCATGTCAATAACCCCATGAGGAATGAGTTTCCTCAACCCGACAGGGATTTGAACTCGCATCTTTATACGACCTCCAAGTGCCACTTAGCCAGATTGCATACAGCTGCATTGTAAATGATGAATTTCAATACCTGAACATTACAACTTCTTATGCACAGGTCAGATTACAGGTGCTACGCTATAATTAGCTGGCAATTACAGCAAATGGTGCACCGCAAGCATTGCCACAAATTGCTTTTGTATTGAGAAGCCCATCTGTGCAGTACTGTAATTATGTTAGGAGCTGAAGTGGCCGAGGAGCAGATGCATTGTCACTGTTAGCGCTGTATTAACTTAAGCCACGTGATTACACTCCTTACCAGACCAGATGGCAAATGATAGTAAAAAGTCTTCAATTTCAGTGCAACTATCTCATTACCCAGCTACACTCAAGTGCAGCGTGGTATGTTTACAGCACAAGTTATTAGTCCAACGTTCGTAAAGTGATTCTAATGTAGAGCCCTTAGTCAATCCGTGCTGGATGAGGGCCTCCCCATTCTGTGTAGGTCGTGGGGGGGTGTATGACCATGCTTCACCATACTAGTCTGTGCGGGTTGATGAATTGCCTCAAAATGAAAATCCTTTCTTCGGCACAAAACAACTATACAATACTTATGAAGCACCTGTGTACAGAAAAATCAACGTTAAAGCAAGTGCAATAGTTTTAATGTAATTACATTGTAACGCGACTGTGTCAGAAATGTAATCGTTGAATAATAGGCACATTCACTTGTGAAATTTTCAATCTATTTAGTTGAAGGGCAGGTCGCGCTTGGTGGGGATGAGCATGCCTCCTCCCACCACTTCGAAAATGCCTGGACAGCGGGGACAAGCAGGCCAAAATTCTCTCGAGTGAGGCCCTCCTACCAGCTGCGGCGTGAGCAATTGCAGGCCTGCGCCGTTACCACTTTGAAAACCATGTGGGTGGAAAATTACGTCGACAAAAAAAGTACAGTCGTTTTTATTAAAAAAAAACATTTGTGTCGATTTTAAATCAGGCTTCATGCATCCATTGCCTAAGGCACCTTAAGGACAGATCTGCCAAAAGGGTTTGATTGGGCCTGGCAGTGGGCTCAGCGAGGTAGGCCATAGCTCCTTCACGAAGCAGGAAGCACAGGGAAGTCCCCAGGTGCGGGCACGAGGTCTCGGGGTGACGGGAATTATTACGGCTGCGTTAAAAAGTGTGGCCCCTCTGGGACGCACGTGCTGGTAGGCAGGCGCTGCGGGAGAACTTGATTTCCCCGCAGATCTGGACGGAAGCGCACTTTGTTAAGTAAAGCAAGTTTTAAACTAATAATACGCGACTTGGGTAGCGTTCGCCGCTGCCAAGCATAGTCAAACGTAAGTCGAGCTGCTCCGCTCTGCCCCCGACTCTACAAATGTCTTGCCACATTCCATTGGCATCTCGGTAATAATAACCCTTTCAGGTGTTGACACGGTTATTAAAAGCGAGACTTTACTGCTGCTGCTGGGAAGGCCTCAGCAGGCTAAGCCAATGTATCGGTGAACTCGACCAGCATCAATGAGATGAGCTTATAACATTTCACAAATCTAAACTATTTTTCGGTAAATGAGTTTGCAAGTAGGTTAGTAATTGATCAATTTTACACCTCTTTGGCTGAAAATATGCAGAAAAGCTACATTTTCCTCTTGAAAATAGCAATATCCTGCTTATATATTGATTTTCTCTAAGTTATTCAACTAAGATCATAGGCAAATTGTTGGCAGTAGATAGAAAAATGTAGATAGGACAATACCATGTAACCCTGCATTGATGGTACAGTTTAAACAAAATACTGTTCCGATAAATAATTTTGTAAATTTGTAACAGAATATACAGAATTGAGGCTCTACGAAAGTTAGGTATATAAATCACTCGGAAAAAAACACGAGGTATTAAAATTTTATTTGACATTTTACAAATGAAAGCAAATACATATATGACACAAGTGGACTAATTTATACATGATTTAATTAATCTATACATAAGCAATTCAGGGACTTTCACAACAGCAAATATTAGCGTGATGTATTGAAAGACTGTAGAGAGAATAGTCTGCAGCTTCTGAATATTTCCTCTTGGCAACGTCCATTCTCCACTGGGGCCCAGGCTCCATGAAAAACTCAAAATAAATCATCGAATCTGGAGGGGGCAAAGAGAGTATGTTAAAACACGAACATAATTTACTATGTGCTTAATTATCTGCGAACGAAAAGTGTCACATTGAATCATTACTCTTTTACAAAAAAAACCTCACGTTTGGCAGGATGCCAATGAGTGCAATACCAGGGTAACACTCTTCATTCAAACTCCAATCTCGGTGAAAGTGAAAATGTCTGGCATAAATGGCAGTGATGCATTTGCTGCTTTGTGAACAAGCTGTGCTACTTTGGCTGCATTTGGTTTCTGGAAGTGTCGCAGTATTTATGGTCAAAGAACCCTGGGTGGTGAACTGGCAGCAATGAAGCATTGTATTTCTCTGCAGCACATCAGGGAAGTTTTTTACATCCAAAGGTGCTAATTATTGTAATGTTTTGTACGTGCAATAATTAAGTTTTCCATGCCAGCCACAAGCCCTGTAATTCCATTGAGACATACACTAGTATACATTTGAATAAGGCTTACTTTCCAAAGTTCCCACATAAACCAGGTCCTTGCTTCAGTTTGCAATACAATTTCATTAAATTATTTAAAATCATAACATTTGAGACTGCTCCTGTCCATGACCAAATCACCCGGAATGCACCAGTTATCATCAGATATCAGAAGCAAAGCAGCAGTCTTCAGCCTGAGATGGTGCTTGGATGGTCAGACAATATGCATGACATATTTTACAGGCTGCTAAGGAGTCACATTGTCAGCAGAGGGCAGTGCAGCAAAATCCATTGTTACACTGTACTGTATTCAAAGGTCTATGCTCCCTGTCAGCATTCACCAACCAGCATTAACCAACATGGTGAAGTATGGTTAAATAACCCCCACGGCCTGGAGAGGACCTCATCCAACAGTGGCATGACAAAAGGGCTGTCGATATAAATGACACTGCGCTTGTAATCCATGCAGAAATTGAACTGTGTATTTTTGCACGCATTGACGACCAACATAAAAGTGCAATATAAGGTACTGTATGTTTGTATCTGGAAATGCATTTGGGCAGGTATCGAACACAATGCAGATTTTAGTAAGGCAGTTCTTGCCAAACCCATTCGTCAACAGATTACATCCCTGTTGCTCCGAGGACCTCTACAGCTCTGTAGGTGAACAGCGGAGGGGGGGGGGGGCAAAGAGGTAGGGGCTCTGTGCAGTGTATGAAGTCCAACTCACCGTGTACTTGTCCCACTTCTTCTCGGGGTCATATGGCTCCCAACGGCTCGCCGGGAAAATGTGCTTGTTCTTCTCGTACCAGCAGCGCAGGACCACTTTGCCTGCATGAGACTGGGAAAACAAGTATAATCATCACCCGTATGTATGTAGAACTTCTTTCGCACCGTATGTAGCCAACCGTGCTAATCGGAGGTTTGTATAATTAAGCATTGACATTTAATACTAAATAACGATTTTAATTCTAAATCCAGAAGTCTGTCAACATTTTTTCTAAGGAGGTGTTTTTCTTGGGATATTTACCAAATTGAGCAGTTTTGTTTGGGAATAAATAGAGAACTATCTTCAAGTAACTAGAGAAAAAGTTCATTATTCAGTTATTCCTCTTATTTATATGCACGTGTATGTTTTGATTAAAGTTTCATGTATTTTGTTCAATAAAATGTCGATAAGACTCTTGAGTATTGTATGCGTGTGCTGCATCTTCCAAGATTACATTACACAAAGGTGACCACGATGTTAATGCCGAGTCGCTGAATGGAAATCACCATCGCTTACCTCATCCTTCTCCACCGTGGCATCGTTGAACAACCGAATGTCATCGTGAACATCAAAACTGAAGAGCGGACCTGTACACAGGGACAGACAAAAATGTATACAATGAACGCTTCAAATTAAGATTCCAGTTTCAGACCTTGCACATTCAGCCCCTTTGTCAAACCACTGCTGGATAAGGGCCTCCCCCACCTTCCATCCAATCACTATGTAGGTTCTACCCTCTTTAGCTTCTGAATATTACATTGGGTGCATTTACAGGTCATTTTATTAGTCAGTGGATGTGAAATTTTGAAATCTTACACCAAATTGATGCTGCATTAATTTTTCTGCTATAATTGTAATTTTCTGTAACTACAAACAGTTCCATTGAGCAGTGCTCATGCTACTATATAAAAATATAAAAGGGGCAGTGTACCAATGGACGTTGGATGCAATTAGTTTTTCAGTCATGAAACGATGACACTGACAGGTGCGCAAGCATGGAAATATATGGTCAGCCAGCCAAACAATTGCAAAGTCTTAATACCCAAAGGCTAGTTGGAATGGGGAAATTGGTATTGAATCATAAGGGACTCTCATCTTATTAAACTACAAAATCAATCAGTTCACAATACTTGACGAAAGGCAGGACACAATGTCCTCATTATCACTAAAACATACCAGATTATTAATGGCCAGGTCACAAGCATCTGCCCATTTTATATAATTCAGGAAAAAAATGCTGGGTGACAATAGTAATTAGGGCCAAAACATTCCCCAACTAATTTATAAAATTTGACTTCACATTGTGTAGATGTTACAAAACACATGCTTACGTAACCAAAAATCTCTGTAGGGTATCAGTGAATGATGCCAATTGTAAGAATATTGCCTGGACTGGAAAGAGGCCAAAACTTCTTAGTGTGGCAATTATGCATGAGGCGACGGAACTCCCATAAGGATTTTACTGCAGCGGCACAAGTGTGGCACACACAAACACAAAGTTTGTGCACTTACCACTCTTGCCCCTGGCTTTAGTCACGATGAAATCGTAAAAGGAATAATGCTGTAAACAGAAGCACAAAGACACTCAAATTAAGACCCTCAAAAACATCAACTCGTCATGCTTGAGAATACCAAAAAAAATGAGAAATTGGCCAAGGAATGGGAAATATTAACGAAAAGGTCCCCCACTACCAGTCAACAAATTATCACACCACAGGTTTGCACAAATGCAGCAATGTGATAATAAATGCACTGCTGTGACATACGTATCTCAAATACTAGAAAACACATTAAGTATTCATAGAAAGTCGATTTCACACCCTTCGCAAGTACATTCATTGACTGAAACTGTGGACTTTTTAAATTAGCACTTTTGTTATTTATGTTTTGTGCATCTTTATTATGGACCGAGTTTTTTGTTTTAATGATGTCAGCTAATCAAGTAAATGCCATTTTATGTGCAACAGTGAAGCGCATTGTATTTAAAGCCATAGAGCCATGTTGCTTGACATTATGGCTTCTTAGAACTTTTAAGAGTGCGTTTGATAGAATTAGTTATTGCCAAACTTTTAGCTCACATTACAATATTGCTGCTCGATCTTGTCTTCAAGGCTAGGGATAAATAATTTTATAGCAATAATCACACGGACTTGAAAATAGAAGAGCCATTTTATAACATTTTAATGTGCACTGTATTTCATCCAGCCTTTAAACAAACTGCTTACAATATAATGTAACCAGTCTGCATAACAGATTTGGATTCAGGTAGTTGGTTTCAAACTACATATTTAATTTCAGTAAAATAAAATCTTGTTTTTTTAAAAAGATACTTTTGCAATAAAACATAATTATTAAGCAAGGCACCTTGCATTCATCAATTCCCTTGTCACTGCAGGTTATAAACAATATTCTCGTCTCAGGGACAGATGGTTCTGTTGCTGGTTGATTAATGTTACTTGGGAATAATTAGTGTTACAGGCAAGCAGCACAGACCCATAACGCAAGTATGGGGGTCATTCAAGTTCACGGAGCATTATCGTCATCTAAGCATGGCTTATGTGTTTTCGTCCTTCATGATTCTTAATCAACATCCATCAGGTATTACTGCTGGATAATTAATTATCATGGTCAAACCCAGACAAGCTTGTCCTTAACAAATCAATTTTAATAAGGTATTCACATCTGCTTCGTGTGCCCTGCTTTGCTTACCCTGATCTGAACAGATGACAAGCATGACATTATGTAAAAAAAAAATCCACATCCAATTTGTCTATACAACATGCAAGCAATTGAGCAAGGTGAAGTAGACTGGAGTATCAAGGCTAATTATTTCCATAAAGAATAACTTCATCAGTTGATGACATAATAACCTAATACGGCAATGATATTTTACAGATGCACATTCAAGCTACATATGAAAGCAGATAAAACAAAAGCTGGTTTCAGTCGACAGCTACTATAATGCATTGTGTCACTGCCTGGATGGCTGTTAACATAATGGCTTTAAGTTTTGGCTCTCAATTTTTTATAAGCACCCAAGAAAATAATGCATTGTGAAATGAGTAAACAACCCAATTTCGTGCAAATGCTTTTAAAATAGGGCGCAGTATTTGTTTTACTACATCATTTAATTATGGTTGTAAACCTAATTAGAACAGCTTCATGTTTCACTGTGACTAATTGCAGCATGTAAAGTATGATGCTTAAACAATGTATGGTGCAGATCTGGCAAGGAAATTAAAACACAAAAAATTACAATAACATGATATGCCTGTTGAAAAGGTTGCTGTGCTTTTGCAGCTGCTTATGGGTATTTTTGCAGATGTAATCCTATACAATAACAAAGGACATACATGCTATACTCTTTGGTTCTTTCGGTAAAGTCACGTAGGTAGAAATAAAATAAAATAAATCACAACGTTTCGAGCGCAATACAAGCATCCGTCATCAGCAACAATTGCTGAAACAATTGCTTGTGTTGCGCCCGAAACGTCGTGATTTATTTTATTTTTACCTACGTGACTTTACCGAAAGAACCCAAGAGTATGGATTCCTGCAGTCACGAAAGCTTCAAATCAAGATTGACATAAATGCGAATTTGATTCGCATTGGAACCTGTGCCTGGGTGATACCCACATGGGGGATGATCAAATCCTCCTTGATATACATCAGCTGTTCCACTCCAGAAGTTCTAAACAATGGAACAAATCACATAACAAGAACATGAGATGCATAATTCAAGCTGTAGGGAATGCTGCACAATGCATACACATGAAAAGCCAACAAAGAGACATCCAATTGTAATAAAACGTTTAAAATATCAAAACAAGACAGACGTTAATCAATCACTGCAATGTATATGGGACCAATGCAGCTACTAAAAACCACATGGTAAACTCGAGTGATGATCCCTTGGTGAAATAGTTTGCGTAATCAAAAGCATCACCTGAGCTCACTGAAGTCCTTCCGCAGCATTTCTAGGCACTTCTGTAGGAACTGCTGGATGGTGTTTCCCTTCTTCATCTGTAAGTAAAACATGTGGCATTTGCACAGGATGGTGAAACCTTGCTATGTAATGACTACATTGAGTCTAGCTTGAAAAATCGTCACAAACTCATGAGATTTAATCCGCAATGCATTCACCAAAAAGGTCTTTCACTAAAAACATAGTCTATCATATGATATTTTACACCCATGTCAGACCATGAAAAAAATTACAATTAGTTTTTATTGGGATACAAATCACAGATTAAAAAAAAATAACTCTTAGCAGTGACATTTTTGTTGTAACACTGATCATAAACAATACAATTTTGTTCGAGTTTTATCATGGCTAAATCAAGGCAATGTTTCTATTCTGGTCTACTTATGGATAGTCCCAGGGAGCTTTGAATTACGGCCTTTTTTTCTGTGGTCTGGGTGCATTGCAAGTCCAGTGTGCCAAGTCTTTATTTCACTGATGTATCATTCTATGAGGAACAGATAAAAGCTACGTACCCGCACAGTCTTTCTGTGCCCAGAGCCATCCCAGTAACTGTAGGTGATTACGATCTCCTCGTCTAAGTGGATTAATACAAGTTAAAACGCAGAAAAACACTTCGCACCAGAATGTTATATTTTTTTAAACAAGCATAAATTCTACATCCTTAAATAAATGCACAACCTAAACAATGCAAAACAACTCAATTCCATGGTGCCAATATAACAACATAAGCAGTAATTATTATTCAAGTAAACAAAACATTTACCAAGTTATTGACAAGACAAAAAAAAACAATACAAAGAAGCCCTAAGAATCCAGGTATATGCTTTTGCTGGTGTTAGTCACCACTCACTTTTTATTTTCTCTTGCTGGCTCTCCCACTCCTGTCTCAGTTCTTCTCTTAATCTGTTGTCTTCCTCCTACGAAAAGTACAACAAGCACACAGCCAGGTTTAACAAAAGTCCATCGTAAATTAGAGAAGCATTCACTTGCGATTTAACAGTGGATAATCTGTTCCGTCAAGATTAACCTATACGTTGGGCTGATTATATTATAATAGATGTGTTGATACGGGTTTAAAGGAATGGTGGCAAGTGCTGTCTTGTTAAACTATGCCTTTAAAACTGAAAACTACTTACCTGCAGCACCTCTATTTAAATACATGATCGAAAAAATAATTGACACCCCTCTGTCAATCATCGTATTTCTCAGTGTGGATTTGTGAACACGCTTTGTAAACAGTACATAAAATAGGACATGTTTTCAATGCACTGTTCATATTGTAACAAGCGTTTATACTAATGTTACTCGACAGAGTAGTGGGTCGACGCTCCTCTTATCCGCATTGATACGAGCGGTATGTGGGGACTAAGGTTTTTTTGCGGTTAAGCCAATCTGCACAGATGCATACGGACAAGAGAAGAATCATCAAACAGGAGGAATTAACAGTGCAACGCATCGCATCTGTTAAATATCTGCAGGTAATAGGATAATCATCGATTGATCCTGGCTGCAGACATTGGTAGGTCACAAATAATGAAGATAAGAGAGCGGTTTCACTGTATTATGCATACCATTATGACAAATAAAGGACTTAAGTCGTGTAGGCAGTTTGAGCAGCTTTGGATAAGATTTATGATCCTGCCCATATCCGAGCATGGAGTGCATTCACTTGTCCAGCTCTTCTGCGCATTCGTCCTCGCTGCGCTTGGATGACATGACAACAGAATGATTCGCGCCAGGTGGGTCGGGGCATTTAATGTGCGCGGTGGGATGGAGTCGCCAAAAATAAATAAATTAAGATTTTGACTTCCGTTTATTCGGGACCCTGGGGTCCTGTCGTAAGGTTCATATGCAGGCTTTGCCAATAGTGGATGAGGGGCCTATCCATGCCATGCAAGTCATGGGGGTCATTTGACCATACATCAGAATACTGGTCAGAGCAGGCATGTGAAGACAGAGGATTGATGTGGGAACGAGTACACTACAATGTATATCAACTCCAGTTGTCGCCTGATGAGGCTGGTTATAATTACCGGCGAAACGTTGTACCCAAATTGTAAATGTTGTAGGTTTACTCTCCAACACACCGGTGTGCTGAACTAGTAACGAATTGGCACGTTTTATTTACTTAACAAACCTTACTATTTGTCTGTGTCCGGTGGTGGCAGGTTTAACGACACATACTTGCGCGATCTAACAAAAAAAACCTATTACGGACAATGGATATTGCTGAGCTGCCCTCTGCAAGGTGGTTGCCCATCCAAGAACTATCCAGGCACAAATTTGCTGAGCTCTGATGAAATCAGAAGCATAATCAATGACCTGAGCATAGGTGAAATCATTATATAAAACGCTAAAATAATATGCCTGCAAGAAGCTCTAACTCTTTTCGATTTTTTTAAGAAACCCATACTCCTGCTTAAAGTACAGCATTGGAAATGAATGGAGGCATATAATAGGTTTGCATGGCAGAAGATGGTTAAGACAAGCTATTATCAACACTGACCTCCCTGCCCCGGTCCGGAAGAAAGCTGGTGTCCACATCTGGATTTTTTCCAATTTTTTTCTTTTTCACCGGGTACTCGATTTCTAAAACGAAATATGCAGTCAGCAACATCCAAATTACGGAAGCATCAAAAGTGAGTGGATACACATTTCAAACATTACAATGCACATTCGTGGGTATTTCGGAAGCAGGCGACAGTGTAACAAGATAAAAAAAAGATAACCTCTTTTACAAGGGTGCCCGAGGCTAAAGGTGTCAAGTTTTTCACCAGACAGACCTTCATCAGAGAGGCTGCTGTTGTAGTCTTCATCGTCTTCCTCGCAATCGTTCAGACTGAACGACAAGCTGGCGATCTTTCTCTTCTGCTCCATCTTCTTTTCCTTCTCACGCTGCAGCTCCTGCTTCCTGCATTGATGGTAATGATTCAGCATCGGCTTTTTGCACAGGAAGCACTTCCATCATGCTAATATCTCACAAATAATTTATGCAATGCAAACTCTGCAATGTTGAAAGCAGGTAGGGAGGATCAGGGTAGCAATAAAGGACTTAAGCAAAAATTAACTGGCATTGGCTCTTTAGCATCTCCGTTCTCCTAACCCTAAAACTCTCGACTCCACGTGATTACATATTGTTAAAGTATGAAAAGAAAATCTACATCATGGGACCTCAAACGGTCTTAGACCAGAGGATGCCAAAACACCATTTTAAACGACAATGCATATATTATCAGAGTATGTTTTTTGTTTGCATTCTGACCACAAGCAGTGTTTAATGCAGATATGATTCCTTATAAAAAGGTTTCAGTTTGGTGTTTTAACATCTTAACACGTGTTTTGTTGCCAGAAAAAGGGGAAAAACCTATTATCAAGAAAATCTACTTTAAGTTCATCCTGCACTGGTGGTAGGGGGTTCATGATGGGGGCTTTAATGTTGAGTACTTTGTGTTTAGGTAACACTTCACATAAACTAACTTGAGAGCAACTTGCAAAAATATTGCCAGAAGAGACTATGGTGGTGACGTCTCTTTGGCAACTGTACCGCAAGTGTGGGAATGTGCACAATTCATCCGCATCTGCACTCACAGCAGTAGTTCCTTGCTAAGCTCCTTCTTGGCGAGCTGCTTCTCACGTTCTTTCACAAGCGCTTCCTGTCTCGCCTTCATGTCATTCAGGGTCACCAGACCTGTGCAAGTGGCAGGAAAGATGGTGAAAAGAAAAATCTAAGAATTGTTCGGTACACTAACACACAACATTGCTCAGAAACTTACACTGTGATGTTTCATTAGGACTTAATTGCTGAACGACGCAAGTTGGCGTGAATTTTTCTATTAAACTTCAGATACCAATAACTTGTACATTTTAATTATATAATTGTTTATACCAAGTTATAGCCATAAAGCACGTGCATGTTTTTTTATCAATGATGTAATAACAACTGATGCGATAGTGCTTACCCACTGTACTTGACTTGAGTTCTGCTTCCACTGCATCATAATGTGCTGAGAATTTTCTGTCAATGTTGGACTTGGCCAAGTTTTCCTGACAAGAACAATGATACATTTGTTAAAACAGATTTGTGTTTTCATTAACCCCAAATGCAACACCACTATTTTTGTTTGTCATCCAAAGAAAGGCAAAGCTATATGCTCATTACAACATGTTTACATTCTTATTGCATATGATTTTCCAATGGTATATCTGGCTTCTACTGCAGGAATGTGGAATTAACAACTTTGGTTCAGGGCTGTACAATTCTATAACCATTGAAACATCGTTATAGCAAGGACACTTCGGCTGTTGACTTTAATTTATCAGCGACAATAACCACAGGAACAGCACAGTTTCGCCATTTAACACGATTCAACTTAAAATAATTCGTGTAAAACTGTATTAGACTTCCTCTCAGAATCCACATACTGTACATGTACGGCCCTTATAAATCTACTGCTGAATGAAGACCTCCCCACACAATGCAGGTCGTGGGGGTTATACCACCATACTTCACCTCGCTGGTCAGTGCAAGAGAGTTGGTAACGGGAACATAGACATGGAACCATCTAGTACAACAGTGCAATCTGATGTACTGCCCTCTACTGACCACCACGTCGCCTCGAGTATCTCCGATACAAAACATTAGTGTATTCATTGCGTAAGTTCTCTTCATCTAATGCGTATTAGATAACCTTCGCATCACTACACGGCGCATAATTGCACTGCCTTTTATTAAGGGTCAATATGTAAACGTATCGCAGTAACTAAACAAACGAGCTTATTCTACACAAGACGGCGTTCAACACATTCGATTACAAGTCAAAAGAATACGTTTCCACTTCAACAAAAATGAACCACGTTACGTGACATTAACGTTTAACGGTAATGTTTACATTGTTTCCCGAACTTCCCACATGCCCCCCACACCCACGTCACGAGCCCGGGGTCATGTGTCTCCCGGCCGGGGGGGGGAATTAGGAAACGCATCGGGCATAGCAAAGGCCTACTCACCTCGGCGATCCTTATCTTTAGCGCTTCGAGCTGCTCCTTCTGCTGCTCGCGCTTCTTCATCAGCTGCATGGCCCTGCCAGCCTCGCTGGCGGCTCCCTTGTACTGCGCCATGTCGGGGGACTGAGCGAGTGAGGCTGCTAACGCGACCAAGAGAGACCGCGACGAGACAACGCCGCCGCCGCCGCTGCTGCCGAACAATGGCCGCCTTAACCGCGACCGCCGGCTCGACGCGCTCGCTCTGCGCATGCGCGCGGAGTTGTTGAATCTCTCCACGTGGGAACGCCTCACGACTAGTCCCTCACGTGACCACCTGGGGTGACAATGCCACTGGGTAGGGGTGACAATGCCACTGGGTAGTGTCCACCACCGTGGGTAGTGTCCACCACCGTGGGTAGTGTCCACCACCGTGGGTAGTGTCCACCTTGGTTATTGTTCACTACGGGCAGTGTCCACCACCGTGGGTAGTGTCCACCACCGTGGGTAGTGTCCACCACCGTGGGGAGTGTCCACCTTGAGTATTGTCCACCACGGGTAGTGTCCACCACCGTGGGTAGTGTCCACCACCGTGGGTAGTGTCCACCTTGGTTATTGTTCACTACGGGCAGTGTCCACCACCATGGGTAGTGTTCACCACCACCACGGGTAGTGTCCACCACCTTGGGTATTGTCCACTACGGGCAGTATCCACCATGGGTAGTGTCCACCACCATGGAGAGTGTCCACCTTGAGTATTGTCCACCACGGGTAGTGTCCACCACCATGGGTAGTGTCTACCACGGGTAGTGTCCACCACCATATGTAGTGTCCACCAAGGGTAGTGTCTACCACGGGCAGTGTCCACCATGAGTGGTGTCCACCATCAGCAGTGTCCACCATGGGTAGTGTCCACCTTAGGTAGTGTCAACCATGGGCAGTGTCCACCATGAGAAGTGTCCACCATGGCTAGTGTCCACCTTGGTTAGTCCACCATGGGTAGTGTCCACCATGGGCAGTGTCTACCAAGGGCAGTGTCCACCATGGGTATTTCCACTACGGGCAGTGTCCACCACGAGCAGTGTCCACCATGGGTAGTGTCCACCTTGGGTAGTCAACCATGGGCAGTGTCCACCATGGGCAGTGTCCACCATGGGCAGTGTCCACCATGGGCAGTGTCCACGATGAGCAGTATCTACCTTGGGTAGTGTCCACCTTGGGCAGTGTCCACCGTGGGCAGTGCCCACCTTGGGCAGAGTTCACCATGGACAATATGCACCAAGGGCAGAAGCTTAGCGTATCTTATGTTTCACACCCCTATCCATCCCTCAATTATTGAACTCAATACAGTATTCCGATGGTCCTATGAATAGCTTTAGGCCTAAATCATGCGAAGTAGACGTGGCCAAGCAAAACAAGTCCCGAAACAGTATTCCGCACAGATGGAATACAGATGGAAATCCATGCACTTACTGTACTGTTATACCCTGGCAAGCCAGATGATGGGAGTTTAACGAATTTATGTGAAGGCCTCGTCATACCATATTGATGATCAGTATTATGTGAGCATACTTCAGGATGATCAGTGCAGGTTAGTGATGGGGTGGGCATGTTTTGTCTTATGCTTATACGGTAAAGTAATTTGCGTATCCTGCGTTGAGCATTTTTTTTGTTTCACAACATTCCCTAAGTCAACGTGAACCTATACAAATGGCACGTTTAACCTCATGGGTGCAGCTGAACAAACGTATATAAGGCACTGTAGATGCATAGCTTCAAGAACAACACTGAAGCCCATTACTTCAGATTTAGTAGTGGGACAACGCTGACGATGCAAGGGGTATTCAAGAAGTTCAACATACATACAATGTGTGGAGACCTCACTAAAGTGATCGCGCTTGTAATGGAAGCGTGATGCTTTTAGTGGGGTATCTGTACATGAAAAAAAAGAAATGAACACACATCATATTTGATGTCAAATACGTTAATAAGAACGTGCAGTGCAGTTTAAACATTCATGCAACTATATTTAGGAAAACGTATTTTGAATTGTCAAGTAACAAAAACATGACAGCACAATAATCGAAATTAAAAGACAATACCGTACTGTTATCAGAGCTCTTTAAACTAAATATCAATACTACATCAACTATAGAATTCCATCACAATGACAAAAAATCTATTAAAAACAGTATCTCCACCTGCTTATTAAGCGCACAAAATAACATATACAATACCGTACGAAGAAATATAACGCCGTTCTTTTTCGTAATACTTAATGCACGATAGTTTATCTTCATTAATAACCAGATAGGTGAATTATTTGTGATGTTTTCTGGTCCATGGGTTAAAAAAAAAGACCGTGCACATCCAAAGATCACAATATCCCGCTGCGACAGGTCTACAGTACCCGGTACGAGCAGCTCCAGCCAGATCTGTCCGCAATTTTCCGGATGCCGCAAGTGTACAATGCTATATAGTTGGGGGCCTATTCATGTGTCACAGATGAACGCACGATAGACACAATATATATAAACTCCAGCTACCGTGGCAGGTGTTTGGGCTTTGCGAGAGGAGGAGAGCAGAGGAAAAGCTTTTGGCTGGCACGAGAGCAACATTTTTTTTTTGTGTGCTGTGATCAGCGTCATTTATAGGTGAGCTTGAGGGCATCAAAGTGCTTTGCAATGCGTGCGTCTTCATGTGAATGTAATGTAGATGTAATATCAATCATAAGCGAAATGTACGTTTTTCTTTAATTATGTTACGGTATAAATAAAGACACACACGTTGTTTTCAAAGTGATTCCCCCCCCCCCCCCCCATTGATATAGATGATACAACGTGTAAAGGATTGTGATTTGCATTTATTGATAGCTTAAATGCTACCAAATCTCAAAGTGCTAAAATGTAATGTGTGCTAAATATAACTTGTGAAATCATTGCATAGCAGATTAAAGCCCATTCATAATAATTAAATTTAATGTAATGATGAAAATATTGCAAGAGTGACAATTCAATTTTGTTCATTTCAGGTCATTTTGTTCATCAATCCCTCCCCCCCTCCCCCTGCGCATACCGTTGGCATCGTGTGTCAACATAAAATGTTGTGCACAGTTTTCCTTGCGTCAACGTTTCTCATCATCCTAACGGAGACCTCCGGGGCGGTTATCAAGCCAGGGTCCATCCCAGCAAATGGCGAGGTGCCCAGCAGAAGACGTCTTCTCTCTGTGGTCCGGCGATCTCCTCAACTCACCCAGAGCCACATGTGGCCACTTATCTGCGCCATTGTCTCTTCCAGTGTTCAAATGGAGGATCTCAAGCGTTTAGCTAGAGCCACGATGAGGCAGGCAACTGCTCAGATTTCTCCATTAAATGCGGCCGTTCTGACAGCTGAACTCTTGAAATGGGCATCGGCTCACAAGGACATCACCATTCACCTCGACCTGATGAATGTATTGGACGCAAAGTCAAGGCTTTATATGTTTTACATAAGGGAATTGTGTCAGCTCGATGATGCAATCTCTCGAAGGCACAACGGGCGTGGTGATGTTGGTGGCAATGGTGCAAGCACTGGACGTGCAATTGGTGATGAAGGCCGTGGCAACTTGAGGATGCCAAGAAGGACCCGTGGCCTACGGGCCGCGCGAGACTGTGTAGGTCAATATGAAGGTGCAACGGGAGGTGGGATCGGTGGAGGCCTCGGCAGCTTGAAGATTAGGAGAACCCGAGATGCACGACCCGCACATGTGCATCACCGAGGGCCGACCATCTCGCTGTCCCTGGACGTTCCGACGCGAGTCTATGGCATCCTCAATGACTTGGCAAGGGCTGCCCATAGCCAGCGAGCACAAGCTGCTTCCAACGCGAAAATTATGGCGAGGGTTGGCAGGAAAAAATAAATAAGTAATGAATTTTGGTTTAGGCCAATTGAATGGTGTCCGAAAAGTAGTCTCTTGTTGAAAGTGAGCGATTTATCTGGATGAAAAAGAGATTTATTAATTTAATTATGTTTTGCCATTTGTGACGAGTTGAAATGTTAAAACAAACTATCAAAAGTGGATTGTAATGTCTGGTTTTCAGGATACACTCTCTATTGTCCAGAGAGTAACTCCTTGCACTGTTATAAGACACCAAAGTTAAGTTCTATGTGTAATAAGAATACAACGGAACCTGCATACTGCCCAACCATACCGATTTAAGAGGTAGGCTGCCAATTTTTAAACCCTTTTACCGAAAAAGAACTCTTTCGATTTAAAGCGTTCGTGACTGCAAGGATTAACCTTCTTTGGTTCTTTCGGTAAAGTCACGTAGAATGAGAATTTTATTGTGTCATTTTATTATTTTATTCTCATTCTACGTGACTTTACCGAAAGAACCAAAGAAGACGAAAAAGAACTGTCCAAACTAATCATACCACTGTGTTAAAAAATATAATTTGTCTGACAATTTTTGCTTTAAATATCAGCATGCAGAAAAATGGGTTTAAAAATGGGTAGTCTAACGCTTACATCGGTCTAGTTAGGAAATGTGATGTCATGGTGACAGGGTCTTGTCCATGCTTTATGAACGATGCACGCAATGGTTATGTATGTATTCTGAAATAAATGGTAGCTGGTATAACCTGCTTAAAGGAGAACCATGCGAGGGGTAGTCATAGTGTGTTTAAATACTCTTTTAACGGGTCACACAAAACCAATTATGTTGAAGCCCTACTTTTATGCGCTTGCCATTAAAGTATTTAAATGAGGGTTTTGGTTTAATTCAGGGGCTATTGCAATGATTGATGGTACTGTATGCACCAAAAAATAAAGTGATGTGCATTACATTGTGTGACTGTGGTTATTATTTCCTGCACCTCCGATTAGCACAGCAACATACAGCACGGTGTTTTACTTAAGGATTTGGAGTAACTTTTCGAGGCTGTATGCAATGGAGTACATTACATTAAAAAAACTAATAATTTACAGCCCTTTGTTATTCCATCACTCGATAAAGACCTCCCCATGCCATATTAGTCAAAGGGTTTCCGAGGACCGATTCAGACATCAGTCACCAAGAATATTATCTGTCATCAGGAATTGAACTCAACTCGACAAGTTTACTGTGCAGTGCGCTAACCACTGCATCCTGTATATTATAGGTACTTTCGGTAAAGTCACGTAGAAGGGAAACAATAAAATAATACAAATCTAAAACAATAATATAATATAAAACAATATAAAACAATAAAATTCACTGCATCCTGTTTATCGCACATTACTACGCCTTCACCTTATAACCACATATATAAGAAAAAAATCTACTCTACATTTTTTCAATTGTATTTATTAACTTTGAACAAATAATTACGCCTGTATTAAGACACTACCACACAAAAACGACTATGCTTCAACCCATTTAACCGCGTCTCCTATTACCCCTAGGAGTCGTTGGGGCCACAAAAACTATATCATTAGGCCTATTTCTTCTTACTATCTGCAAGTCACCCTATTTTTATAATTTAATATTTTGTTGTAAAAGTTGCTGAGCAGAGGCCCAAAGACCTAAAACCCATAGCGGTCTACATCTCAGAAACCAATTATGGTAAGTGGCTAAGTTACGAACAGCTGTGATCAAAAACCACCGAGACTGAATGCCAAAACAAAGATACCAGTTTGTCAACCTTCCCACAGCCCTCTTTTGTCTGGGAACCTCAACGAGGCATCAACACGGGGCAAAGAATCCCTTTCGGATTCATACAGCAGCTCAGGCGGTAGTGGTTATGGTACCTGCCCAGGTGATCTCAATCTTTATCATTAAATCTTTATTTTATGAGCCAATATCGCCCTCAATAAAGGAGGCATCGGCGCACATTACAACAGACAATAAAGATACGTCTTTGCCAAATTGCACCCTAAAGTGGGAGTCAAATCGCGAATGACTCTGCAGACAATAGGATGTTGCGATATTGGTTCGCCACATCGCCACGGTTAAGAGGAATTCTGAAAAGTTCGATACAGCTCAAGGGGAGGAATTTGTAAATTGTCAGATTATCACTGTGAACTGCAGAGGGCGGTGTAAGGCCGGTATGGTTGAAACACAATTTGTTTTTACTGTACAGTGATAATGCAATATGACCAAGCACAAACTTTTGCAAATCAGTGCCGTGTTTGCTTGCTTCGTGGCTTGCTTCGTGGCTTGCTGTCTTGTTCAGGCTAATTGTAAAAAGAGGGTATCTGTCAAATATTGTGACAACTTTACAAAAGAGACACCACGAATTAAAATTATCGTGTTTTTTTTTGTAATGCCTCAACTGCCAATTAGTGAATTGGGCCGTTCTCGCAATTCTATAAACCATTGCACATTAACGTCGCATCACTATAGATATACATTGCACTGAGGAATAATGTGACAATGGGTTACAGCCAATGCAATTGTGCGATGATTGGGGAGGCATTGAATTAATGACGTCAACTCCGTGGGTGAGGCCAAGGGGTCAGGGCACGTCGGAGGCAATCACGTGGTGGGTTAGAACTCATTTGCGGTGCCAGACTAGAGGATTTCCCCCCCTTCCCCCACAGGTAATAAACACGTGTTTTCTATGGGGGGTTTTGTGTGTGTGTTACAGGATAGTGTTTAGATAAAAGTGACTTTAAGAGTATTGTGTCTCAGGCTGCACTACCATTGAGGGAAAGAGAAAATATATATTGGAATTAGAATATTTATGTATATCCATAAGGTTTTTTGGGGGGTTTAGAGCGCTTAAACGTGTGTCGTTAAACCCGCCACCACCCGACACAGCCAATTAGTAAGGTTTGTCACGTAAACAAAACATGCCAATTAGTTACTAGTTCAGCACACCGGTGTGTCGGAGAGTGAACCCACAGATGTCGTTCTACTGGAGGGATTCCCTGAGCTATAAAGCTGTCTTTCATCGCAGTCCAGTAGGGGCAGGTCAGAACGTTACTATATATGCTAATAGTCCATAATTGCAACCTATTGAAATAAACTACATATAGGGCAAGATAGAAGTTAAAAAGGCAGAAACGTTGGGTTAAAACAAAAAAAATGTTCTATAATCTCGCCAAACAATTAAAAGATATCAGAGTACTGCATGTACACAGGGGGTAGTTAATTTAATGATCAATATTACTAAATAAATAGGTGCATGAGATCAGGTTAAGAAAATGTATTCATTATAATAATGCAACTAAATATATTAAACTACTGAAGCTTGGCTCTGCATCTCAGAGCCATGGTCATTCGTGTGCGTGAAATGTCTGCATTATAAAATAGCTTTGATTTAAAGCTTTCGTGACTGCAGGGATTCATATTCTTGGTTCTTTCGGTAAAGTCACGTAGAAGGGAAACAATAAAATAATAAAAATGTTTTATATTTTTTATTATGGATATTATTTTATTGTTTCCCTTCTACGTGACTTTACCGAAAGAACCAATAATATAAAATTGCTGTTTTCATTTCCAACGTACCATACTTATTTAGGCCATCCGAATTTTTATTGTTATTAAAACACGTGGACGAAACGATTATCGTATTTATTAAAATACGTGGCATGCATCATTATCCCACAAATCACCTTCATAAATGTAAAATGAAAGAAGACAAGCCACGTGAGTGCGATTGTGGCCACGCAAGCCAAACACTACGACTGTTGACCATCAAAACCACACCAAACCCATTCCTGAAGCCCTCTCGACTCTCACCGTGGCTGGTAAGACCTCGAAAATCGGGCTGTTGGCTCCTGAACACATTAACAAGTTACGCAATAATAACAACAACAACAAAGTACACAACACACAACACACACACCACGAGAGAAAGAAAGTGCATTTAGAGGATTTTTCACCCTCTGATCTCACAACAGATCGTGGGACACGGGGCTCACGCAGGGCCACTCCGGTCGAGCCACATGAGTGAGTGGGCGACCGAGGAAGCATCTCCATCAAAACCGCGCTCAACTCGGCCACGGACATTCACCACGCCCGCCACAATCGCGTCCCAACGATGGCGTTTATTGCCGCCACCGATGTATATCGATCTTCACACCACGTATAGCCCAGCTAAAGGCAAGGTGGCGAGGTGTACACCTCCCCCCCTCTCTCTTCCACAGTCGTTACCTGTCTGTACAGCAGCAGCACACTCTGTGTGTGTGTGTTGCGCGACATTCCGTAGGTTACACAGAGCATCGACAGTGTCGTCGTCGTTGTTAGTGCAGCGACAGTGTCGTCAATCGCAGCTTTGCCCCACTCGCGGACACATCGGCGGTGGTGCCCGTCAGGCTGTGAAGATGTCCGTGGCACCGGGAGGTGGAGGAGGAGGGCATGAGACGTCTTGGACCGTGGCGGATGATGTGCCGGGCGTCTTGCGGTCTTCCTCGGCTCGCGCGGACTCCTCTCGCCCTGCCTGGAGGCTATGGAAGCGGCGTGTCCGTGTCTACATGCTGGTGGCGTTCATCTGCCAGGGACCTGTCCTCGCTAAAGGTACTGCAGTCATCATGACAACTACCACCACCACCGTCATCGTCGTCGGCAATCGTCTATCCGCTGCTGGGGATGAAGGCCATCCATCATCAGCTTTGGTCCACTCATTACAGTACAACACTTTTTGTCTGGTCGTGTCTGTACGCCAATTAAATTAAAATTTTATAACTTCCCTGTTTGGGACAGAAGTCTCACTCAATAATGAAGCGTATAATGATGCAGTCATCTTTTTGTTTTAATCCACTGCTGGATAAAAGGTCTCCCCAAAGCCGTGTCTGTCAAGGGGTTCGGCGGGGGTGGGAGGGTTGTTTGACCATACTTCACCACCTTGGTCAATGCGGGTTACTTCACGTGTCAGGCCGGGAATCGAACTCAGGTGGCGGGGCTTCACAGTTCAGTGCCCACCACGGCCACCTTCCTCCGGTCACTCGCACTGCGCTCCCAAATTTGACATCCGTCAGCCGTGGGGGGCTCTATCCACTGCTGGTTGAAGGGCACCTCACAATCTCAAAGCTGTGAAGCAGTCCATTCTGCAGCCGATTTCGTCGCTCCATCTCCCGCAGCGGATGTACCCTAGGGGCCTCTTTCCCCTTTATTTACGGTGCCGTAGATGTTAACCTTAACCACGGCTGTTCATCGAATCGAGCGACGTGACCATGCCTTCTCTTGCCCACTTCGTAAACCCAGTTAGTAATGCTTGAGAGGCGCCTGTGTTATTACTAATCGCAGTACTGTGCTGGCGTTAATAGTACACCAAAGCTGCTAGTCTCAGACCAAAGCACAGCCGATGTATGTTGGAGCAGCAGTGATTTCACAATATCCCTGTTCCTAATTGCCTCGTGGATTGTTAATTGCCCCGTGTCGTTAAGGCATTCCCAATTACCCACTAATCGTGATTCCTCATTACACAGACAAGTCTCCTGCCTGGCGACAAAGCCCTTTTAATTATTTAGTGAGCAGCTGCTGAGAGAAAATATGGAACATGATGAAACGTCTGCAGTGTTTGTTCACTGTAGTGTGAGTAACATCTGCTGAGACAATTGGTGCCTGCTTGATTGGTAAGGGTCATGGCATTAAATCCTCATCGTCCAGCGAGCTGAAAAGTCTGTCTGGATTAGCTGCAAAACTAATAAAACCCTTTGTAACAACAACAAAACCCTGTGTATATATGTTACGTGTATCAGTGTGTTGGGCTTTCTGTAATAACATTACACACTGTCTCGGCAGATGTTCTGTATACATGTATTCTAAATAGAGGACTTATTGTACAGTGTGTCCTGTTATAGTTCCTTTTTCACACTGGAATTGTGGCCATGCAACCCAAACTATGGACCATTTAGTAAGCATACTCTCTGGTTCTATTGGGTAAAGTCACGTAGATAAAAAATAAAATAACAAAAATCACGACGTTTCGGCCACAACACAAGCGGCCTTCATCAGGTGAAGGGACGAGACTGTCTGGAGGACAGCGCTACGTCACTTTACCCAATAGAACCAGAGAGTATGGATCCTTGCAGTCACGAAAGCTTTAAACCCATTTAGTAAGCCACGATCGAATGCGCTTCTTCAACGGAGGAACAGCAAAACTATACGAACTTTATCCTGAAGCCCTCTCGTGGCTAACAGACATCGACATTGGAATTTAGTTCCTGAACATATTGCCATACGCAACAATAGAATGTCCCTGTTATCCATCACGCTAAGATTTTGATGGAAATTTTTATTAAAATGCACAGCTGAGGTGTTGTGGGAAAAAAAAACCCAAATGCACAAAATGGTCACAGAATAAATGTGGGTGGTGCCCCACCTGAATTTAAAAAAAATTGAATTTGTTGATATAAAAAGACGTTAAAATGGCTGTTTCAGAGTTTAAAAAGGGGGTTAAAATAAACAATGTTAATTTTGAAATTCTGCATTGATTATATCCAACCTCTCAACATGATTGTAACCGAATTGATAAAAAAAATAATTATAATATGGCAGTGTCGTATGAAAGCCAGCAATGGCCACAGTGGTGAAAAGCTGAAATTCACTTTGGACCGGGCGTGTGATGGCCCAACTCCAGCAACCAGCTTACCAGACAAATGCGTGGATGGTCAGTATCTTTGTTCAAACCTGCTGGGTAAGACATTACGGGGATGGCTAACTGTTGTAATATTTTACAGATACAGTATCTAATTTCAGTCCTTTTTATAAATCCACTGCAGGATGAATGCCTTTCTGTGCCGTGTTAGTCATGGGCTCTGTTTGACTATACTTCACCACGCTGGTCAGTGTGGGTTCGTGAAGGGTGAACCCAGGGCCAATTCAGATATTACTCCTTATTAATGTTAGCTGTGGCCAGGAATATAACTCAAGGTTCTAGATTTAATGTGTCATGTGTGAATCACTTGCCACCACCACCCCAGCCCTTTCACATACGATGCTATTGAGCATACACTGTGTGTATTACAGTTGCTCTGCATTTTATAGCACTTGCACTACATCCAGGTGCAATAGTTTTAAGGGGGACTGGGAGTCGGTTTGGAATGTGTGTATGTCAGATGGCATTGTTAAGGACCAGTGTGAGAGGTAATTGGGTAATGTGGTCAGAGCTCCACTACTTTATTGCCAGAGTCCCCTGAACGATGATATCTCTGTATTTTATCTTTAACTCCGTCTCTGATATCAGGGAGATGGAAAAAAAACGTTCTCAATAATAGACTAAAAGGAAATTCGTGCTTGGCAAAATAACCTTCCTGCTTATGTCCTTTTATTTAGACTTTTTTGCAAAGGAATGGAAGAAGTCTATGCACACATTTTCTTCAGTAAATATATAATATGGTTACATGTTTTTTTATTCCGATTTTTGTTACCGATATCATATCGTGAAAGCAGTGCAACTGTTTACGTGCATAGGATTGCCCACGAATGCAGATGTTACAAAGCTACCTCTGAGATCCTTTTAAGTGACCTCTGGTTCACATTGTAGGGAATCAGAAATTTCCCGACCACTGCATTCAAGTGATGTTCATTACATGACATTAAAACTCATGCTTTACATTTCTTACAGCTAATATTTTTGCCACATAAATTGGAGAACCATTTTGGACCGATTTTGACATACAGCATCTCATCAGCAGAGTCAGTCCTGCTTGAACCAATGTTGGTGAACTTCCAGATGTTAAGAGCCATGGGGCCCTTAACATCTGGAACTACCAGAGAGCTAATAGGTTGTGTAAATCATTTTATTTTGATGTGGAGAGACGACATTTATGAAGAGGACTTCTGCCTTTCTATATTGTATGGTAGTGTCGTTGTAGACAGCTGATGGGCAGATAATTAAATGCAGTATTGCCAACACTACAATACAGTACTTTACTGTATTAGTGCAGTGTATGTTGATAGAATGTGAATTTACAAACACAACTGACATATATATTTACTGTACTATACATTCAATAGATGTGTTTTTTGGCCACAATGGTTTTGTGGGTTTTTTTGCCTCTCGTGAACCTAATATTACGGAAAATGACCTGGGGGAATGAAGAGTGGCCAAGTACACAGTCGGAAGTCTTTGTTGCCTAACACGTGGCACACAGGCGGCATCTCTGGCAAGGGGAAGGTGTCACACTTAGGTTGAAGTCTTTGTACCAGGGTATTGGCCAAAAAATGTTGTAGCCAGGGAAAATAACAATAATAGTCATGATATTATTCATTGTTTTTGCCTTAAGGCTCAATTGAGTCTCTAGACTATGCAAATAAGTTTATCTTAAGGTCTTTGATAATGTATTATATATAAAAAATAGGGGGGAGCGGCAGAGCAGCGGTTAGCTCACTGAGCTATAAACTTTGCAACTTAAGTTTGTTTCCTTAGCCACGTCTAGCATCAGTGTTGAGTGATAGCTGAACCAATCCTAGGCACCCACCTTTCACCAGCCCATAGTGACAGCGTGGTGAAATATGGTCGAACAACCCTGAAGACCAACACGGTGTGGGTAGGCCTTCATCCAGCAGTTGATTGACAAAGGGAGAAAACATATTTACATTTTTGTAATTTATCTCAGGATTTACTGGGTGACTGCAGGAATTGATCCACAAGCTGAGCTCAAACTGGACCAGTGGTGGCACGGTCATTGGCTATACTCTTTGGTTCTATTGGGTAAAGTCACGTAGGTGAAAATAAAATAACAATTTTTTTTTACAAAAAATCACGACGTTTTGGCCACAACACAAGCGGCCTTCATCAGGTAAAGGGACGAGACTGTCTGGAGGACAGCGCTGGAGTGGAAGAAGCCACGCTCAGATCACGACCTTTAAGCTGTGTGACCTTTAAGCTGTGTGAGCTTAAAGGTCGTGATCTGAGCGTGGCTTCTTCCACTCCAGCGCTGTCCTCCAGACAGTCTCGTCCCTTCACCTGATGAAGGCCGCTTGTGTTGTGGCCGAAACATCGTGATTTTTTGTTAATTTTTTTTGTTATTTTATTTTCACCTACGTGACTTTACCCAATAGAACCAAAGAGTATGGATCCTAGCAGTCACGAAAGCTTTAAATCTAGAATACGTTAATTTGCTGTTAGATTATTTGCCTTTGGAATGCCAACTTGCAATACAGTATAAGAAAGTAAAGTAAATAAAGAAACCACTGAATAATGAAGTAAGTTGCCCTCCTTAAGACATGCCACATTTTAAAAGCACACAGGAGACACATCTTCTTGAGTAAGTGAGTAAGAATTGTGCGCAAACAGTTTAAAATAACAATAAAGAGCTGATGTAAATCTCTGCCTATTTCATAATGCATTATCAAAGGAAGTTGGGAACGTGTTGACATGAAGCTCTGTGTGAGTTTGACTTGTGGTTTGTCGGAGGCTCATGTGATATCTCGATGACTAATACTGTATATTGAACACTGCCTTAAAAGGAAACTTATGAAACAGGTGACATTTTCAGGCAATTACTGTTATTCATAGCACATAAATGGAGAGGCCCACAAATATAAAGTGGATAATGAGTTGGAGACTGAACTTAACACATTGGGGCCTGATGAGAACTACTGTGCAGTATATATATCAATGTTGTCCGATGTCCAGGCAGTGTGAGTGACCAATGTGTTGAGATTTGTTTTATTACTTGTGCTTGTGCATCACTACCAACGCAGCATCACCACGTAATTTGTTTAACGCTCTTAGTTGCAGGGCAGACTTTGATTTCTGACATTTCTCAACTTTCGACTCTGTTGATTTTTGTCACAGAGTTGAATTTAATCCGGCAGCTTAGAAAACTGGGTTGGCATGCGTTTCACAATACATAACAGTATCAGAGGGCCTGCATTGAGTGAAGATAAATACTGGCACAGCTTGATGGATGGTTTTCCATACAGCATGAGTTATTTATTTAAGATAATGTATTGTGGAGATGGACGGATGGGGTCAGAGGTCGGAGCTCTGAGCCAGCACTGCTAAGCTCCTGGGTTGGAACATGGGCAGGGGCTCTTGATATAGCTGGCTTCTCAAGTGTAGCTGGTTGATGGACTTAGCCTGATCACCACTTCTTCTTTTTGAGATTTCCAAATGTGTTTTTTGTGCGTGTGTTGTGGCATGATAGCAATAGTACAATTGGACAAACAAATTGCGGGTAAATGGCAAAAAATTCAAGCGAAAAATGGATGTACATAATGACACAAGCAATGTATATCACCGCATGGTAGGTCTTCTATATAAAGGTGGTCTGTACAATTTAAGATTGAGATACCGTAAATTAAACGTAAAAATATAACTACCATATAGCCCTTTCTCAATTCACTGCTGGATGGTCAGGTCGACTCTGCCCAAGTCACAGAAGTTATTTGATCACACTTCACCACCCTGGTCAGTGCAGGTTTGGGGAATGGAGTTGCCAGGACCAGTTTTGATATCATTTGCCACTCACGTTGGGCATGGTGAGGAATTCAACTCGGCCAGTGGCTGGGTTTATAGCGCAGTGTGCTAATTACTGCACCACCGCTCCACCCCCATCCACTAAAATGTATGCTAAAAAATTATTGGCTTTTGAAAATTAAATATCTGTTATAATCGCGAGCTTGTTCATGTTCATAAAATATCCCAGAATAACATTTTGACTTCCCATAATATAATATACTTTAGTGCCTTCATTAAAAACAAAGCAGGGAAGTTATACAGTAGTATATAACAAACGTTAGTTAATACCATGCTACTTACATAACTCAGGTTAGTGCACATGCAGCATGTTCCACGTTATTGGCTTCTGTTATCAGATTTACTACGGTAAGTAACTTTCAATCTATAAGCAGCATCCCATGGGCTCTGAGAACATTTTCCGCCTCGGTCGCTTCGGATGTTCCTGTTGGGTCTTTCATTTGTGTCCATTCCCCTTCTAATTTAAAGTTTGTGTTGGAACGCCTTCGCCACACTTCACACCACTTATGTGTGTGTTTTTTTTCGGGTTTCACCGCACGCTGTTGTTCACCACGATGTCACACCCAACGTTGCGTGCTCCACACATGCTCAGCACACTTCTTCGGCTAACTGAATTGTCCAGTTCCTGAAAAAGCAAAAGATTGAACAATATGCCAAACAACACGAGGTAAAACCTGTAAAATTAAGATCTTTCACCTCCTAAAATGCAATAAAAAATTCTCCACCCACATCTCAAACACCGGATTTCTTAGAAGCTGACTCATGGGATTTCAAATAGTTTGTGTAAGATTTAGACAATTACTTGAGTTCACCCTTACATCGGGATTATTATCCGATTAAAAAAAGAGGGTTAAGAAAACCTGCCGGAGGAAAATGTGTCGGTATGGTTATGGTTGGCAACGACTGAGATTGAATCTTGAATTGCAGGAAAAAATGCTTTTTGCAGTGTTCATTTATCAACACGTCAAATACTTCATAACAGCCCTTTGTGTTTGTATGAACACAAAGAGGTCACCTTTTCAAGAAAGTTGTATTAATTTGTTTTCTTGAAGACATGTTTTTGGGCATATTAAGTTTGGGTTTTCTGCAGCTATTGTACATCGTAATTAATAATATAATTTGCGGCCTCTTTGTTCGGCGTTCCCACATCACGAGGCATGGGGTTTGTTTCACCATACTTCGCTATTTTGGTCAGTGAAGGTTGGCAAATGGAGGGTGGGGCATGCTCAAAAGAAGTTCAGATATAACTCACCACTGATTTAAGCGATGACCAGGAATCGAACTCAGGTTGCCTGGTTCAGAGCGCAGTTTACGAACCACTTTGCCACCACTCTGCCCCTCATAATTATTTCCTTACCTGTTTTTCACATCGCTAAAAAAATGGTTGTGTTAATGAATTGAGCATAACACATCACGCCGAATTACAAAGTGGACGTGCTTTGTAAATAAGTAAATAACCGGAGTGGCACCGGGCACAAAGTGGCTTTCGTATTTGTTATAAAGCCACAATGTGTAAGTACTGCACTTTGTGATATCAGAGCATGTTTGTGTGCATGCTTTGCCACAAGTACTTGTGGTTAATGCAGACTTGATGCCTTGCAAGAGGTAACCATTTGGTCCAGACTTATCATTTGTGGTCACAATGAGGTAAAATTAAAAGCGCAGCCGTGCAATTACTTGCTCACACCACTGCTGATGGAAGGACCTTCTTTGGAGGCTATTTTGGTCTACTGGTCAGACGTCTTGGAAGAAGTGGGAGTACGTTCGCTCTACGACCTGTGGAATGACAGTCCATCGGTTCGGACTCTCATCAATGCAAATCATAATCGTTGTTGTCTACATGCAGCTGAGGATGTGTTGCGGACGGCAGACCCAGGGACTAACCCCTACGAGCCGCTGCACTTCAGCCTGACGGAGCCGTACAGGCTGGATGGGCGACACAAGCGTGAGATCCAGCCCGCCAGCCCTGAGGTACGGCCACGCTCTTCGTTGGCTCATGTACCGCGTTGTCAGGTTGCACAGGGGTGGTAATACCTCCTCTGCTGCAAGTATTTGGGGTAGTCAAAGCAGTTGGGGGTTGTGGGTAAAAGTGAGAGCCCCCATGGGAATTTGTTCTTATCACAGAACCCCACAGCATTCCTCCAAAGGTACGGCTTGTACGCTGTGTATTTCTCAACAAGCCTTTTGAGGCTGTTGCATTCATGAGCCTTTGCTGTCAACATGCCGTGTGTGTGGGGAGGGTGGTGTGGTTGCTATGTCAATGCTGCAGTTTGTATTGGGTATCCTTGTGGGTAGTTTTACTTTACGTACTGCAGTGTTGCAACCGCACCTCCGATTAGCTCGGTTGGCTACGTACGGTGCGAAATAAGTTCTACATGCATGCATAGGTCTATGAAAAAGAGCTCTATAGCTCATCGGATTCCTCCAGCATAAATAAATATTCTGATATTTTAGTACTGTACTGTGTTTAGACCGTGTGCCGCGCGGTGTCTTACAGGCAGTGCACCCAGACAGGGTACAGTACGTCGTGCGGGTGGGTGACAAGGATCTCATTCTCAACCTCGAGCGGAACAGGTGATCGCCATCGTCATCGATGCATACATACAAAGACCCCCCGTATAGCTTTAACAGATCGTTTGTGGCAAGTGCTGTTAGCAAGCACTTATGAAGGCCAGCACAGCACACTAGGGAGTGGGTGGCCAGCACCACGCCCAGCCGCCTTTGTCTCCCCAGTGGCGATGTTTACAATGCTCACCAGTTACTCCTGTAAGACTGAGTCGACCTAGGCTCAGGACTGCTTTTGATAACAGTCAGTGATGTTGGTCATGAGTAAAAATCGAAACTCTGTTTGCCAGGTTCATAGTGCAGCATACTAACCACTACACTACCACTCCCACATAGACAGTACCGCTACCCACGTGTATATATATACACATTAGCATATATATGTACACACAATAGCAACACATACCGTCTAATTTAAAGAGTAAAATTGCTTATTTTAAGAGCCATGTTGAAATGTAAAATAGTGTGTTATATTGTACAATATGTAAGAGCAAAGTACTAGAGTACATTTTCATTGTTTGGTGCAATGCGTAACAACAAATGAACACGTATGTTTATTGGTTTAATCGTGTTACTATTTTGTGCGTGCCATGTAGGGACCTGCTACCCGCCCATTTAATAACAACCTACACAGGAAGAGCACCATCCTTTACAAATGTCACCGTAAGTTTTTTTACGTCACGCCCTCGTTTACCAGGATATTTAATATTCAGGATAATTTTAAACCTATTGTTAATCCGCTACTGGGAGTGGTGGGGGATTGGGGGGGGCAGGACCGGTTCAGATTATTGCTCGCCACTGACATTCACCTTGGCTGGGAATCAAACTGAGGTTACTAGGTGCAGTGTGTAGTGCACCAACCACTGTGCCACCACTCTCCCCATTATTTTGCATTTGTACGGTTGTTAATTTCTATGCTCACAATCTGTTTAACATCTGTGGAATGGCTCTATGCGAAGCAGACTACTTGCAGCTTACACTGTAGCGAGATGTTAACTACCTCGCCCGGTATACAGGAGGTCATGGGTTCAATCCTGACCCTGACGCCTGCTGTATATTTGGAGTTTGTATGTCTCTCTCCCCGTGGTCGCGTGGATTTTTCTCCGGGTCCTTCAGGTTTTCCCTCCCCATTTATAAACATGCGTTTTAGAGTATTTGACTACTATAAATGTCCACATGATAAGCCATTTTGTTCGGCTATGATTTGTGGCCAGGTCGCTTCTGAAAAATAGCTATTTAGCTCAGTGGGCCTTACCTGGTAAAATAAAAAATTGTGAAAAAATAGTTTTTGTATTCATAAGCAATGTGCAGGAAATTTCAGCTAAATCACGCACCACTCATCTGTTTAGAGTCCAAGGGTCACCGATTTAAAAAGGCTTGGCAGTGAAAAACAAACAAGGTCGTTAGATCTCAGTCGCATTTTTGGCTTGTTACCATTTTGTCATTCGGCGTGATGTCCAGCATGCTGGGCGCTTCTTTGGGGAACTGAATTGTGAGACAGTTCCCGATGTCGCTGTCAGCATATGGAGCAAAACGTCAAACGTCGTGACGCAGTGTAGCCCTGAAGCGCGTCAAATTGCGAAATGGCACAACCGAGAAAGCGAACTTCGTACCAGCATAGCTTAACATCGTTCCAGTATAGCTTAACATCGTACCAGTATAGCTTAACATCGTACCAGTATAGCTTAACATCGTACCAGTATAGCTTAACATCGTACCAGTATAGCTTAACATCGTACCAGTATAGCTTAGCATCGTACCAGTATAGCTTAACATCGTACCAGTATAGCTTAACATCGTACCAGTATAGCTTAACATCGTACCAGTATAGCTTAACATCGTACCAGTATAGCTTAACATCGTACCAGTATAGCTTAACATCGTACCAGTATAGCTTAGCATCGTTCCAGTATAGCTTAACATCGTACCAGTATAGCTTAACATCGTACCAGTATAGCTTAACATCGTTCCAGTATAGCTTAACATCGTACCAGTATAGCTTAACATCGTACCAGTATAGCTTAACATCGTTCCAGTATAGCTTAACATCGTACCAGTATAGCTTAACATCGTACCAGTATAGCTTAACATCGTACCAGTATAGCTTAACATCGTACCAGTATAGCTTAACATCGTACCAGTATAGCTTAACATCGTACCAGTATAGCTTAACATCGTACCAGTATAGCTTAACATCGTACCAGTATAGCTTAACATCGTTCCAGTATAGCTTAACATCGTACCAGTATAGCTTAACATCGTACCAGTATAGCTTAACATCGTACCAGTATAGCTTAACATCGTACCAGTATAGCTTAACATCGTACCAGTATAGCTTAACATCGTACCAGTATAGCTTAACATCGTACCAGTATAGCTTAACATCGTTCCGAGCTGATGCGCATTTCAGTCAGCTGGAACTAAATTGTGCAGACTGGTACAAAGTGTTTCATGCCCTGATATATACAAAGGTAAAAAAATATAAATTAAACCACCCTCGCACGCTCCCAGAGCTTACACACGGCTATCTGATCTCGCTGCCAGATTAAAAGAAAGGAAATGTTACCTACACAAGCGTTTGGTGGTCTGTGCTCTTTCATACATCGATTTGAAGGCAGTACAGCAAATGGGTGTCTAACATATATCTACAACCCACGTCTGTAATCTTAAAACATATAAATTGATATCTGTAAAGATTAAAAGGTTAAATCGTTGGCACAGTGGTATACAGTTTAAACCGTGAGAGATGGAAACGGCTTTGGTAGGCCTTCATCCAGCATTGGATAGATCATGGCTGATGATAGTACAGTACATACGGTGCGAGAGAAGTTCAACATCCATATATATTGATACACAAGTATTTTCATTCAGCTTAGCTGTAAATCTGCTTTGGCTGTACTTCTCTGATTAGGTACGATGTTGTGATAACTGCTGTTCAATGAGCATTGGTAGTAGTATGTATACGAGCAGTCAATTACAGAAATCAGTACCGCCTACCAATACAGTCATATTCAGTTGGCTGTTGTGGGGAAAGGTCGGATTATCCCCTAGGGTCTTGCTGTTGTGGTAGGTACGATGTGTACACGGTATCACACAGTCTAAAGTAGCTGTAGTTTGGATTGTTTCCCACACCCAAGAGAATGTATTTATGTAACTTTAACTCTACGTCTTCCTGACTAGTCAACTGAAATGACGGCTAACTTAAAATACTTTTCAAATATCTCAGATGTAAACATTTCTTAAAGTAAACTTGTTAAATGCTCTGTATTTTTTTCCTGGAGCAATGTTTTCCAGCTGTATTTGTTTAAGCACCCAAACCTGAACTTGTTTTAGGGTTCTGAAACTTATCAGCAGAATGTGGCCGATTACACAAATTATGCTTGGTGGTAGTTGTCCAACGTTATAGGCAAGAAGCCTCTACATAGAGTGCACTGCGGTGTGAGTGTTTTCCCATTCATTTGCTTGGGGTCCCTCCGCCCACTCCCGTTTCCTTCCATATACTTTTCAATCATTAAAAATATATTTGCCAAAGTTCCCAAAACAGAGCAATCTGACAGAAGTAGCCATCGTGTGAAGTAGACGGTGCAGGCTGCGAAATATTTATATATCAGCGCCTTAAACCAATGTGCCTTACAACAATTATACAATTGTATGTAATATGATAATGGTTAAAATAGAGTGGGGTTGTGAGAACAAGTTATGGCATAGTCATGGTGACAGTAAGGAGGACAGGTGGGAGTGGTTAAGGCGGGGTTGAGGTAGTGACGGGTAGGGGTAGTGATATGGGTTGGGGTATTGATAGGGGTAGTGAAAGGGGTTGGTGTAGTGATCTGGGTTGGGGTAGTGATAGGGGTAGTGATAGGGTTTGGTGTAGTGATCTGGGTTGGGGTAGTGATATGGGTTGGGGTAGTGATAGGGGTAGTGATAGGGGTAATGATATTGGTAGGCCTGGTCATAGCTGGGGGGCGGGGGCAGGGAGTGGCAGGATGATGGACTCGGGACAAGAGATGGGGGTTGTTATAATAGAGGAATAGAAGCAGATTATTGAAGATGGAAAGCATCTGTCATGAATATTAACCCTTAGTCATCACAATGACACGAGATAAATAGGCTCACTGAGGCTTTCCTCAGTAAATAAAGAATTGTTTATTTTCTTGTTGTCTTATAGTAATGTGTTGTGTCTAAGTGTTTTTTGTGTTATCCACAGGCTCACTGCTACTACCATGGTGATATTGAAGGTGAATCGGGGTCAACTGCCAGTGTCAGCACTTGCTACGGGCTCAGGTAAAGATTTGTGTGACATGAATTACCTTTGTAATATTATTAATGATACACCTATTATCCAAGGTCCTGCAGTTGTATGTTTGGCTACACGGGAATAAATTGAGTACCCAATTTTTTATACAGGAGGTCGTCAGTTCAATGTATATTTGGAGTTTGCGTGTCTCCCCGGTGTTTCCCTCCACATTTAGAATCAACGTGCATTTAGAGTATTTGGCTGCTATAAATTTCCACGTGATAAGCCACTTCATTGAGCTATCGTTTGTGGCCAGGTCGCTTCTGAAAAAGAGCTATGTAGCTCTGGGCCTTCCCTACTAAAATAAAAAAATAGTTTATTTTAGTTTGCTTAGTTTCCAAAGTCTGACAGTGTCACCCATATTGAGGGTGATTTTCTCATATGCCAGATTGCTTGCTCATGCCACTGCTGATGGAAGGGCCTCTCCACTAGAGCAAGCTTCTAGAGAGTATTTGGCCTACTTTTCCAAACCGGCTAGAAGTATCCGAGGTGGCGGGACTACTAACTGCGGTGCACCCATTTATTATTGCTGAAGTGGACAGAGGTGGTAGGAGCGGAATTAAGAAACCTGCACCGTTGTTTTGGGAGATCGCATCAAACTGGACCTCTGGATAGCCAGTCCCGGTGTTCTGACCATTTACACCACAGCGCCAACGTCCCTTCGTTAGTGTATTTTTCACGAATGTTTTTTGTTGCTGTCTTGTTTTCAGTAATAAACAAAAAGCAACAGCGATGTCAAATGGTTTACGCTGTCAGCTTTAGTTTGTTTTGTTGCTGGCAGGAACTGGCAACGGGGTCTTTTTTTCGTGAAAGCAAAATCGAGGTTGGCTGTTAAAAGGCAGCGCATTGCATTCTCTCACACGAGCTGTTTTCAAGCCTGGATTTGCCAGCGCTGAAGCCATCATAGGGCAGCTGCCATGCTTCTTTCAGCACAAATAAAACTTTCTAGGATTCGTTGATTGTCAAAGGTGGGCTGCATTAGGTGGTAGTTTTCAGGATTCTGACCGATGTGACATTGTATTTGCATATTTGGTCAATTAAATTCATTAAAACACTTTTATATAAATATGCATATATTGAGTAAATAATAATGTGTGACATGTCTACCCAGGAAATCATGTAAATAACTATGGCACTTGTTTGAAAGAATAATTATGGAAGGCAAGGAATGGAATGAGGCTGTTCACGGAGGAGACGGAGCAATTAAACTAGCTTTGAGTTCAGGTGCTACGAGGAATAACACATTTTAAGATCATGAGAGATGGCGATGGCTTGGGGAGGCCTGTGATCAGAATGGATCGAACGTGGCTGATATTGATGCCACATTGTGTCGTGTTATAAAGATGCGGCCGTCTGGAATGCTCTTCCGATATTCGGAAGCCACTGGAGCTTTTAAACCAAGATTGAAAACAAATTTATTTCCAACTGCTTTTTGTGTTTAATTTGTTGTCCTTCCCCCGCACCTCCGATTAGCATGGTTGGCTACGTACGGTGCGAAAGAAGTTAAACATACAAACGTACGCACACACACTGCGCTTCTGTTCACCTATGGCCAACCGCTCCCTCTGCGTGCAGGGGCCACTTCAGCGTGGGGGACGTGAGCTACGGGGTGGAGCCGTGGGGGGGGGCTGGCGTGGCGGGGGAGAGGGTGGGGAGCCTCCACCGCGTCTTCCGTCTGACCGACACGTTCCACGCCTCGAACTCCTCCTCCTCCGCTTGCGGCGTCGTCCACCCGTTGGAGCCAACGCTGCACCGCGATCCGGCCCTGGAGCCGCTCCGGGGCCAGCAGCAGCAGCTCCACATCCGGGTCTGTGGCTGCACCAGATGCCCACTCCGCTCCGCCGGCACGGCCATCCCCCATGTTATGGGCTCGGTGACATCGCGCCGTCGGGGGAGGCCCTCGTTCGGCAGTGTTAACGTGGCGATGGCGCTTTGAGTGTCAGATTCGTGCCAGATTGGCGCCACACGTTTATAAGAAAAAGTAAAATTTGTATTTGACTTGGATTGACAAAGGGGGCTGTGTGTACAAATGCAAGGCGTTATAAGAAACGTGATGTCCATCTGTGAGTCAGACAGTCCGTCACAGCACTTGAGGACATATAGCTGTACAGGGTAAAGTACTGCATCACACCGCCGATTGAAAGGAACCAGGAGCCTGTAGTCTTCGATGATGACCTTTAACTTAGGTTAAAAGGATATGTGACCGAAAGTTTGGACGTGTGGGTGCAGGGCGAAATGTAACGAGGCAAAGCAGTTTTGTTAATCAAGCATTGCAGTTTCAAAATAGCTTCACCCTCCCACCGGTAAGTCCGGCTCGTACCGGCTCGTGCAGACGCGCGCGTGAACCAATCGGTATCTGAGCCGGTTTGGAGGCTAACAGACGAATGGCGGGTTCCCCTCCCACCGCAGGTGCGCCGCGCCGTGCTGCCGGGAACGCGCTACGTGGAGCTGCTGCTCGTGGTGGACAACACCCTGGTGAGTCTCGCCGGCACACGCGCACGGGGGGGCGGCCACACCATCGTCAAATCAACGCTGCGGCAGACGCGGTCGGCAGATGACTCTACCCGTCGGCGACGTCGTCTCGATTACTCGACTAATTAGATAACATGAAAATCGTGCAATAAAAAAAACACCTCCGTTCCCACATGCACCACTGGACGGGAGGTTCTGTTCTGGGCTTGGTGATGTCATCGGCATCATCGGCCACGTCACACTGGGTCTGGCTTGCAGGGAGGGGGTTTACCGCCTTGAGGATGCGAGATGGTCGATTTCAGTTTTTGGTCAATCGGCTTATTCGACTGATTTTCCCAGCTCGGTTGCACCCTATGAGTTTATGTAACGATTCCCATCTGGATTTTCAGAATATTACCCATTCATTGCAGAGCAGCAAAATGTATTGTTGCATTGTACTTTCTACGTCCCCGCGTCTCCTTTCGCCAACCCGCACTGACGAGCGTGGTGAATTATGGTCAAGCAACCCCCACGATCCGCATTGCAAGGGGAGGCCTTCATCCATCAGCTGATTGACACAATTATTATACTTGCAGATGTTAAGTTCCTTTGTGGACGTGTGTTATCCACCATCGTGCGGGGCGTGGGGCATTTAAACCTATTTTACGCTGTGAATGTAATTGTGTATCTTCAGACGTTTAACGTCAACCTGCACACACAGAGCATCGTCTCCGAACAAGCCGTTTGTTTCTTTGACACACCGGGAGTCTCAATTTGGAGTGTGAACAAAGGGGGGGGGGGGGGGGGGGGGGGCGGTGGGTAACGCCAAGTTGGTGGCCGCTCAAAACTGATGGCGGTTTGCATTGTACTTTTGGAATTATTATCCTCAATGCCACTGCTGAGTGCTTTAAGTCTCCCAATAGCGGCCGCATTCATATGTAGATTGGGCAGTTAGCTTTTGAAAGCCCCTTTCATTGCTGTTCATGAAACGTGAGAACCCGAACTCTGTTAACCGTCAGATTGGTATTCTCCATCCACTGCTGGATGAAGGTCTCCCCGTGCCGTCGCCATTTCTTACAGTTCTACGACGCTACAATCCATCTCACTTGTGCACGTGAGATAATCTCATTGCTCCATTTCCGCAATGGCTATCTTCTTGGATACGCTCCCTCCTCTTAACCGTCGTTCTGTCACTCTCTCTTGTTCGTTGGCCAGGAAACCTTCGAGTGATGTCTCCTACCCAAGGCTACTTATCAATGCATCTGAGTTGTGTGTGTGTGTGAGCGATAGTGTAGCGGTTAGCGCGCTGCGCTATGAACCTGGCGACTCGGGTTTGATTCCCGCTCACGGCCAACACCAGTGACGATTATCTGAACCGGTTCCGGGCCTCCCCTAGGTCGACTCAGCCTCAAATGAGTACCTGGTGCGGTGTGTAGACATCGCCACTAGGGAGACAAAGGCGGTCGGGCGTGGTGCTGGCCACCCACCCCCTCGTGTACCGATCCGGCCTTCATAGGTGCTCGCTAACAGCACTTGCCCCTACAGTCTGTTAAGGCTATACGGGGGATCTTTGTCTTTGTTCCTCACAGTGCGTCTCTTCCTCTCTCTCAGTGTCATGCGGGTTACGTATCTCTCCTCGCTACTTTGGGAAAGTTTCAGCGATTGTTCCATTTTCTCCGTGTATTTCCCGGGCATACCAGGTGTTATAAACGTGGAGATGCGAGGTGCCCAGGAGATGGCAGGACAGCAGTGAGCTCTGTCCACATGGAGATCCGATGAGTCGGGTCTGTCTGTGGATTTTCTTTACCTATGCAGAACTTTTGAGTGTTTGCCCCCCTTCGATGTGTGCAGTTTTCTCCACATACACAGGCCGCCTTGCACTCGTTGTACATCGATGAGACTTTTACAAAGGGAATCGACATATACATGGTACACAGAGTAGTGCCTCTAAACGTGTACTGGGTAAACAGCCGCTTTGGTGGAATGGAGCCACTTGTATAGTTACGACCAAATGTGGTTATTCCTGGTGATGTCGGACCGTCACCCCAGCACTGGAAATTGTTTCTGATTATCCTCTCAGCTGCTTGACGGATGGGTGCCGAATGATCTTATCGGCAGACAAAATGCGCTTTGCGCCTGTTCAAGGGAGATCACAATCTCCAGTACATTTATGAAAAAAAAACTCACTCGTGCTGGCTCTGGCAGCAGGGTACTTGTTGCATACCCCACGTGTAATCCGATCTACGTGAGAAAGGCATACAATATGTCATCTGCCACGAGCCACACCTGGTCCTGGCAAACTCGAAAAACCGGACCCTTCAATCCCCTATCATTTAAAGAGTTGGTGGTTTTTACTGCCCTTCGTTTAAAGATCACTAAATCACTCCTAATAATCTCACATTGGTGGAGAGGGGGGGACCGTGACGGTGCTTAGCACATTGCACTAGGAACCAAGTAACCTGGGTGTGGTTTCTGGTCACGACTGGCACCAGTGGTGAGCGATTTCCGAACCGCTACCTTGCCTTCTTTCTTCCCCTTCCCCTCCCCCCAATTAGTGTGCCTGCACCGGCCAGCACGGTCAACTATGGTCAAACAACCCCTGTGACTGATGCTGCTCGGGGAGGCCTTCATACAGCAGTGGGTTGACGCAGAGCTATCGATTATTTATTTTCGTTAACCTTGAAATGTTTGTGTGCTGTGGCGCAGTTCACAAACCGGTACAAGGGAAACAAGACGGCAATGGTGCACGACATGGCAGAATTGACCAACATCATGGACTCGGTGAGTCGACCGCACTTTGGGCCGTGCAGATCCTTGTGACAACAAAAACATTTAAAGGTGTAATAATATTAACATAATTTGCATGGTAATTCGCTTTATTATTTCACACGACTGGGCATTATGGAATGATGTTGCCCGTTCATTATGTAATGGTTTGCTGTCAGGTGATGCACCCAATATAATTAACGCTTAGGGCCCCTGGTGGGCTCGCACCAATCGCCGCTGCTGAAATGTGTACTGCTGCCTCCTTTATTGAGGACAATTTTGGCACGTAAAATGAAGATTGATTGATGCGACTTTTAACTACGGACCATATAGTAAACGCAGTGTAGTCTGCGTTCCTTCAGCGGAGGAGCAGCAAAGCTACACGAACTCGCTCTCTTCAAGCCTTCTCGTGGCAAGCACACCTCGACATTGGCATTCAGCTTCTGAACATATTTCTAGACGCAAGAATAGAATCGTCTGAAAGTAACCTGTGGGAGCCGACTTGCTCTTCCAGAGCTTTTGTTATTGAGCGTTGACTTACATTTGTGCAAAAAATATATATATCAATAGTAGCCACGCTTTACTTCGAGCACTTGTGGTGACGGTACACGGCTGTAGCTCGGCGTTACAGGTGCGTTACAGGAGGGGGATAGAATGATTAACTGGTGAGATGGACGTTTTATTGTGAGAGAATTAGACGACTCACGATGTTACGCAGCAACGCGTCGATTCGTCAATTAAAACCGATTGATTTTCGATTATTTCAGGATAAAAATCTTTAGTTATCCTAGAGAAATACGATGAGCTATGAAGCTCTTTTTCACACATGTCCATTAGGGGCACGGGGTCAGAAAGTTACAACAACAAACAGTACAAAATACGATTGAAGTGCAACGTATAGGAAACTATTTACAATTTGTGAAAATTATTCAGAGAAGAAAAGAAGACCATCAAAGAGATGTTGGGTGGTATCAGCGAAAGAAAAACGTTCATCATGGAAGTCATAATAATGAGAAAGGAGAACTGGATTGGACGCATCCTGTGAGGGCACGGTTTGATGAAGGACCTCCTAGAAGGAAGACCGGGAGGGAAAAGAATGAGAAGAAGGCCAAGGGTTGGCATTCTGAAGGAGGAGCTGGAGGAAGGAGGAGGTGTTTGTATAAATGAAGATGAGTGACTAGATCAGAGGGACGGATGGCAAAGGTGTTAGCCAAGGGACCTGCCTTCAGGCAAAGCCCCCCCCCCCCAAAAAAAGGAAGTAAGTGAAAATCACGCGTAAACGGTTTGAAAATGCTGGAATTATTTTAAGTGACGTTGATGGGTCCACGGTCGTCGCGGTGATGCTGGTGGTGCTGTGTTGGCTGGCTGGTGGCGGCGGCGCCGGTGGCCCGCTGTGTGTGCAGTTCTACAAGTCGATCAACGTGCGCGTGGTGCTCGTGGCTGTGAACGTTCTCACCATCGACGAGGAGAACCTCATCATGGCCACCAAAGCGGCCGGCGCCGTCCTCGGGAAGTTTGTCAAGTGGCGAGAGTCGAATCTGCGCACCCTGCCACGCCACGACGTGGCACACCTCATGAGGTATCGGCGTCGTCGATGTTCTCGTCGTAGAATTTGTGATGATCATCATTATCAGCATGATCATCGTGGAGTCACCATCATTATCTTTGGGGCGATACCTGCAACGTCATCCTCATTGTTAGAATCATCGCGAACGTCATTATCAGTACGGTAAGTCCTCGCTTCGAGTGTTTTATCTATGTATGTATGTTGAACTTCTTTTGCACCATACATAGTCAACCGTGCTAATCGTAAGTGTTGTGTGAACATGTATGCGTTTATGCCTGTCTATACAGGGTGTATGTTTGTGTGTATTTATACATGGAGAGCGGACGTATATATGGGAGTGGTAGTGTAGCTACGAACCCAGCGACCCGAGTTTAATTCCAGCTCACGGCCTGGGCCTCCCTTAGGTAGACTCAGCCTCAAAATAAGTACCTGGTGCGGTGTGTAAAAACATTGCGACTGGGGAGACAAAGGCGGCAAGGCGTGGTGTTGGCCACCCACCCCCTCTTGTGCCGTGTCGGCCTTCATAGGTGTTCGCGAACAGCACTTTCCCCAACAATCTGTGTAGGCTATACGGGGATCTTTGTATTTATACAGAGTACAGCTCACATGGCACAAGTGCCATGGTGACATCACCGCCACTTACTGGTGAACGAGTGGTGGTTGTTGTGTTTATACGTGATGTCTCTATTAAATTCATACGTGTGTGTGTGTATGTCTGTGTGCGTATACAATTCCCAACAGTAATGGCTTTACGGGAGCCCTGGGCATGGCTTTCGTGGGGACCATCTGCTCCCGAAGCACGTCGGGGGGCGTGAACAGCGTAAATACTGCACACAAAGACAAAGGTCCCCTGTATAGCCTGAACAGACTGTTGGGGCAAGTGCTGTTCACGAGCACCTATGAAGGCCGGCAGGGCACACGAGGGGGTGGGTTGCCAACACCTTGCCCGGCCGCCTTTGTCTCCCCAGTGGTGATGTTTACGCACTGCACCAGGTATTCATTTTAGGCTGAGTTGACCTCGGGGAGGCCCAAGACTTGTTCAGATAATTGTGACTGATGTTGGCCGTGAGCAGGAATCTAACTCAGATTCGCCACTCAGCGTGCTATCCGCTATACTACCGCTCCCCACACACACACACGCACGTGCACAAAAGGCTGGCCTTGTATCTAACAATGAACCAGTTACTGGACTGAACGCAGCTGCACCCATCTTTTGAGACTACAGCAAAACGGTGTCAACTAAAGCACACACACGCACAGGCTGGACGGTGAATAATTGATTACATTATTTGACCGAGGACCCAGTTTTAAATGCCGAGTGGCCTGGAGCCAGTGGTGAGAGCAGCATGGCTTGCAAGCAAGGAGGTGGTGAGTTCAAACCCTAGCTGGGGTTGACTCGGCCATTTCCTTCCTGTGGGGTGAATGAGCTCCACCTATAGTGTGAAGGCGTTCATGGTGTCATATGCAGGTACTGGTTCCTGTCAGGGTAATGCGGAATTGTCACCACTAGCTAGGAACTTCCAACAGAAATAAGCATCGCCCTGCACTCATTTGAGCAAGAAGATACTGACATATGACATCTCATGGACTATTTCCAAAGTACAATTCTTCATTGTCTTCATCTTAAGCCATGATAAATCCATTGCTGGGTGAAGGAGGCCTCCGTAAGCCGTCGCCACCACTCATGATGACGTGATGGAACAATCCATCCCGGACCTGCACACGAGCTGGGAGCCTTCACTAGAAATTAACGTCTTATTATTTATAGAAAATGTTTAAAGAGACAATATTTTAAAATCACATTGCAAGACTGCCCTTTAATGTTAATTTTGTGGAAAGAGTGCTATGGACAGTTTGAGGAGATCTTCATCCAACAGTGGATTTACCATGGCTGGTAATGATGACGAGGGTGGTATGGAGCCAACAGTGGGAACGAGACCTAATACATTACTCCATGTATCGCAACGGATTCGTGTGGTTTTATCTGGGGTCTGAGAAGCAATTGGCAGAGGCTGGAGAAAGCAGGTTAAAGTTAGTATAGTTTATATTGTGTCCAGGTAAGAACTCAAGAGACCAGAATGAGTCTTATTGGCAAGTGTTTACCTGGGTCCCCGAATTAAAAAAAGGAATTAAAATAAAACGGTGAGGAAAATGAAACTAAATCTGGAGCAGAACAATCGCATTACAGGAGGAATCAAGTGACTGCACAAATATATTTAAAATGTAAATAAATAAAATGTCCTGATGCATAGGTTTTCTCAGCCACCAATATTGAACTTTAGGGTTTGGCCATCTAATCATCTGGCCAAATACCTTCCACCACCTGACATAGCCAAACATAAAATTTTCTGGCGTATACAAATGTTTAACGCACCAATCATTATTCTTTAAGTTGCAGAACAATTCTCACTACCAAATATAGCATAAATTAGATGCAACATTATTCTTGAAACTACTTCAAGCATCTTCAGAAAAATAAGGGAAGGCATAATTAATTCCAGGAAGTCAGAATTCAAATATTTTCTGCAACAATCTGGCTCGGTCAAAATACTTGTAAACCATTCGCAGTCAAAGCAAGTGAGAGAAAATATTACACATAACTAAGGTAATCATTGCACTATTTGGTGAACTGGCTAGGATGTTTGCATGTATGTTAAACTTCTTTCGCACCGCACGTAGCCAACCGGGCTCATCGGAGGTGCGGGGGAAGGACAACAAACTGAGCACAAAAAGCAGTTCGAAAGTACACGTGGACACACGAGTGACACAGTGACACATGCCGTCCCTTTGCTTGTCTCCAGCTGGGATCCCGCAGCATCGTGGTGATGGCCTCGGTGACCGCACACGAGCTGGGGCACAACCTGGGCATGGGCCACGACAACGGGCGCAGTTGCAGCTGCCCCAAGTCCTCCTGCATCATGGTGGGATCGCTCCCGTGGGTTCCCTGCACTCACAACAGAAGTCGGGTGCCACCTCAGTGTTCTGTGTTTGTGCGTCTGTGTGTGTGCCTGGTTATGTCTGTCTGCGTGTCTGCATCTTTGTGCGTGTGTGTCTGTCATGTTTGTCTTTCTGTGCCTGTTTGCATGGATGTTTCTTTGTCTCTCTGCCTGTTTGTATATCAATCTGGCTATCCGTTGGTCTCTCGTACATGTTCATAGTGGTCTCTTTGTCCGTGTGTCTACTTTTCAACTTCTCTTTCTACGTCTATCTGGTGATCCAATTATCGATTTGTTCATCCATCTCTCTGCTCATCTATTTGCCTGTCTGTCTGCCTATCTGTCTGTACAACCACATCTACCTGCTTGCCTGTCTGCCTGCCTTTTTGTCTGTTTGTATTTATGGCTTCTTGCACTATCTGTACACGTGTATTGAGTAATATGCATGTCTCTCTTATAAAAGTGTCATATTGTTCATTGGGCACTTGACTTGGCTAAATAACCTCTTGACATTATTGTGAAAAATATATACACAGTGCAGCATCACCATCGGAAAGACCAACAGTACCTTGCAAGCATATATATATACACACACTGTATAGGCTTACACCACTTGGAATGTACCGTACATGCACCCACTGATCAATGTGTTGCTCTATTTTTAAAGAAGTTGTGCGTCTTACGCTTGTTGCAGAGGTTCATGCCCCAGCAGTCTGTTAAGGCTACATGGTGGAGGCGGCGATCTTTGTCGTTGAGAGCAGTGGCCCTTCCTCTTATCCGCGATCGCCGCCGCATTTCCCGCGTGCCCAGGTCCCCGGTGCCGACCAATTTCAGCAGCTGCAGCACGGACGACTTCGAGGACCTGGTCGTGCAGAGGAAGGGCGGCAAGTGCCTGCTGAACGTGCCCAAGGCGGACGAGGCATTCCGCCCGCCCGTATGCGGGGACAAGATGCTGGACGCCGGCGAGGAGTGCGACTGCGGCTCCCCCGAGGTCTGAGAACGGACGGCCGCCCCGGCCTCTCAGGCGCGCGCTCGTTCGCTTGAGAGCTGAATGGAGTTCGAAAAGAACTCGCAAGCAAATACCTTAGTTGTGAAAGACCCCAATGCAGAAGATCCCTGGGTTTGATCTTCCACGGAGCTCATGGTCCACCCTAAATCGCATCCACTGCACAAACCAGGGCACTAGATGCGGATAATCTGATGCACAAATGGAAAATTCAAAACTCTCCAGTAGTGTGCGACTGTGGTCATCCCGAACAGACGGTACAACGTATAACGACGCAATGTCCGATCCAAAAATACCAAAGACATCACAGCGGTACACTCCGCTGCCCTGACGTGGTTACCTGGCTTGACCACCTGAATGTGAAAATTGCAGTTGTTGCGCTGCATCTACATCAGCCATACAAAAGAAGAAGCAACCGTCATAAGAGTTGCCTTGGCTGTGCTATCAATAATCAATTATTTAATTTAGCCATTTCTTTGAGTTGAGTGACCGGTTCTTCCGAGTTGAGGCAAGTAATCTGGGTACTAGATGAGTAACCGTTGCGGTGTGTGACAGTTGTTGATGTGGTGTGTATAGATTGAAAACTCATTTCTTTAAAACTGCTTTTTGTGTTTAGTTTGTTGTTCTTCCCCGGCACCTCCGATTAGCACGGTTGGCTACGTATGGCGCGAAAGAAGTTCAACATACACACACTGAGGGAGGTGAATGTGGGCCGGATGTGGTACTAGCCACACCCCACCCCCTCATTCTCCATGTTGGCTTTAATCGTTGCTCACGATAACAACACTTCTCCCACACGAGCTTGCTGAAGGCTACATGGGTCATCTTTGTCTGAGTTGCAGGAGTGCGACAACAAGTGCTGCGACGCCCGCACCTGCCGGCTGCGATCCGGAGCGCGCTGTGCCTACGGCTCCTGCTGCAAGGACTGCCAGGTCAGAGGTCACCCCCACACTCTCCCTCTCCCCCTCTCGCTCTGCCTGCAGCAGAGCCCTCATGCGCACATCCATATAACCTCGTTACCGTTGCTCTCACTCAACGATTTATTGTTTTGCTTTTGTTTTATCTACGGGAAAGTCGTTACGAAGTTCATGGTCCAAAGTACAAACGTTGGCAAAACTCTCCCTCCCTTAACGGACAAGTGGTTACGCCTTCTTATGCATCGCACGCATTGCACTGTTCTTTGCTAAATAGATGAAGTTGAACCTTTGAGGTGGTAGCCGTCTGTGAATCAACCAGGCTCTCAAGTGTAGAAAGCTTTTGGTCTCTGCCCAGTCTCCCATGACAACGCCACGTAACTTGGTAATTTTTACGTAACACCTTGTAACTTTGGAATAAAAAGTATTTATGTGTATATATTAGTTCTGGATTGAAAAAATCCTGTTTTAGTTGGCCAAAAGCATTTGTGATAATCGGGGTGTTGGCCCCTACTTAAAAATATCTTTGTCATGATTTGGGCAAAGAGCCTCGAGGGGCTGGCAGCGGAGTAGGCAGGAACTGTGAGCAGCAGATGGGGCCAACATCAGAAATTGTGGCAGGAGAGACACTCTCATTGTGTGGTGGGCAGGGCTAGTTACCAAGTGGGTGAGGCTCCATAAAAAGCAGGCGGGGCTGAAGAGAGTGAGGGGCTGCCAATCCACTGTGTGTCCTGGTTGAGCCCATCGGAAATTTGTCCGTATCAAGTCTTCTTGCTTGTGCAACCTTTTTCTTTCTACATTGGTCGCTCTGTGGGTCCAGCCCAGATGCAGCATCCGCTCATTTTCAGAGGAGGGGGGGGGGACCACTTTCGCCAATAAGACATCAGTGTAAGGCCCGCCACACATTTGGAACCATTGTTGGGTTTGGCAGCAGCACGTTGATGATGGTGATGATGATGGTGGTTGGTGTTGTCACGTGTTGTGTATTGTCGGGGGCCGCACGTCAGGGGCCGCACTAAAGGCCACCAGGGGCCGCCAGTGGCCCACGGGCCTTGCGATGAAGGACACTGCTTCAGAGGAGATCCTAAACTTTGTGTTTGGCGCTGGCAGTTTGTGGGCCAGGGCGAGGTTTGCCGAGCGGCCCAGGGCGTGTGCGACCTGCCCGAGTTCTGCTCCGGCTCGGCCGCCTCCTGCCCGGACGACTCGTTCCTGCAGAACGGCCACCCCTGCCAGAACGCCGCTGCCTACTGCTACAACGGCGTCTGCCAGACGTACACGTCGCAGTGCGAGGGCATCTGGGGTCCCGGTGGGTAGCGCATAGCCTCCATGTCCTCTCCCGAGCCAACCGTAGCCTGAGTCTAACCTCAGTCCTAACCACAGCCCGGACACACTCTGAGCGTAACCACAGACCTGACGTACCCTGAGACTAACTGCAGCCGTAGCCACAGCCAGAGCGTAACCACAGCCTGAGCCTAACCACAGCCTTAACCACAGTACGAGCCTAACCACACCCTTAACCATATAAAAACCAGATTACAATTCCATGATCACCATGACTATTTATTACGAGCGGGTCAGCCTGGTTCCAAAATCAAGAAAAGTGGGCTTGGCCTGGATTCCCACTGCAGCCTTACTGGGCCAAGCCAACACCAACTGGGCCACGTTGCCTGCTTGGTATCGGCTGTGTGGCTCGCAGTCCTCGGGCTGCTGCAATACTGTTCAAAAGTGTTGTCCCCTTGAGCAGTCAGATATTATTTATTTACGATGTACTTCCAAAAAAATCCGCTGATTACCTCATGGATCTCCTTATTGTTTCGGAAAACAAATATGAGCTGAGATCTTCGCTCATTTACCAGCTTCGCTTTCCTAATTGCTGTACAAATACTGGAGAAAGGGCTTTTGCTATAGATGCCCCCAGGGTCTGGAACGCTATCGCAAATACACTCCAGCTTGGATCGTTACCAACAAGACAATCACTAAAAAATGCTCTCGAGGAGTCATACAACCATAGCTGCCACTGCTATCCGGTGGCCTGAAATAAAAAATATATTTATAGTTGACTGATGTATGAAATTATTATGTATTTTGATTATAGTGCGCTGCTACTGCTATTGTTAATCCGGTTGTTATGGATTGACTTATGCAGCTAGCGAAGGACGCTAGGTTTAGTGATGTGTGTTGTGTGTGTCGCTATTGTAAACTTTGAATCACATTTGTTGGGAAAACTGTTACGTTGTTTATATAGCATTGTTTTAGTAAGTTTTAGAGGGGATTGGTTTGGCCCGATTTTATTTAGTATAGATTTATACTTAAAACGTTGATCTTTTTTGGATTATGATTGTTATTGGGCTCAAACATCGAAATCGTATTTTTTGCACTTTTTGTACGCAGCATGGACGGATTGTGCTTTTTCTGTAGGATGTTATTGTTTACGTATGTGATGTTTAGATTTGTGTACAATTAATTTTAGGTGTATCTTGTAATTTTATTGTTTGTTGCGGTTGAACCCAAATCAAGAGCCGAATGGCTCACAGGGTAAATCCTAATAAATAAATAACAGTCATGATATCACGACAGCCCCCAGCTGTGTCTCCACGCTGTGAACGAAATACCGTGCACCTACCCGTTCAACAGCACGAATTATTATGCCGAGTTGAGTGCTTTTACATCCGGTGACCTCGCGTGTACATTGTGGGCAGCAGAGGGCAGCAGAGGGCAGTGCAGTAAAATCTATTGTTGACCTGTACTATGCTTCCCACAATCTGTGGTCACCTGCCTTCACCAACCCTTATGGACCAGTGTGGTGATGCGTGGTCAAATAATCCCTGCACCCTACACGGTGTAGGGGAAGCCATCATCCTGCAGAGAGGTGTTAACTACCTGTGCTAGTCTACAGGAGGTTGTGGGTTCGATCCCTACCCTAACACCTGTATATTTGTAGTTGCGTGGATTTTTCTCCGGGTCCTCCGGTTTTTCCCTCCACATTTAGAAATATGCTTTTAGAGTATTTGGCTGCTATAAATATTCCACGTGATAAGCCACTTCGTTGAGCTATCATTTGTGGCCAGGTCGCTTCTGAAAAAGATCTGTATATCTTTATTTGAAGCTTTCGTGACTGCAGGAATCCATACTCTTTGGTCGTGATTGATTTTTATTTTATTTTATACCTACGTGACTTTACCGAAAGAACCAAAGAGTAAAGAGCTGTATAGCTTCGTGGGCCTTACCTGGTAAAATAAAAAGAGTTTAGATAGTTTTTTTTTATAGCAGTAGATTGAGAACGGGCTTTGTAAATGTTCTCACCTTCAGCGTGCTTCGTCGAGTGTTGGAAGTGAAGTGGCTGGAGTTAAGTTGACCATGGTCATTGTCCTCGCTTGGTCTTTACAGGAGCTGTCCCTGCATCCGATCACTGCTTCACAATTGTCAACATGAAGGGGAATGAGTTTGGGAACTGTGGAATGAACGCCGCTGGAACCCCCGTTTCCTGTCAGTCACGGTGAGTGAGCGAGTGCTCGTGCAATGATCAGCGACCGTAGCGACATTCTCAGCATCGTGTCCAGTTTTGCATTTCAACAATTCTCCCTCTCCCAGCGATTAAATAAATTGTCACGATTGGAGAGTTGTGATTCAATTAAAAATTCTCACATTTACCTCCATATTTGTATCGTTTCTTGTTCTATTGTTTTGTTTTGCGCCATTAGCATAAATATGACAGCATACACTTTTGATTCACAGATCCGTGGTTTAGGGCATGGATCATGAACAGAAGACTTGATGAAAAATATATATATTTTTTATTCCACATCCTCCCTCGCATCATACATTGACGGATATTGATCAACATTCTGACATTCCGGGCAGTAGTTCCAGGGGCATCGATGGTAGCGAGCACGCCGGGACTCATCCGAGCAGGCGGAAGGAGAGTGGGGGGGGGGAAGGGATTTTACAATAATTAATTTCAATCAATGAATCGATGCATCGCTAAGTGCCCCGTGTACATGATACGCTTTACACGATTCCCTCCTCCCGTAAAGAAAAATGTAGGGGGCTGAGCCCTCCTGCCGACCACCTCGTCTATGGTTTTTGTACATTCATGTGGAATTTTATAGCAGCCAAATATTCTAAACGCATGTTGATTCTAAATCTGGAGGGAAAAACAAGAGGTCCCGGAGAAAAATCCACACGACCACGGGGAGAGAGAGAGACACGCAAACTCCAAATATACAGCAGGCATCAGCGTCGGGATTGAACCCACGACCTCCTGTAAACCAGGCGAGGTAGTTAACATCTCACCACCGTGAAACACTCTTGGCCCTACAGGAACGTCAAGTGCGGGAAGCTGATCTGCACCAACACTCCCAACGAGCCACTCATCGGACACATTCCCAACTACGTGAGCTACGAGGGCTGCCGTGCTGTGGATTACAACTATGGGCCCGACGTTCCAGACCCGGGCCTTGTGCAGCCAGGAACCAGCTGTGGCTCTGGCCTGGTGAGATGCTGCCTCCTTCAAGCACATTCATTCATAATTATAATCCTCATCATCTATCCACTGGTAGTTGAATGCCTCCCCAAGTCGTCGCCTTCTCAGATGAAGTCACGATGCAACAATCCTTTAGCTCTCCTGCACACGAGCCGAGTTCATCACTCCATCTCCGTAGTAGACGTCCTGCCTGCCGTGTTCTCAGTTTTCTGCTGCCATTCCATCGTTAATATTAACCAACCGGCCATATTAGGGGTCGGCATCCCAAAGAACAAAAAGAGCCATTTTTTTCGAATTCGGTTAAAAAAAAAACTCCTCAATCTTTCAAGAGCCCCGCAATGCACTGTGTGGTGAATCCAAGACGGTGGTCCTTTAATAAATAACACCACGGAGCGGTTCTTAAAGAGCCGGACGCGGCTCAGGAGCCCACAGGTTTCCGACCCCTGGGCCATATCTAATGATATGCCCCTACCCAAGCCTTTTTCATAGCAGTCCATATGATGTCTCTAGCCTGCGTACTTTCCATAATTCCTGTGTTCCTCATCCATGCTTCTGATATACACAAGTTAAAAAGTCCCAAGTGTCTTAATGTTCAATTGACCATTTATAGGTGCTCATTTCTGTTGATGGTCCTGGGTCATTGGTGGAAAATCCACATTTCTATGTTGGGGATTGGTTTCTCCCAAGGATGGCCATTGTTGTGCTTTCCTACAAGGTTGTACTTGTTTTATCAACCCCCGAAGGAAGGAATGATGTGCCGAGTGATTTCTAACCAGGATTTGAAGCTGTAAGCTTCTGATTGTGAGTCAGGTGATCTGCCGTATCAACATCCAGTAGAATTAACTGTATAGATTTAGACACCGCAATCTCCGGATTATAGGACAACGCTTCTCTCTGTTTATTTGAAAGAAAACGTTTGGGGTGTACATCTTATCACCTGAAAAGTGTTGTGTGACCAGATTTGTAAAATTTTGTTTACTCTGGGCACATATTTGGGTTGCATCTAACTGTTCAGAGCATCTTATAATCATGAGACTACGGTAATGCCCGTGTAATAGTTAATGTACTTGACGATGCATGCAAAAGTCTTTTTAGGAAGGTCCTTTGGGATAGTTGGCAGATTTTCGCTATGTTTGGCGAATTTAACTTGGCCCTCTGTGTCTGCACAGGTGTGCTATGATCAAAAGTGCCAAAGTGACACGATTCTCGGTTATGACTGCAACACCACCACGAAGTGCAATGGCCGTGGGGTGAGTGTGGTTTTTGTCCTTCCTCGCACGCGGTGCGTTCTCTCCGGGCGCACCGCTGTTCCCTCCCACCTGTATAAGCGGCTCATTAATGGACTGAAAACATCTTAATAAATGAAAACCCTATAGAGCAGGAATCCTCATGAAAAACAGTGCTTGTACCCAGTGTGGCATTTCTGAATAAGTGAATAATCATCATAATTTTTTCAAAAGCCACTTACTTAGCTGCCTCTCCGTGCAAAAATAAACACCCCCCACTCTTTCTGCGATGCATTGTATGTCTGTTGAACTTCTTTCGCACTGTACGTAGCCAGCCGCACTAAGAGGGAGGTGCTGTCACATAACTGCAATGTATCGCAATTATAGTATTTGGATCGCCTTTGTGGAATTTACCGCTGTCGCTGAGATATACCCGTTGGTCAATTCCATGCCAGGTTTGCAACAACCACAAGCATTGCCACTGCTCGATGGATTGGGCCCCCCCGGACTGTTCTTCGAAAGGCTGTGGGGGTTCCATAGACAGCGGGCCCACTTGCAAAGGTACGCATGGCCGTGTGCGCGCACACACGCACGCCACGCACACGCCACGCACAAGGGACGTAATGATGTACACCCTTCACGATTCAATGATTCAATTCGCGATACCATTATTATTATGATTTTCTCTTATGGTGCCAGTGGAATCCGTGGTGGCTTCAGGGCTTCCATAAGCCAGCAGTGGTAAACGTATCTTTTTTACTAAGGGCCAAATAGGACTTTCACATACCTTTGGCCGACCACACGCATCGTAAACATGTAATGACATGTATACAAATATTTTAGAGATGTGTACACTACAGTTAAGGCGGGTTGCGTGACGATACATTTAGCATGAATGTAATTGGGCTTCTTTGTGTTTCTGTTGCGCTGTTTCGGCTCTATTACATTGTGCCATGTCACGTTGCATTATACTGCTGCATTGGCTTGGTTGAGTGCAGTGTAGACTAATGGGTGTCATGTCAAAAGGGAATGGAGTTTGTCAACGGAAGATGACAAGTAGGGTTCGAAATGAAATGCTTTGGAAAAGTTACTGTGACAGCACACACAACTCGTGAAATTCTATGGACCACAATTAGCTCCTAGCCATCATTAGACGAACAAATACGTGGTTCATATTCTTAGTTCTTTCGGTAAAGTCACGTTGAAGGGGGGAAAAATATATATTTATATATTTATTATTGTTTTATATATTTTATTGTTTCCCTTCAACGTGACTTTACCGAAAGAACTAAGAATATGAATTACTGCAATCACGAAAGCTTTAAATCAAGATACGTGGTTGTTGAAGCACATCAATAGATCCAGCAATCTTTACAAACTAGAAGCAGAGGGTACCCAAGGAAGACTCTGGATTGAGAAAGTCGCAGTCTGGGTGGGCTTGAATCACAAGCAGCTGATCCATGGGTTGAAGACTTGGAAAAGTGGAGGAGGTCATGACCTGAGCTTCATGTTTTATATCGTTTTTTTCAGATTATTTTTTGGGGGGGATTTGGGCATCGCTTGTAATACAACAATTATTGCCCATCCCAAATTGTGTTGAGAAAGTGGTGGGGCTGCGGGTCTTCTCCTTGAGCTCCTGCAACCCTTGTGGGGTGTGGGTGCCCGCCCCCCCCCCCCATAATGCCATTTGCCAGAGAGTTCCAAGATTCTGCCAATACGGTCGAGTGGGTGGATGAGTGGCATGCATCAATCATTGTCTTGTTCTACATTCACGCTCGTACTCCGTTCTACTGCACATTTCTGCGCTGCCTTGGTATGCTAAAGCAGATAAATCCCAGCTATTGTGGCTGCTGTTGCTGCTGGTTCCGGTGCTGGCGGTGGTGGCGTTCCTCGGCAGACGGCAGTACATACGCAGAAAGTACATGAAGCGCAGACAGGAGTGCAGGTGAGGACTTACCCCCATGCACAGCTCTTTCGGGCTTCCTAGGTCTGATTGATTGCATATAATGTTGTCCTTCCCCCGCACCTCCGATGAGTATGGTTGGCTACGTACTGTGTGAAATAAGTTAAATATACTTAAATGATCATTGGACCCGTGCAGCATGATTGATCATGATAAATCCCAAACCTATATTTATTATGCAACTCCTTTGTAAACATTAAATGAGCCTTATGGCGGTATCCCGGGGTACCAAATAATACTAAATGACCGAGGCAATTAAATATTTTATTTCTGGGGCACTTTTTTTCCAGGGGTGTATTTAACTCCGCGACTGGGGTACCAATCAATCTGAAATAAGTGCCACTCTGCAATGTCGAAACGCAGCGAGGACGATTGCCCTGAAACCCGGAACGCTCGTACGCACCGTAATGATGCATCGTGTACAGCTCATCGAGATGAGTCAATTGCTGCATTGCCGACCATCAACAGACTAAAAATTACTGCATCACGGACATTATTCGAGAGCCGGGTTACTGTGGTACCCCGGGGTATCGCCATAAGGGTCAAATCTAGATTGATAACTAATGTCTTTCGAACTGCTTTTTGTGTTTAGTTTGTTGTTCTTCACCCGTACCTCCAATGAGCACGGTTGGCTACGTATGGTGCGAAAAAGAAGTTCCACATACATATAATCCACTGCAGAGCGATGGCTTCTCCACTCTGTGTCCAGTCATAAGAGCCGTTTGGTCATTATTCACACTGGTTCGTGTTAGCCGTGGCCGTGAATCGAAATCACGTCGCTGGGTTCAAAGTGCAGTGCGTGAACCACGATGCCAGCGTGCGTGATAGCGCGACATTATTTAAGAAAAAACTATTTAGAGAAATGAATAAAGGCTTTGTTTAAAATATTTTTTGTAACATTAATCTGCATACACATCAGTCCACGCACTTTCATCTCTCAAACACAACCCCCATCGATAATTGTTTTTTTACCTTTTTAACTGTTTGCATTAACCACAATACCTGCGGTCGGAATGCAAACAAAAAACATAACTCTGATAATGTATGCACTGTCCTTGAAATTGATTGGTCCACACCCGAGACAGCTTTCCTTAGAGCCTCGTCTCACGTGGTGTTGGACCAGATGACGCCAAAAGGCGCACAACTCAAAGACAATGCACCATCAGAGTATGAGAGTTATGTTTTTTGTTTGCATTCTGACCGCAGGTATTGTGGTCAATGCAAACATGACTCCTTGTAAAAAAAAGGTGTCAGTTTTGTTGCCAGATAAAAGGGTAAAAAAACAATTATCATATTTTGCTACTGGCAAAGGACGTTACAACCCCCATCGTTAAACAGCTTTCACACCTGTTTAGCCCCGACCCGTCTTGCTGCACGCTTCGTCAGTTGGAATGTTATTCGTGTCACTGATTCTCCGATGCCAATATTGTTTGTGAAAAGCACAAAACTTTTTTTTCCCCATTACAGTTCTGACAACACCAAAGCAACGCCCAAAGGAGAATCCAAATTTCGACCATCGTCGCAGTTTATGGTACGCTGTTTTGACGTTTACAAAGGAACTGATTATTTGGCTTGCTTAGTTTATATGATGGTTGTTCATTACAACCCAGCCAGACTGATGTTGTTTACTTTGACCTGCCCCTCGTAGGACTAACATTGCCTTCCTCTCAGGAACACAAATACCGACATAATTGCATGGTTCAGTGCTGCACGATGGGGATGGGTAGTTGTTTGTAATAGTAGGCAGGGCTTAATTTCTCACTCTATATATTTGAATATTTTACCCGCCGCTAAATTCCAGGTGGTGGCACGTAACTCGTCACCACAGCCATAGCAAGACACAATCCTGGACGTGGCATGCCAAGTGTGGAAAGATTTTTGGGTCACCGACCCGGGCAGACGTGGTTTTAAAAATACGTTTCACCTTCCTGGTTTTATAGAAGTTGAGTAACTTCTTAACTACCCTGTCAATGATCTATTGAAAACAAATACTGATTTTTTTATATTAATCCCCACTAGGTAATTTGAAACGATATAATTGGGTAAAAAAATTAATTCCTGCTTAAATGAACATTGAGGCAGTGCTCATCTTCTGTTTATAGAACTGAGTCCGTGGTGAAAATCCATATCGCTATGACGGGGACGAGTCTATCAAAAGGAAACCACTGTTGCATTCCCCACAGAGTCGTTCTGATTTTATTGACCCCAGAAGGATAATGAGCTGAGTCAAGAGCCCACCAACCAGGATCTGAACTCACAACCATCCGATTGCGAGAGCCGCCTGCTCTACCGCTGAATCACCTGGCCGAGTACTCGAGCTCTAGAAAACAGGATGTCTTTAGAAAAGTTGAATTGACATTTTACAATAAAAAATTGTATTGTTTGTCGATCGGCATATAATGCTTTCGTTATGATTTTTTTTACAAGACAATTGATACGAGAATTTGAAGTTGTATAGCATCCAAATGTGATCGCATCTCGAAATTCTGTTAAAATATAAACAACACTCGCATGCCGTGACTTTTGCTTTGCTATAGGAATGAGTGGCCTCACCTATGCCGTGATAACTTCTTAAGTGGCCAGCCAATGTGAGTGCGGTTGTTCACAATCTTTTTAATTTGTTAGGAATCGTCTCAAGACAATGATTACAATGGCAAGGCATCGGATCCCAGCAGCACAAATATACCCAAGAGGTAATGGTTCAATACTTTACTCACTGTCCCTAACTAACTATAGCTTTCGTGTTTCCCCAAATTGCGTAGACACCAATTGTGCTATCGCCGTCACGTCTTGAGGCATAGCATACATTTGTGTTGAACACCCAAGCAGCTAGCAGTGCAGTACCCCGTGTCAGAGAATGACCTGTGAAGATTATATCATTGAACTACTTCCGTGGTCACTTTGGTAAGCCTCTTTATCCACAATAGGGGCACACCATTTCTATATTGTGCACAGGTTGTTAATCACATGTCAAAGCAAATCATTATTTTTTACAAAGTTGAATCAAGCAAAATTTTAATGGACAATCTCGTTTAATATTATAGTTTTTGTACAGTCGTTGGTGACCGGGTTAAGACCACCGATTCTTGAGATACTGGTGTTTTTTCATTGGCGGCTGCCTGGACTAGAGCCGAGGATCTCGGCGATAGCCTGCTCAGCACACTGAAAAGGCATTATACAAAAAATCTTGAACGTTATCTATGTTAACTGTTGAGTGATGCAAACCTTGATGTTGTTGATGTGGCATTGTGTTTCTTTAGACCTCTGATTCCACCCCAAGCCAGTGCTCCCAAAACCTCAGCGACTCAAAGCCAAGTCCACGTAGGTTACCAGTCTTAAGTTGTTCAGATAAATGTCTTAATTCAGCTCTTACTCTGTCTATAACCTCCATGTGTTCTGGTACAACAACGACAACAGCTGCTCTTTGCCACTAAGCAATGGTGACACAAACACACACACACACGATCTTTATCAGTATTTGTGATATTGTGAAATGATATCAATTGTGACTGTCTTGTTGCTCATTTTCCCATTGCAGTTTACAAATGGCTCTGAAGTCTCTACAATAGTGCCCACAAGGTGAACTTGTATTAAATAAGCGCATCCTGTCTTGTTCATTGTAACGTAAACTACGTGAATACAGGAGTATTTTTGATAGGCGTGTAACGATTAATCGATTCACAAATTAATATCGATCCTCACACTCACGATATATGCATTGAATCTAGTGTGTAATGAACGATCATTTACACTTCATGCAAATCATATGCAAATGATGAGTTAACGTTGAGTTTTGGCTAACAGCAAAACAAACTCAATCAAACAAGAAATGAAATATTAAACTGTAATTACAATCTGTTAAAAACCATCGTCAAATATAATATTTTTTTTAATCAAATAGTTACTCTGAATTGTGACACTTTATCGAATCGCTGTGGGAGGGAGATTCGTTACATCCTACCACGGGCGATGGAAATACGAGCCTAATTTTGCATTAACAGTCTTGTCGGTGTTTGGCCATGGGCCATTTCAAGTTTGGCAGTTTGCTCTGTATTACAGGAGCTAATGAGAAACCGCAGACGGAGCACTCAACCACACTTTACATGGCCCTCCGCCATCATCTGCATCACACCCTTTGTGCTTTAAATCCACCACCCTTTTCACCGCTTAGCGGGCAGCTTTTATCACATTGTCAGAATAAGGTTGCGTATTTGATATCGTGTCTCAATGCGGGCACCGTAAATTTCGGGAGCCCTAAGTTGTGGACTGGGCAGTGGAGGTCGTTGCCCAAGTAAATATTGAATGCTTTCGAAATCCTCGCACTTCCCTCCGACACATCTCGGTCATACCACCTGCATGTTCGGGAAACATATCTCTTTTAATGATTTGGATCAACAGTTCGGCGCTGTAGTGTTAATAACACGTCTGTGCCCCACCTGTGTTTCGTGGTTCATGTCATATGCAGGCCTCCTCCGTCGGTGCCTATGTATTCCAAGCAAGGCACATCCAAAGCTACGGGACAAGAAGAGCCGCAACAGCAGTGGCATACAAAACCTCAGTACTTGGCTGAGCAGGATGCCTGGCAGGTGGGTGCTTGATTTTTGGAGAGAATGGAACTGCTGCTTGGCTAGAAACTCTGTCCTATGAGACCAGCATTCTGGCCACATATATATGTGGAACTTCTTTAACACCGTACAAAGTCACCTGTGCTCAGCGGATGTGCCACTCTGAGAAAACGGAGGGGAAAACCTGTGTATGTCCCAGCCACACAAACACAAATGTTGTTGAAAAGTTATTGTTTGGTTTTTAATATCCCTGCAGTTCACAACACTCAAATATGTATTTAATTATGCAACCGTCACTTACTGCACAACAATGCTTCGGTGTCGGACAAATAACATCCTAAAAACAAGAAAAATCGTTTTTATATATATAAAAATGTTTTTCTTTCAAATATTTCGCACATCATACAGTGTAAAATTAATTTTCCCACTTAACTTAATAGGTTGGGTTAAAGAGTGTATCTCGCATTGTTTTTATCTTGAATGACTGTGATAACCATTGGAGGGACACCTATGGTAATCCTCCCTTTCGTGTAGTCCAGGTTCCGTGAGTTGTAACGCAGCCTCTCTGCCAATGTCGACAATCACAGATCAATAAAGAAGCCATGGCGGGGTCTCGCGATGACATCTCGGGTGGTCACGGTGCCAGGTGGGTGCTCGCTATACTGTGCCTGCACTAGCAAACAGTTTTTTAGGCAGTTAAATATACAGGGTGATCCATTTATAGATACCCCACTTGATTCTAATGAGCCTCTTCCCACTGTTGTGAAAGTGATGGCTGAACATCATGCAAGAGAATAGTGTTCAAAGATTTCAAACGTTTCTTCATATATATTTTTTAAAAATCCCTATTGCTGTATTTCGTGGAGGTAGCTATAAAAATGGACCACATTATCATCGTCAAGGCTACACACACAAATTAGCAGATGCCAACATTTTCAAATTAGTATGCCACAAAGAGTGTCTGTGTTTGCACATTGCTTCCGCTGACTCGGTGTGTGTGTGTGTGACGCCCTGTGTGTGATGAGGCAGGGTGTCGTCTAAGCCAGCGTTGCTGCCAAAGCCAGGCAATCTCACGCCATTAGTTTGAGTCGTCTGTTCCTCGGAGGCCACGCGTCTGATGGTAGCAAACGGGACAAAATACACTTGAGACTATGTAAGGCTCGTGACATTACATTCATGGGAACATGGGCTGTTGTTATGGTATGTATTGTTCATTATTGCACGCCTGCATGTGCAGATTTTTTTCCGAAGTTGCATATGCAATATTTTTCAACAATAGGGTACTCTCAATGTTCGTTTTTTTGGCATGAGGCTGAAATTCCAAGCTCACAGCAGTACGCCGCTACCTGCTTGCATTGCCACCTTTTTGCCATTGGTTTGATCAACACTTTTGAGTCGTTTGTAGGGGTGGATTTTTGTTCGGAAGGACAACAAACACTGAACTCATTCTGAATGGTCTGGGCTACCATGTAAAATTTCCAGCCGTTCCCCTTATATGCAAATGCAGGTCCCCGTTGAGCTGCATTATTATTAAAGTTGACATTGGTTTTACCCATTCCACAAGTTATTTGGCGCGATTGTGCATCTGATATGAATTCCTGCAGTCACGAAAGCTTTAAGTCAAGATTTATGCATCTGATCTATAATTAAAATATTGGGCTCGTTTGATGTGTTGGTGCATGCCCGTTTTTATATATTTACATATATATTGGCAAAGCCATGCAAAGGTTTCCTTTACCATCGTTAGGGAGAATCGCCAAAGGTGATGCACTTCCACTGTTTTGCCACAATATGAATCCGGCCCAATGTGGTAGAATTTTTTTTTCTGTGATGAGCAAAGTTTGTGTTTTAGGTACAGTTTTACAGTCGCACAGATACCGTAACGTTGACATGTTGCACGCATGTGTGCTTAATACTCAGCAGGGATATTTCTGAGCTCTTTTTAGTTCGAAGGGCTATACCACATTCTCTTGAATACGAAACGTGCACTGGAGATGTGATTGCTTTCTGGCATCACACCGCTCGTTTGTTTGTACGTACGCGCTACTGATTTCCTACAACGGAAGAAATATTGACGTGAATGGGTCTGAACTTGCACATAAAGCAAACCACTGTACTTTAAAATGAGATCTGACACTTGATGTGATTTTACTTCTCAGCCATGTTTGAATTTCATTTGTACAGTGTTTAAATGCATAATGGTATTACTCGTGTAAGGCTGTCAAATGGTTTCAAAATGTATATTATGACCTGAGTAAATGCCAAAACCGTCATATAAACACGTGGTCGCGGATTACCTGTTTCTCTTACTGAAAAAATATAGTGTAGAGTTAATTAACGCATGTATCAGAGCAGAAGTAGAATAATCAATGCAAGTAGAATAATCAATTAAAGTAAATGATAAATTAACGTATGATAAGCCTTGAAACAACACCTGTAAGTTTTGGTTTCCCTTGAAAAAACTAACCGTTAATTTACGACTTTTATAAGTCTCGCAAAGTGGGTAGTCATTGAAGAATGTACGTTTTATGTGTTATGTCAGTTTATGAGTTGTTTTCTCTCCATCATAACTTTGTGATCCGTTAAATTTATTCGCAAATGCCAACATAGTGCTCAGTATTTAAGGCAACATTGGAACATCGCCCTGCTGAAAACTTAAACCTGTTAACAATAACGATTTATAGTGCTTTGTCAGTCAATTTTACTGACGAAGGCCTTCCGACGCCATGACAGTCATGGGGGTGGTTGCATGAGCATACTTCATGTTGCTGAACAGTGCGGGTTGGTGAAGGGTGGCCTGGGACAGCTTCAGGTATCTTTCGCCACCGAATGTTAATTGTGGAGAGAAATAGAACTCCGGTAACCGGAATCATAATACGGTGCACTAATCACTGTGCTACCGCTCTACCCGATTGTGGTCCATAAGATCATAAATGTCCATCGACATCGTGTGGGATTACCAAATGCGTCGGGCTCCTGTTGTTTGATGTCCAAGGTAATTTTTGGGTGATGTCACAAACTTTGGTTGGTACAGAATTTGACAGAAAGAACGATGGCAGGCAGCCACAGTAGTTTCTGACTCCCAACTGAAGGAGGGAATGAATTCCACTTGCGGGTTCATCAGTCCACATTCCGATAACCACTTAAAACTCCCAGCAACGACGGGTCATCTGAGTCTGGCAGAGACGAGGTGGAGTTTGTTATCTCTTCACACTGCAGCTACAAGCCACCAGATGTCATGAGACAGCTTGCGTTACACTCGGGTTTATTCTTCTGTTCGCAGCTCACTGTAATGTCCCTGTTATTCCGACCATTGTGCAATGCTGCTGTTGCATTAGCCCGCATTCCAAATGCATGATCTTTGCCCGTAGAACACGACACGTGTGTCTGCGGTTTTGAGATGTGCACTCCAAGCAAATCCTCATTTAAAGACGTACATTATGTATTACGTTTTACCATTATGACAGCCTGTACAATAGCATTAGTAAGGAAACTCATGGTAGAGTGTCAAACATTTTTTTCTTATTACAACGTGCATGTTTTTTTTATTTTATTGGCCAAATTCTTTGTCCCACATCGCGTCCGTTTTTGTTGCACTGACTGTACGCTCTGTGCATGTGTGCGTAATGTTGGTATGTATACTTTTTTAAGGCAGAGCACCACAGTTAAACTGTGATGGATGGATGTTGTATGTTCTGCCAAATTCATTGCTCTATACACGGAGACAAATACAAAAAGTGCTGATGGTGGGCTTCTATGAGGAATCACGGAGCACAGCTGCCCATGCCTGGCCGTCTTTATCTCCATAGTGCCGATGTTTACACACCGCACCAATTACACGTTTTAGGCTGAGTTTACTAATGCAGAGAACCAGGACCAGCTCAAATGTCACGGGATGCTGTTGTTAGCGGTGATTGGGAATTGTACCCAGATACCTGGGTTCATAGCGCAGTACACTAACCACGACACCACCACTCCCCCTGTAGACACACATGCATGCGCATGCCTATTCTTGCAGTAATGTCCTGGGGATGGATTTGATCACAATCCTTTATTCAAGGATTATTTGGAATCTAGAATAGGGCGGAACTGAGATTTAAATCATCACAGAAGCTCAACAATGAAAACTACTGTTATTGGCCACTAAAACCGCTGTTAAAATATTACGGCAATGTTAAGACAAAAATTTACCAGACCTTACACGCTGCACTAACTGTGTGTGGGCTGTCACAACATTTAGAAATACACACTGACATAGATTATACCACACGAGTTTAAATGTTAAGACTTATTGTACTGTGGTTATGTAATGTTTGAAGCCTGTGCACTTAATGTTTTGACTGCAGCTGATGGCTGCTGTGTAATTTTCAGTCTGCATAGGTTTGTCCACTTGATTACAAAATATTTAAACATGTTTCAAATAAGAGGTTTTTACTGCTATAATTTTACCCTCATGGATTGAGAGCATTTTAATAATCATTAAAGATATACAACCACTCTCATAACACAACGCTGTTAACCGATTTGAATTTGAATGTCCCATTGAGCTGTAAATATTGTTAGGAACGCTTTTATGCAAATTTAATTATCCAAGGTGTATCAGAATTTAATGAAATTGCAGATGCAGGTTATTTAATAGGTTCGAGAATATTTTGTATGTATATACTGTAAAAGTACATGTTGTACTTGATGTGAATGGAGATGAATAAAGTTGTCTTTGGCTGTTCATTGTGTGCACGCGTTTACTTAATTTAATCGAGTTGATGGCGCCGTGACAAATTAATTGGAACCATCAATGGATGTTAAATGGATATTAAATCTCAATGATCAGAGGTAATCAATTGATTCGGGGTCTGAATATATCATGTATGTTAGTGTCAGCCTTCGCCACTGGCAATGGAAGCATGGAATCAGAATATTTATACTGGAGGAATCCGATGAGCTATAAAGCTCTTTTTCACAGATGTCTCGTAGAAATGTTGAGATGTACTTGTTTTGTGGACATCTTAATCGTCAGAAGAACGGTGTGACTCAAACCCATAACATTCTCTTTCACTATATCTTTTTTTCGATTTCGGGAAATTTCAAACAACTTAGAAAGTTTGTTTGCCAATGGTGTGATCACCAGGAATGCAACGCGGCCAGATCTGGGTAATATAAACCTCTCCAGAAGAGCCGAAGGATACACGAGTACATTTGTGCTGGACGTCAACAGGAGCTGACCCGTAAGAAAAACTCGAGCCATAGCAGTGACCTGGTATAACAACATTACTCAAAACATTCGTCAATAACACTGTGGCCTTAAAAGGGAATGTTTTGTCCTGAATCGTTGCATGTTATGTTTATTTCTTTGAAGGCCACAATGTTATTGTTAAATGTGTTGAGATTTGGTGTTATTTGAGCATGTGCACCACTGCCCAACGCAGCAGCAGCAGCATCGTCACCACCGCCCGTCCGCCTTTGTCTCCCCCGTGGCGATGTTCACATACCACACCAGTTACTCGTTTGAGGCTGAGTCGACCTAGGGGAGGCCCAGGAGCGGTTGAAATAATCGTCACCGGTGGTGGCCGTGAGCGGGAATCGAACTCGGGTCGCGAGGTTCGTAGCGCTAACCACTACACTACAATGCGTTACGCTTCCACACAGACACACACACAGACACACACACAGACAGACACACACACAGACACACACAGCGCGCTAACCACTACACTACAATGCGTTACGCTTCCACGTGCGCGGGTCACGTGACAGATTTGACGTCACAGCTCACTTGCCGTGCAAAAAAATCTATGCATTATTGAGCTCCCCCCCCTCCCCCCAAAAACAAAAAGTGTATTTTAATAAATTTTGCATGGTGTACAGTCTGGAAAGTACCCACATGGTAAATGTCAAGTTTGTTGCATGTCGGGAAGTATGCTAAACATTTTGAACAGACACACGTAATCACAACTTTGCCTTTTATATATATGGAGATAGGCACTAGTTTGTGATTCTTCAACGGAGGAGTCGCAAAACGACATGAACTCACCTGAAGCTCTCTCGTCGTGGCCAGCAGACCTCGACATTGGCATCGAAAGCGCTTGAACATCTTGCCAGACGCAAGAACGATATCGACGCATAGACAAAACAAAGATCATCCTTAAATAGCCTGTAACAGACTGTCGGGGCAAGTGCTGTTAGCGAGCACCTTTGAAGGCCGGCACTGTGGCACACGAGGGGGTGGGTGGCCGATACCAAACCCAGAGAGACACATGCATGAAAGACAAACCACAGCAGTGCGATGGTGGCCATACACATTACAACTTTGGACCATTCAGTAACCTCCCAGTGTGGTCTTGCGCTGCTCCCACGGAGGAATAGCAGCAAAACTACGCAAACTCCCTGCCTCTCTCTCCTGAAAACCCTCTCGTCGTACCCGGGGGATCTCAACGTTGCACTTTGAGTTCAGCGTTCTTCAGAGCAAGGCCCGCGGGCCACTGACCTCTGACACGCGGACCCCGACACAAAGAGTGAAAACAACCCCCATCATCATCACCATCATCATCCTCGTGCTGGTGTCAACCCCAACAATGGTTCCGAATGTGTGGTGGCCCTCGCACTGACGATGTCTTATCGGAGAAAGTCGCTCCCTCCTCTGTAAATTAGTTTTTTTTAAACCCGCTGGCGTGGATGCTGCGTCTGGCCTGGACCCAAAGAGCGACCAACGTGGAAATAAGACGACAGGGTTCACATATAGAAGACGACCACCTGATGATGCAAGGGAGTGGTGAGAAAAAATGGAATTAGCTGGACAAATACGTAGGACGGACAATAACAAGAAAATTACAAGTGTGTTGTTCTGGAAACAATGTAAGGAACCGCAAGGGAGAGGGAGACCTCGCAGATAGAATGGATTGACGACAAGAGAGCAGAGCCGTCAACCCATCCGGTTCACCCCGTATTCTTGTACAGGGAAATTGATTTTTCAGGTCCACACGGCGTACAGCCGTTTCAATACGGGCAAATTGTTTGTCTACTTGATTGTGTTTCTCCCTTGTGATGATGGGATGTTATCGGATGAACGTTGAGATTTATAAGGGACCACGGGGTGACCAATCAGATGTGAATTGGTCTGTAATTTCAGGTAGGGGCTGGACAGCTTTGCAGGAGGGGGCTTGGTGCCAGAGAGATGTTGCGCTCCTTGAGACACGTCAAGTTTCAAGTTCAAGTTTCATTTATTAGGTATAGCCCTGTGAGCCATGCGGCTCTTAAGACAGGGCAGAGGAGTGCGGTGATGGGTGACGAGGTGTGGAGTGGACACCCGCGCGGGGGGCTCTCTGCCCCCCACAGATCGTGATGATGATGATGAACTATGAACTAAGACGACTGGTCTAGCCGGGCTCCAGACTCCCCAGCCAACCCCATCAGAGTCAGAATCGCTCCCTCTGGCGCCTTGCGTGGCTCACTACAAACCCTGGAATCGTTAAATAAAACATCACTGGTGGTGGTGGCGGTGGGGAGTGGAGGAGGTTCAGGGAGGGAGGAAGCTTCCCATCTGGAGAGAGAGAGAGAGAGGGGGCAGCAGAGTGGTTCCGGGAGGGTCCCACACTCGACACTTTCATTCTGCCCCGGTTGGACTCCGGACCCCGGCTGCTGGGTTCAACGTCGCGCCACGACCTCGCCATGCCGTGGGGGCGGCGGCGAGAGCCGCGCGGCGTTTCGCGATCGCCGCTGTTCGTCTCCTTCCTCCTGCTGCTGCTGCTCCTGCTGCTGCTGTCTCTCGCCTGCTGCTGCTGCGGACAGCTCGTGGCAGGTAACGGTGGCGGCGAGGGCAGTGGGGAGGTGGCCGCACGCCCTCGGCCTCCCGCGGCGTCACGGAGTCCCGCGGCGTTCCTCTCGGCGTTGCGTCGAGAGCTGTTGGTGTGGGATGATGATGATGGTGGTGGTGATGGTGTTGATGTTGTTGTTGGTGTTATTGATGTTGTTGTTGCGAGTGGCTGTTCACTACGGTGTTGTGCCATTGTCTCTTGTGGGGAGCGGTTGCGTTGAACCGGTCCTGGGCCTTCTCCCCTAGGTCGACTCAGCCTCAAATGAGTACCTGGTACGGTGCGTAAAAACATCGCCACTGGGGAGACAAAGGCGGCCGGGGACGTGGTGCTGGCCACCCACCCCCCTCGTGTGCCACAGTGCCGGTAGCCTTCACAGGTGCTGCTCGCTAACAGCACTTGCCCCTACAGTCTGTTACAGACTATACGGGGGGATCTTTGTCTTTAGCTGTTTCGTGCCACTGACCAACTCGTGGTGGGCATCGTATATCTGTCTATCCACTGCTGGATGAATCACGTATCCCACTGCTGGATGAAGGCTTCCTAGCGGTGTATTTCCCTGCTCTGGCCGCTGACGTGGGTGTATGACTATGCAGAACTATTTTTTTTGTTTTAAATTTAGACCGGGTAAGGCGTAGTACCACTGAGCTACTTTGCTCTTGTTCAGGAGCGACCTCGCCATCACAAATGACGGCGCAACGCAACGGCTCGTGTCCCGAATCAATCTTTACCTTGCGACCTGGAAGAATCCGATGAGCCAAGAAGCTCTCTTTTTTTTTCCCACAGACGTCCATCGTCACATCATCATCATCCCTGCTACAAGCGACGTGTCCTGTCCGAGCGCCCTATCTGAAGTGCCTCTACACTCAATTTGTCCTCTCCACGCCGCATCTCATTTTTTGATGCCCTCCGTCTTCACTAAATTCGGTGTTACATTTCGAGCGTGCAACCCGTCCAACTCTCTCGTTTCTCCGTGCACTTTCAGAACTTTCGCGCGGATTTTTTTTTTATTTCAAAGTGCCCAACGTTTCTCATTGGTATTTAATGTGTGACACGTGGTATGTGCGCATGTTGGACTTCTTTCGCACCGTACGTAGCCACCCGTGCTAAGCGTGGGTGCGGGGGATGAACAACAAACTAGACATACAATATGCAGTTCTTAACGAAATTAGTTTTCAAACTAGATTTAAAAGCCCCACTGGCTTCCCAATATCTGAAGGAAGAGCGTTCCAGACGGCCGCAGAATCGCATCTGAAAGCGCCGCGCGATATCAGCTATATCCCAGTACATAAAGCTACATAGAACGTTACCAAGATTTGTAAAATGTAGTACTGTACTGTACATGAAAAGAGTGATTTATTTTCTGGTGGCAGAGCCGTTATATATAAAGCAATGGCAAGGGACTACATGAGTAAGATAGAAGGACTTCACGGGGAAGGCAGAAAACTGAGGCTCAAGAGAAGTACGGGCGAAATAAAAGTCACGTAAAAGATGTTTACGAAACGAGCAGAGATCTCTGTCAAGTGTGATGACTAAACGGAGTATCCACACCATTGTGCACGAGGATTAACGTTTTAAAATTGGTGAATATTACCTGCGCTGGGATATAGATTAGAAATATGGTTATTGGTAAATACAATGGAACAAAAGATGACAAGTACTCGAACAAAGAGATGCATGCTGGGAATTACACTGAGAGACGGCAAGAAGAACAAATGGATCAAAGATAAATTGCAAATTATGGATGTCAAAATTTCCCGCACCTTCGATTAGTACGGTTGGCTTTGTACAGTGCAAAAGAAGTTCAACATACGTCATATTGAATGTGAAGACACCTAATTGGGTTTGGGCATGGACACATTTCTTAAAATGTGAATGGCCAATAGACGAGCCTGGTGACTGAATGGCAGCCAAAGGAGGTAATGCCTAGAGGGGATGATGAGATTAGCTCGTGCGCAACAGCGAGATGGAGTATGGCTTCGCCGATACATTATAGAACTATCCACATTATATTGGCCTTTGAAACATCGCATAACGATCCTAAACCTCGAAGTTTGGAAAGTTCGCTTTTGGAGTCTGTGCTGGTAGAAGCATCTGTAAGCATTGCCTTTGATGTGAGCAGGTGCTGAAGTTGGCGAGCGGATGAACTCCCAGGGCTTGGTGACTGGGGAACCACAGAGATGGGACGTCACGGTTCCATACCGGCTCATTGGACGGGACAAGCGGAAGGTCGCGGATGCCACCGCGGGCGTGAGTTTGACCGTCTCCTGCAATCGCTAGGGCCTAGCGCAGGGGTGGAAAAGCTACGGCTCAAAGCCGCATGAGGCCATCCACCTTTAAATGGCCCGCGATCAATATTTAACCATCACTGCAAGCAGTTTTGCTGCACTAATCGGGCACGAGAGGGGAAAATGTTCAAGCTGACAACACACAGTGTTCTAATTGTAGTGCACTCAGTAATTTCTGGAAACAAGTGATTGTGGTGTGTGTTCAAGTGTGGCCTGCCAACGGTATCTGAAAGTAAAATTCGGCCCTCGGTAAGGAAAGGGTTCCGCACCCTTGGTTTAGGGCTTCTAAAAGTCCAGTGCCCATGACGTTCCACATTTACCGGTCTACTCCATTCAGATAAGACAGTAGCACATTTTGTCGCGACACACTACACGGTCGAATGATTGTTAATACGGCTCACGTGACGTAGAGAACTGCGATTCAAATAAAGGCAAAGCGCTTATTTGCGTGTCTACCGTGTGTAGACACATTTCATTTCCTCTGAGAAGAGTGCAATGTGCTAAATGTGGGAAGGTAAGAATCCACTGTGGCTCCAGTTGGGGAAAAACCCCAGCGTAGTCCGTTTCCTTACTGTAATGTGAGTTTCCAAGAGAATGCGCTGTTGATTGCATTCTAATCGAGTCATCAAATCGGGAAATGAAAAATAGCGAGAGAAGAAAAATGAGTGCAGGCCAAAAAGATAATGTTTCATACTTCACGCAAAAACATGCATAAAAACAATTCGGCCTTTGTGCATTATGCAAAAACCCAACAGCATTTCCCAAAGTATTGCATTGTGAATCTCCATCAGTGTTTCTCAGCTCCAGTTATCTTGACCCCCCCCCCCCCCATACGGTGTGTGCAGTATGCAGTGGCTTTATTTGCAAATGAATAATTTAAATTATTAGTACAGTACCGTATTCGCACAAAGGTAAAGTGTTTGGGGGGGGGGGGGTTGGGGTTTTGGGACTGGAGTTGAGAAAGAGGCCCGCAGAGGGGACTTGCGTTACTTCCAAGTAGAGGCTATTAAAACCACAGACATCTTTGATAAGATGTTGTGAGATAAAGTGTGGGCACACACACAGGCTGAGACTGGGCTGGAGGCTCTTAAAGGATGATTCATCTCACAAAACATAAGTCCTCTTATCTTTTAGAACAGACTATACATCCATTCAGCAGGCTGTGTGGTCAGGCTTGTCCAAACTTTATACTGAGACCAAATATTATTAATGTTAAGTCAATTTCCAGAGCATTCCAATGACATCACTGTAGCATGCGTGCAGTAGTCCTTTTTAATACCACGACTGTGATGTTTCTATAGAGTGTACCTGATAATCACCTAAAATAAATTAATGTTGGACAACCCAGGACAAACATCCTACGTACATGCCTGCAAGATAGCGGCTATTTGTTTGTTGGGTTTTATCTTCAAAGTGGGCACAGCTGTGAGAATTACATCTATGCTTTGAGATGCATTCATGTTTGCATTTTATTTAAGTAAATATTGATCCTTGTGATGAATGATTATCTGATATCGTTTTGATGTGCCACTATTACAGGTACATTCTGAAATGATCCACAAATATGAAGTTGTTGTTTATGGATTGATTGCTGAAACTGTGGGCACTGGATATGATCTTTGTGCCGGACTGCTGCAGAGCAAAATATAACGTGCGGATGACGTCGTTTACAAGTATTCTATTTCTTCTTCCTTGCTTAGGGACGGCACCCAGAAAGGGTTCGATACATAATTGAGGCGGAGGGGACTCAGTACATCTTGTCTCTTCAACGCAACAGGTTTGATGTCGTTTTTATTGACCAAACTATTCGGTTGTGGCAAATACTGAACGATCTGGATGTTTAACTTGCTCAGCACTGCTGATGCACGCTTGGTATGCAGAGTATTGTGTCAAGCAGGGACTAAACTATTTATCAATGGGGTAAGGAATAACAAGTGCACATTACTCTGTAACAGTGGCCTACAAAAACGTCATGGACATCTTACACATGTAGTGACTGACTCGGAGACACTAAGAGTAGGAGGCACTGTTTATTAAACGGCCTAAACAGTTCACACTGGGTAACTACGGCTCCCAGTCAGGACAGCCGGTAGGCTGCCTGACTGGCGACGCTGAGACGGTGAAGACGGTGACGGCGGTGAAGACTCCAGCAGCACGATGGGGATCCTACTCCACACGACAGCCCCGAGCTCCCCTCCCGGGGCCCCTCTTTTACTGCCAGCGTGGCCTGGCTCCGCCCTGGCCACGGCCCCCTTCTGGAACCTACGAGCGGGTTCTCGATGTGCCCCGTCCTTGACCTTTCCCCAACATCCCTCTCTCTGGTCTATCACGTGACCTGCTGTCAGTCAAGGCTGCTATAGCTGCAGATCCCCTTCCCTGCCAGCAACAAGCGCTATGCTGCTAAGTGTCCGATTCTATGTCACTACACATACGTAAAGACATATCCTCCGTATAGCCTTAACAGACTGTTGGGGCAAGTACTGTTTAGTGAGTACCTATGAAGGCCGGCACGGCACACGAGGGGGTGACTTCGAATCCTGCTCACAGCCACCAACACCACTGGTGTTGGAATATAATCGTCACTGGTGTTGGATTATAATCGTCACTGGTGTTGGATTATAATCGTCACTGGTGTTGGATTATAATCGTCACTGGTGTTGGATTATAATCGTCACTGGTGTTGGTGGCCGTGAGCGGGCCACCAACACTAGTCATGGGCCTCCCCTAGATCTACTCAGCCTCATATGAGTACCTGGTGTGGTGTGTAAACCTCACCACTGGGGAGACAAAGGCGGCCGGGCGTGGTGCTGGCCACCCACCTCCATGTGCCGTTTTGGCCTTAACAGGTGCTCGCAAACAGCACTTGCTCCAACAGTGTTTTACACGCTTTGTCTTTGCATAAATGTGTGTGTGAGCACTCTGCACGTGACCGTAGTTGCTAGTGAGCCACAGCGCTCTCCCCCGCAGCACTTAAGTGTGTAGTGGCACCTGCTGATTGAAATGTTGGTGTTTTTCCACCAGCTAATGCAAAAGCACTCCTGATGGAGCATTGTTTTGCATCGCTTTGTCTTTGCGCAAGTGTCAGCAAAACCAACGATAAGCCTTGCACATAAGTGGATATTGGCACATTTACTCATCCTCAATCTAGCAGCAACAGATGAGAAATTGTACATAGCTGCCTGGCCATATCAGAGTTCATTTTAGAAAGATTCGACTGCATTGCTCTCTAAAGCCCTAGTTTGTATTTACTATATTTTAGAAAGATACATTGCCCATTATGCTTGTGCCAATTCACTCAGATTTGAGGGATGGTGCGGGGCAGCACAGTGCTTCGCGTATTGTGCTAATAACCCAGCTGTTGTGAGTTTGACTCATGGCCACAGCGAAGTGATATCTGTGCCAGACCTAGGTACCCCATTAAACCACCCCCATCTGACCAGTGTGGTGAGGTATGGTCAAACAAACCCCATAACCGAAAGGCAAAGGGGGAGGGACCTCATCCATGAGTGGATTGATAATGGGTTGTATACTCTTGTTTGTTTAAGACTCCATGAATTGTCACAATTAAGCATTACTATTTAATTGAGCCTAAGTTGTGTTGTCATTGCGGTGTGTGTAGAATGTATACTGTCTGCATTGTTTCCATGAACCTATGGTGTGTACATGGACATGTAAAGTATTTCATAATTAATACCCTTTATTTTCTGAGCAAAGTCTCTTAGTCTTTAATATTTTTTCAGCAGGGTGTTTTGCATTGGGATGTTTTGTCAGTTACATTTAGTGGGAGTAAACTGGAGTATGTGGAGAAAACCCATGCCAAAGGGGGGATAACCATGCATTTTGCCACAGACAGACTGAATAATCCACTTCTATACAGCCGTCTCCTGCTTCGTCATGAGCATAACAGTTCATTTACATCTCTATTAATGATGTGCGTTTTGTGTGTGCTTGTGCAGTTTATTGTTTTCGGGAGATGCCGAATTTTCACGCCTCGTCAACTCCAACAATGTCCACGGAAACAGGAGCGTAAGTGTTTTGCAATTAATTTTAATAATTAGTAGAACATTATTTAACAAGGGAACCGACAAGATGGCTTTGGATGTTTCTGCCACTACACTTATGGTCTTCATTGAGTTGCTTTATTTTGTCCGATTCAGTATAAATGCCTTTATTACAGTAATAATTGCTGCTTACTACAATCATACTGTAATTAGAGTTAACTTTGGTAATAATAATATAGAGCCACATCTGACATCATTGAATAATCAAACTACACTACAACGTAGAGAATCACGTGATGCCTCATTGGCCAGATGGCTCAATTCTCGGTTGGGGGTTGACCGAGCCTATCATCCCTCCAGGGTCGATAAAATTGCGTACCACTTTTTGGCGACCTCAGTAGTGTTTTTCCTTTAGACAGACTCAGACTGGGCAGAGGTATTGAGCAGGTATCTGTGAGATGTAACTATAATCACCATCATTATCGGTTACACTTTGTCCACTGCCAAGGGAAGAGCCACCCACGCTCCCCACATTGCTTTATGAATCGATTAAATGGTGCTCCCCCCACCCCACCCACCCCAACCCCTCCTGTCAATCTGCTTGGGCTTTTTTTTTGCTGATGCCACTGTCCTCTGGCTGTTGCAGGAGCACTGCTTCTACCAGGGCCACGTCGAGGGGCACGGGGGCTCCGCTGTGGCTCTGAGCACCTGCCGTGGGCTCAGGTGGGTGAGCCACTGCAACGCATGGCGCGGCGTTTGGTCGCGTGAATGCGCCACTGTTGCGACCAGCAATCCAGGTGCCGGTCAGTTGCGTGTAGAGAATTATTTTTTTTTTTTAAGAGCGAACACCGCTCAATAACTTTCGAGCAATGAATGTTCCTGTTATACGAGGCATGTGACCCGACCATACTTGACATCTGTTAAAGAGTGCTTCATAGCTCATTGGATTCCTCCAGTCTAAATAAAAATCCTGAGTATTGCGGCCTCTACTGGCTGCCACTGGGTGCCTAATTGCGCTTCTGTTCACCTATGGCCAACCGCTCCCTCTGCGTGCAGGGGCCACTTCAGCGTGGGGGACGTGAGCTACGGGGTGGAGCCGTGGGGGGGGGCTGGCGTGGCGGGGGAGAGGGTGGGGAGCCTCCACCGCGTCTTCCGTCTGAGCGACGCGTTCCCCGCCTCGAACTCCTCCTCCTCCGCTTGCGGCGTCGTCCACCCGGAGGAGCCCACGCTGCACCACGACCCGGCGCTGGAGCGGCTCGGGGGCCAGCAGCAGCTCCACTTCCGGGTCGGTCACGCTGCCAGGTCCACTCCGCTCTGCCCGTGACTTCACTTGGTGCACGTGAAGTCACGGACAACCAGGAATCGCATGAGAGTGTGTGTTTTGTGGAGAGGGGTAGTATCGCGGTTAGAGCACTGTGCTACACACCCGGTGGCCGTACTTCGATTCCCTACCACGGCTAACATCAGTGGTGTATATCTGAACTGGTCCTGGGCCCCCTCCTAGGTCGACTTAACCTTAAATGAGCCACCTGGCGTACTGGGGAGACGAAAGCTACGGTGCCAGCCTTCTTAATCGGTGCTCGCTTAACAGCACTTTCTCCAAACAGCCCGTCTGGCTATATGTGGGATATTTGTATTTTTTTTTGTATTTTTGTCGTGGGTATGATTCAAGTAGGTTTTGGTTAAAATTGCGGTGCAGTTATATACAAAACGTCGTCATAGGCCAGTTTTTTTTTATTACAACAAAACGAGAGCCCGATACAGCGCGGCTCGGATGACGGGGTATCACAGTCCAATATAGATGATGCCAAGTGGGAGGTGGGGGGAAAGACGGGGTCCAGCTACCTCAACCGAGTGAGGACATCATGTCGGGGAGAAGATGAAGATTTAAATGGGGGAGTGTAACCGACCTGAACACCACGGGCAGAAGGGGGTCATCGGTTGAGTTTTAATAACAGAACGGTGTGCGGTTGTTCTCCTGCAGAGGAAGCGGAACGTGCTGCCCAGCACACGCTACGTGGAGCTTCTCTTCATCCTGGACAACACCCTGGTAAGTGGAAAGTGGCACCTCTATGAATCAATGGCTAAATGAGAAGCCGTTTTAGATGTAATGGAAATCGGATACCCGGCCTCAAAGACACGAAGCTTGCCCCACCTTGAGGAGGTGATGACTTAGGGGTGCTTGAAACAAACATATTTTGTTTTGCATGTGTGTACATTGATTATTTATTCCATTATCATTAGCCATGACCACTACACTGCTGGATGAAGGATTCTCGAAGCCACCCCGCACGGTCCCATAGAGCTCCTGCCCACGACGAGAAGACATCGTTTCCTCGCCGAGGTGGATGTCCATTGGGGCATGCTCTCTCCCCTTTAGCTGCCACTCCCATCATTAGTTTTAAACTAATTTATAAAAATGATCATCGTAGCTATGTTTGCATTGCCTACATGACCATTGGCTGGGGGCCCGCTTCAAACCAATACGACAACCTAGGGAAGACTTCATCCAGCATTGGATAGATCTTGGCTGCTGACGACAATCATGATATTGATGATGCCCTGTTGTGATGTTGTGTGCATGCGTGAGCGTAGTACACTGGACAATATCAATCCAACAAGACGCTGGCAGTTCACGACATGGCCGAGCTGGCCAACCTGGTGGACTCGGTGAGTCATGAGTGACTGGTCACCGCTTCTTTCCAACTCGCCGCTGCAGCTCGAGAGACTCTTGAGAGCGCAAGGCTGTCCCCTTTGTATCGAGGGCCAGATTGAATAACACGTCGTCAGGAAAACGAGGTTTCGATAGGTCGAGCAGTTTACCAAGCTGGGCGTTACAATGGCAGCCAGAGGTTGGCAACCAATGGGAAGCTGAAAAGCCACGTGGTCAAAAACTGTAAGAGCAGACGTTCAGGTACGGTTGCCAACTCCGCATCATCTGAAAAATTTGGCAGAAATTATGGCGAAAGGTGGTATCGTCTCTGGACGACCAGTGTGAATTTCGTCACTGAAATCTTTGTCTAGGTATATCGTTTACCTCATTAAAATAAAAAAGGATAGATTTATACATAAACTTAAACGCTGGTTATGCAGTGCGAAGATGAGCATGTGTGTGTGTATGTGGGGAGCGGCAGTGTCGTAGTTAGCACACAGCCCTACGAACCCAACAACCCGATTTTAAAGCCGACATCGGTGACAAATTTCTGAAGCTCCCGTAGGCCAAAATCAGCCTTAAAAATTAGTATCTGGTATCGTGTGCAGTGGACGCCACATTGTATCAGCACTGGGGAGACAAAGGGGGCCGGGCTTGGTAATGGCCATGCACCCGCTCGCGTGCCGTGCTGGCCTTTATAGGCGCTAGCTAACAGCACTTGATCCGACAGTCTGTTGTATGTACGCATGTTGAACTTATTTTTCACCATACGTAGCCAACCGTGCTAATCAGAGGTGCGGGGGGAAGGACAACAATATCAACACTAAACACTGTGAAGGCTTCACGGGGGGACTCCATGTGGCGGTGTGCGTGTGCGCGTGGCAGTATTACCGCGTGCTGGACATTCGGGTGGTGCCCGTGGGGGTGCACGTCCTCTCGGCCCAAGAGGAGGCGGCGGTGATGGCGGAGGGTGACTCGGCGGGGACCGTGCTCGGCAAGTTCCTCAAGTGGCGGGAGAGCAACCTGGACTCGATGAAGCGGCACGACAACGCCCAGCTCATCACGTGAGCCTCGCTGCGGCGGTGCCGCCGTAGGATCGGCGAGACCTGGAGGAGGCCAAGCTGCCCCTCACCTTGTCGAAGGCTCGGCTCGGCCCCATCTTCTAAATGCTCCTCCGATTAGCGTGGTTGGCTACGTGCGGTGCGGAAGAAGTTCCACATAGCGTACATACGTCAAGTGAAAAGATCAGTTTAACACGTGGACTTTCGCGAGCAATATTATCCATAAGACGTTTTTTGTTGGATTAGATTGCGGACATATAAAGTGTCGTTAAACCTGCCACACAGGTGTGCTGTACGAGTAACGATGCTTTGTTTACGTGACAAACCTTACTAATTGGCTGTGTCGGGTGGTGGCGGGTTTAACGACACATATCTATGCGATCTCACCCAAAAAAAAACCTCCATTGTCAAGTCAAAAGATGTCAGCGGAGTGTTTTAACACCAGTCACAATGAGCCATGGTATGTCGGAGCCTTTCTTCGTATATAGACGGAGCGAGAGCGAGAACAGAATACATGACGAAACCAGATCATATCGCTACTCGATCTAATTAGCATTTAAACATGTTTAAAATGTGTGTCGGCCCCCCTCCCCCAGAGTTTTTGTGACAAGGTCACAACAGGGACCCATCCCCCCACCCACCCATTTCCAAAACATTGTGTTTGACAGGTGTTCACTGATAAACCCTCCCATCGATTGGATGAGTTACCATTGTTTAGCTTTGTGATTCGATTCGGAAATAGATGCTTTTTTGTCTCGTTCAGATTGCCTCGTTGGTATTGTTTCTAATGCTATGCTTTTTTTTCCATCTCATTCGTATAGTGTTGGCGTACAAACATAACACCGGCGTTTATTTTGCACGAATCGTAAAGAACCGATTCTCGCACGCACAATGTGGTGTGTGTAAGATGAGCGTAAGACTCGATTACCGCTTGCTCGATCGGTGTCGTTGCACGCCTGCTCCGTATGTCTGAGTCGGTGACCCGTAAGCGTATTTCGCGAGCGGTTAAACCGATCGTTTTTTTGTGCCTGCAGCGCACGGCAGTTTCAGAGTATCCTGGGCATGGCGTACGTGGGAACGGTCTGTCTACGAGCAACATCTGGCGGAATCAACACGGTAAGTGGTGTGAAGCAAGGCAATGGCCCAACGTTGGATGTGCTTGGAACCGTTGGATCAATAGAAAGTGTTGCAGGCTGTGGGACTCAGTGGTGACCAGCAGAGGGCAGTGCAACAAAATTCATTGTACTGTGCGCGTGTATTGTGCAGCGGTTAGCGCTACGCCGCGCTACGAACCCGGCGACCCGAGTTCGATTTTCGCTCACGGCCAATACCAGTGACGATTATCTGAACCGGTCCTGGGCCTCCCCGAGGTCGACTCGGCCTCAAATGAGTACCTGCTGCGGTGTGTAAACATCACCGCTGGGGAGACAAAGGCAGTCGGGCGTGGTGCTGGCCACCCCCACCCCCTCGTGTGTCGTGCAAGCCTTCATTAGGCGCTCGCTAGCAGCACTTGCCCCAGCATTCTGTTAAAGCTATTTTCTGTGCGCTTGTGTAACTCACAGCTGGTGGGGAGCAGTGTGCTGATGACGGCGTCCGTGCTGTCCCACGAGCTGGGACACAATCTGGGCATGAGCCACGACGACAACCGCACCTGCAGCTGCGCCGCCGAGCACGGCTGCATCATGGGGGCGGTCATGGGGTAACTAACTACCGACAATAATGATGAGCTTTAAAATAATGTATTGAGCATCATTAATGCACATTGCATCCAAAAACACTGTAGGATTCATAACGCGCGCGGTTTTCACACGCGCGGTCGCGCCTCCGACCTCCTGCGTGCTCAGCGACATCTTGCCGCGACTTTAGCTGGATGTGTGGGGAGTGATAGTGTAGCAGTTGGCACGCTGCGCTATGAACCCGGCGGCTAGAGTTCGATTTCCTCTCGCGGCCAACAGCAGTGACAATCATCTTAACCGGTCCTGGGCCTCACCTAGGCTGATTCAGCCTCGAATGAGTACCTGGTGAGGTGTGTAACCATCGCCACTGGGGAGACAAAGGCGCCCGGGCGTGGTTGTTTGCCACATCGCCCCATCGTGTGCCGTTCCGGTCTTCACAGGTTGCTACTCGCTAAAAGCACTCGCCCCAACAGTCTGTTAAAGGCAACACGGGGGATCTTTGCGGTGCGCCATCGCCCAGGTCGCCACCGGCGACGGTGTTCAGTGGCTGCAGCGAGGACGACCTGGAGGGGCTGGTGAACGGGGCCACCTGCCTGCTGAACGTGCCCAAGGCGGACGAGGCCTTGCGTCCTCCCGTCTGCGGGGACAAGATGCTGGACGCCGGCGAGGAGTGCGACTGCGGCTCCCCCGAGGTGAGGCGGCCGCCCGCCTGGATCCAGTCATTCATTCAACGAGTCATTCATTTGTTTGCGCATTTGATTCATTTGTTGTTATACGATTATTTATTCTGGTCATTCATTATTTTGTTAATGTGGTCGTTCATTGGTTTCAGGTGAGTGCTACCCGTCTTCGCCGACATTAATTTATTCTTTATTATTTTTAACACATCTTTGTCTTTGTAGGTGCTCACAAACAGCACTCGTTCCACCAGTCAATTCGGGGCTATACGAGGTTCTTTGTCGTGGAGCAATAATGGTGCAGTGGTCAGTGCTAACAAGTCGGTGACTGAGTTCGATTCCCGCTCACAACCAATGAACAGCTGAACCAGTCCTGTGCATCCACTAGCTCGACTCGGCCATAAATGTGTACTTGGTGCAGTGTATAAACATCAGCACTGGAGAGACAAAGGCGACCAGGGGTGGTGTTGCCCACCCCACCTCTTCGTGTGCCATTCTTACCTTAATACTACAGGTTGCTTCAAAAAATGTTAATGCAAAAGGAACGGATAATACACTGTAACATGATAACAAATGTAATTTTTTATTTAAAGCTTTCGTGACTGCAGTAATTCATATTCTTAGTTTTTTCGGTAAAGTCACGTTGAAGAGAAACAACAAAATAACAAAATATATATAAAACAATAAAAAATTCTCACGACGTTTCGACCATAACTCAAACGGTCATCATCAGGTGTGTCGGTTTGCATAAATTTATTTTGAAAACGGCATATTTATTTATTTATATATAAAAAAATACCGTTTGCGTCACGCGCAACGATTGGCAGTTTGCCCAGGACTAGTCCATCTATTTTTTTGAAAAGAGGAGGGGGGAGACGAAATTTGTTTTTATGTATGCTGTCTGAAAGCCACTGTAAGCGTGAACAATCAATCAAGAACTGAAATGATTTATCAAATCTTTCCAATGATTGCTAAGATAGAATCCATCTTCTCGGTTGAAATTGTCTCTGTGCTTGTATATGTGGATAGCCTCATGAACGAATCTCTCATGGAAGCCAGATGGCTTACAAAGAACCTCCGTCTTGGAAAAGTCAATGGCATGTGAGCCTACTGAATTAGAACAATGATCTGCTACGGCCGAGGTGTTGGTCCTACCGTGTTTAAGGTCTGCTTTATGTTCACGAATGCGGTCCGAGATATGGCGTTTGGTTTCTCCAATGTAACTACTACCACAGAGGCAACTTAGTTTGTAGACACCAGGGTATTGTATGTCCGGAATCACATCTTTTACAGACGGAACCAGATCACGGATTTTATGTAATGTGTTGAAACGGACCTGGATCTTGTGTTTATTCAAGATTTTGGAGATCTTTTTTGTGATCCCAGCAATGTAGGGTAAAGTGATGGTTTTGAAAGGCTCCTCAAGAGGGTTCTTCTTCATGGTTTGAGTGATAGCTTTGCGGATTGTATAGTCGGAGTAACCATTAGCCCTAAGAGCTTGGTGTACGTGCTTGAGTTCACTGCTTATGTGTTCCTGGTCGGATATGCATTGGGCTCTATGATACAGAGTCTTGATGAGAGAATTCTTCTGTGATGGATGGTGGTGGGAATCCGGTTTCAGTTAAGCATCCGTATGGGTAGCTTTCCTGTAGACAGAGTGGCTCATTGAACCATCAGGTCTCTTTTTAATTAGGACATCCAAAAAAGGTATCTTGCCATCTATTTCGACTTCCATGGTAAATCTGATGGCTGGGTGTATGGAATTGATGTGGTCGAAGAATTGGTCTAGAGCAGGCCGGCCATGTGGCCAGATGACAAAAGTGTCATCCACGTACCTCTTCCATAATGTTAATAGCTTCAAAAAGTCGGTCTCCACTTGTTCACCATAATTGTCGACACGTGCCTGGAATCTCCTCCAGGTGGTCTCCAGAACCCGGAGGCAGCACATGTCACGTGGTATTGTCGCAAATTCCCAGAAGTATTAACATTTTTACGAAGCACCCTGTAGTTGTTCACTATAACAGCACTTGTCCCCACAGGTCGTTGAAGGCTACATGGGTGATCTTTGTCTTTGTGTTGCAGGAGTGCGACAACGAGTGCTGCGACGCCCGCACCTGCCGGCTGCGATCTGGAGCGCGCTGTGCCTACGGCTCCTGCTGCAAGGACTGCCAGGTCAGAGGTCGTCTCAGTGAACAGCTTCACGATTTCCCGGTCGTACGTGTTAGACAAGACATGGTTTCATCATTCGTATAATCGTCAGGTGGCCTTTTACTCTTGCATATAAGTCAGTCAACTGCGGGGTCGGAGCTCATCGTGCCGTGCAGGTCATCGGGGATGTTTGACCATACTTAGCCATGTTGACCAGTGCACGGGTTGGTGAATGCAGAGAGCATAGCAACACAGTGCAATAATAGAATTTTCTGCACTGCGCAGAGAAGGAAAGGAGATGGCAGTATGTATGTAGAACTTCTTTTGCACCGTATGGTAGAGCAAGGCAGCAATGGAAACTTCATAGAGAAGCAGCAGTCGGTTATAATAGGCAGGAGGAAACGAAGGCCTTCAGCCTGTACCTAAATTGGGAAACAGTATCGAGAGTGAGAAGAGCCAGGAGAAATTCTAGAGAGGGAACAACAACAAAGAAGGAGTGGCCTCCTATTTGAGCATATGTTAAGGGTTTGACAGAGGGCGTCGGTTGCTTGAAGGGTAAACACACGGAGGGGAATGGAGTAAGATGAGAGGGAAAGAGTAGATGAGGGTTGATCTGATGGGGTGATATATGGCAGAGATGTCGTGCATCATTTGGAGATAAAATGTGAGGGTAATGTGGAGGCCGCGGATGACACAATCGCTGTGACTCGAGATATGACGAAGGCACATTTTTGTTGTGTTGGCTGTGCCGCTGGCAGTTTGTGGGCCAGGGCGAGGTTTGCCGAGCGGCCCAGGGCGTGTGCGACCTGCCCGAGTTCTGCTCCGGCTCGGCCGCCTCCTGCCCGGACGACTCGTTCCTGCAGAACGGCCACCCCTGCCAGAACGCCGCCGCCTACTGCTACAACGGCGTCTGCCAGACGTACACGTCGCAGTGCGAGGCCATCTGGGGCCCCGGTGGGTAGCCCACAGCCCTCAGATCCACTCCGGCACCCCAAGCCAACCGCAGCACGAACTGTGAATGTTGTTTTATACTACTTTGTGTGCTGGCCGTTTGTCTTGGCTAAATCATTTGTGAGGCTTTGTTTTGAAAGTCGCAATACAAACAAAATGGTGATGTGATTTTGATGGCGTTTCTCAGAATCAAATCCTGCTTCTGACGAATGCTTCTTGACCGTCAACACAAAAGGCAACGAGTTTGGCAACTGTGGAACGGTCCCCAGTGGCAAGTACAAGTCCTGCTCCCGCAGGTGTGTATCTCACCTACTCTCTTACTATTATTGTTGTTCGTCCGTCTCGTTGGGGCAACACCTACACACCACTAGCGTTATCTTCCTTCCATCGTGTGGACTCCTGGGCAGCGATTAAGAGATTATCGTGCATAGGTTCGGTCCGTTCTCAGATGTTATGGAGCTAGTAAGTATTTGGTCTTCCAACGTTGCCTCTTCTCATCAGGGGGGACCTCTGTAAGGCGGTTATTGCCAGGCCTGATGATCTTGTGATATGGCTATACCATTTTAGTTTACTCTTGCAATTCAGTTACTGTAACCGGTCCAGCAGTAATTACGATATAGCAATGTACATTCACCGTTTGAAAACACTACACATCTCTGCCTCTTGTGGCCCCAAACTGGACATTGCCGCCCCCTGTGCCATGCCAGGGACGTCAAGTGCGGGAAGCTGATCTGTGAGAGCAAGAACAATCAGCCGCTCATCGGCCACACGGTGCCAAACTTCGCCTTCTATGGCCAGTGCCGGGCGGTGGATTACAACCTGGGCAGCGACGTTCCCGACCCGGCTCTCGTGCAGTCCGGCACCAAGTGCGCCGACGGCATGGTGAGTGAAGCGTGCGGGGGGAAGAAACGCGGTGGGAAGCCAACCGAGCAGCAGAAGCCCTGGGGTCGGTTGAGGAACGACAGAGGTCGTTTAGAGTTCACGGCCAGCAAATGTATGTATGTAGAACTTATTTCGTACGCACACCGTACACAGCTAACTGTGCTAATTGGAGATGCCGGGAAGGACAACAAGCTAAACAAAGCATTGGGAAGAGCTTTTTCGAAGAAGAATTAAGGAAGTGGATGTGGAAAAGCCCGTATGGTGAAATTTGAAATTAGATTTGCTTGATTATGATAGACAAACCCCAGAATGATATTATATATGTACATGCCAGTTAAAAGTGTAAAACCTATTACTATATCTTGTTACTGGCAAAGGAGGTCTCATAATGTAAATGCTCACCCCGAGCCCTCAATACTCTGATAGTGCGCTGTTTTTGAGTTGTACGCCTTTTGGCGTCTTCTGGTCCAACACCAGTGGAGACTAGGCTCTAAGAAAAGCCGTCTCGGGTGTGGACCAATCAAATTCAAGGACAGTGCATATTATTATCAGAGTTGTCTCTTTTGTTTGCATTTTGACTGCTTGTGTTGTGGTTATTGCAAACATGATGCCTTGAATAAAGGTGTCAGTTTTTGTGCCATTACTACACCAGTTATTGCTTACATCAATGGACAGCCTGGCTAATACATTTTTGATCATTTTGGAAAACTGATCTGGAGTAGATTAAACAGAACTGCAGCCAGTAATTTAATTTACATTGTGTGCCCCTATGGACATTGTGATCATTTGCTGGCAATTGTGATTGGTCCAAAACTCATGAACTTTTCGTCACATGAGCTTGGATCATATCGGCAGTATGCATCATTTACTCTGGTCTTTTTATAAATCAGGTATTTGCAAAAACTTTCAAATGTATGTTGGATTGGTAGAACAGTTAGGTATTCTGTGTCACGTGCATTTAGAAAGCTTGTGATTGGTGGGGTCTTTTTTATGAGTGGTTCATAAGATATCTGTACCTTTGGATCAGTCCCATTGCAAATACTTGTCTTGGCTACATCACCCATCATATGTACGTAGCCAATCATGCTAATCGGAGGTGAGAGGGGGGACAAAAAACAAAATTCAACGTAATTTTCACACTCATGCTATAGATTTATAACATTCTACAAATGATCTGTTGTCCGTGGATAAGGCTGTAATAGGGTTTAACCTTTTGACCATTTAACCTTTGTTTCAGGTGTGCTTCAATCAACAATGTCAAGACGCAAGAGTGTTAAACTATTCTATTGACTACACGAGCATATGCAATGGCCATGGGGTAAGAATATGTTGTTATTACTCGATACATACAGTCAGCTCCCAATAGGTCATAAGTGCCTCTGTGGGGCATTTTCGCCAAATTTTAACCTATTGGGCATGGGGCTAGTGGCAACACAAACGCGGCTTGAAATTGGTGAGTGGAGTTCAGTTTGGTTCCTGGCCACAGTTGGTGACATGACTTTGGTTCCTGTCCACAGCAAACATCAGTAGTGAGTGCTATCTGACCGTTGTTATAATTGGAAGCAAAAACTTCAAAAATGTTCGTTTAAATCAAATTGTAGGTGCCAAAGGGAGTAATTGGACATCTGACTACTGGACATCTGTGAAAGAGCTTTATAGCTCATTGGATTCCTCCGGGAATAAATAAATATTCGGATTCCGAGTATGAATTTCACAGCGGTCGTGTAAATCGTAGCAGTGCCCCCATCACAGTGGACAGAGAACGAAGCTAGCATGCGCGTCGAGGTATTCGCTTTCTTTTTTCGCAGGCGCGGTCAATCCGCAAGCCGCGGATAATCAAGACTTAACGCTTCGTTTTGTTCGCTGGTGCCCATATGTCACAGGAACACAACAACCACAAGCACTGCCACTGCGCGGAGGGCTGGGCTCCGCCAGACTGCTCCTCCACGGGATGTGGGGGCTCCATAGACAGCGGCCCCACCTGCAAGAGTACGTTGGGGTTTTTTTTTTTACTTCACGCGCACGTTTAATCCAGGAAAGCCTCGCGACTTTTTTTTTTTAGGATGACCCGCGGTGAGGAGAGCAGGTGAGGGCAGGTTGATGATTGATGTGACTGATCTCATCACAGCAAAATTGTGGGGTCGTTTTTTTAAAGCCGTCAAATCTGGACCCCGACGCGTGGGCACTCAATGGTCTATTCTTGTGAATGATGTCTACTCTTGAAAACGAATTTGTATAGATTGACATTTTTTCTTTAGAACTGCGTTGTTTAGTTTGTTGTCCATCCCCCGCACCTCCAATTAGGAGAGTTAGCTACGTACGGTTCGAGAAAAGTACATGTCAGGGGATCTTTAACGTCTACAGTGAATCAGACGGCGCACGTTATGACGGTTATTACACACCGCAGTAATAATCAGGGTGGCCGCTGCATTTGAACCCTGACTCTATGCAACACGCGGCAAATGTCCTACCACAAAGGACATGTCACCACCCCAAAGTAAGTGGGCACACGTGTAAAGTTCACAGCACGTTTCTTTGAGGTCAGAGCACTGAACCGGCACTGCTCAGATGCTGGGTTCAAACCCAGGTTTTCAGCCGCCCGCGATTAAACCGAGTTCTCATCTGTAACGAGCTGACAAGTCTCAGACCGGTCACCTTTGACTTCCCAAAAAAAACCTTCGCGTTCAAGTTGGTTCTGCACTATATCTCGCTATTTGCATGCGCTGAGAATTAAAATGTTGGTTTGATTGTTACGGGATTAAAATTACTCATTCGGGGCAGGTTGGGAAAGTATTGCCCTCTACTGTATGGACCAGAGCTCACTTCACGGGATCTTAGAGGTAGCTCTGTGATATCCACTTCCGTGGGCAGTTCTCTAACATGAAGGGTTGTGCTGCTCTGCGAGTGATGTGAAAGGATACTTCATTTAATGACATCAACCCACACGCAAGAGAGAACACTCAAAGAAGGCACAGATTGGTTAACAATCAATGGCTAACAATTCCCTCTCGGAGCTCTTATCTTCGTCGCCTGTTCTAAGCTGGGAGCACGGTTTCATCTCCTCTGCACCAAACTGCCACAAGGCAACACGTGGCTTGTGGTTGCCGAGTGGTGCGCCTGCTCTTTTTTTGCCATTTGTTTCCAGAGCGCAGCAGGCTGTGGCCGCTGTCGGTGACGCTGCTTATCGTTGGAGGAATAGCCATCTACCTTTACAGGAGATATTACAGCAACAAAAAAAGGTACTCGTTTGCCCCCCTTTCGTCCGCTTGCTGTTGCTATCGCAGGCCAAATATCAAAATCACTTGGCCCCACCCGCTTGCGCTCACGTACTTGTGAACTGCGCGCACACAAATGGAGGAAAAGAGAAGGGGAAGACAGAAAAGCAGGTGGTTAGACGAGGGTGGCACAAGATGTAGAAGAGAATTGTTCAGATTGAATGAACGAGAATTAATGGCTGAAGAAAGAGGGCCATGGAGGACGTTCGTTCGGCCCCATTATCGTCAATGAGCTGACGGAAAGGACAGATTACGACGACGTTGATGAATCGTACACTCCTCATCAGTGACAACAAAAATGTTTCCCCCTGCTGAAAATGACCAACTGGGGTGTTGGAAATTCCACCTTTCCATGTTGGCGCCCAGTCTATTTTTACAGGATTTACCACTGTTGATGACCCACAAAATGGTGGTCACTTTATCGGCCCCCGGAGGGACGATGGTCCAAGTCGACTTCTCCAAATCAGGATTGTGAATGCACGTGCTCCCTCCCTTGGCTGCCATTGGTCTCCATCACTGGCCACTTATAAGGAGATAGGCTCCACCGTGTATTGATTAGTATTTGTAATAATGATTCGAGCCTGCTTATTCTTTGGAACCTGCTGTCTTGGCACAAGTACACTGGCCACACAGCTAGCTGTGTCTGTGATGACATGACGTGACCCTGATAAATGTTTATGCTACAGATCTCAAAACAATGCTCAGCAGCTTAACCCAGAACCACCTGCGGGGTCTACCCACGCACCGCAGAAACCTTGGGTGAGTCTCCACTCTTTTTTTTTTAAACTGCTTTCCAACTAATACTTTTCTCTTTGGTTCTTTCGGTAAAGTTAATTGTCTCTGCTGTCCAAAAATCGAGGGTCTCTCTCTGTTCACGAGTGTGCCTCAAGTGTCGGAGTGAGATCACGCGAGTGTTACGTTTGTAAGTTGACGCCGAGTGTGCATGGCCAGAATGCACCAGCAGCGCCCACGGACTGGGACAGCCACCCCTCGACCACCGGACCTTCTTGGAACGACCCTCCCAGCCGCCCTCCTAGGCATGCGCTCCAACCCCGTACACACATACACAGGCGTGTAGACTCGCAGTCCGAGCGTTTCCCCCATTCCTCTTGAGACGGCAACAACCCTGCTCACAAGTACGGTCGATCCGCGTGCGTGTTTGCAGACCAAAAGCTCCCGCGGTTGGACGTACAGCTAACGCGCACACTCCCAGCCAACCGTACGCAGTGCCCGACTACTGGAGCCAGGTGAGACATTGATTCAATATCGGCATGGTCTACGTTAACTTAAAAGCACACATTCCTGAACTCGAGAATGACACTGATTATGGCATCATAAGCGTCACATTAAGTGGTGGCTACTATTCGATTGATCTTGGTATTTAAAAAAAAAAATTAAGCGCAATAGAATTTATTAATGTTTATTTGTCTGAGCAGAGGCCATGATTTCTTACTCAAATGAGCATTGGAAGTCGTGCCATCCTGAGCTAGTGGTGGAAATTCCACATTTCTCTGGTGGGGGCCCAGTCTCTTCTTGGGACAATTGTTGACTTCCCCACAACGGGGTACTCATTTTATCGACCGCAGAATGGATGATGGTCTTAATGAATCTCCCAGTCTTGTCACCGAGTCACCTGGCTGGATTATTCTGCTTCACCCTAAGTGCTAAAATTCCATCATGTAATTATCAGTACACTGGGCTTGCAATCCAGAGGTCGCCGATTCGATCTCCCGGCAACTGAAACTTTGGGCACGTTTCTTAAATCCCCCTGCCTCTGTCTGCTCAGCAGTATCAATTGCTAAACCACAGTTAGTCGAATGGCATGTGTGGTGGGGTAAAGTGTAAGTACTCTTACCACTTCAAACACTTGTGGCCAACGTTGAATAATAGGCCGATATACCCATTGGACAGTGATGAGAAGGAAACTGGCACTATTTGGACACACATGTAGGAAGGACAACAATACTGAATATTTACAGTGTGTTGTTCGGAAAAATGTAAGGAACCAGAACGAGGAGGAAGACCTAACAGAGAATGGCTTGAGGGTAACAAAAGAGATTGGTGCTGGAAAGACGTTCGCTTCTTGAACATATTGGCACAAGACAGAGGAAGGTGTAAACAAATGAGCAAATGTGCAGTGGACACCTAGGGGCTATCTGCCCGTGGATTGTCATTATAGCCATTAGAGGGGCTGTCTAGAGTTCCCTCTAGTGGTGGCCTTGCCACCAGCAGTGGTGTGAGCAAGCGATTGCAGAAATGTGCAACGCAAAAACAACGAGACTCTTCTTGATAACACCCCCACAGGAAAAATGGCATGCTCCACCGTGGCAATCAAGTTAAGCATGGTCTGTTAGAAGGCCTAGCAGTACAGTATATGCACTAGTCCACTATCTATGGCGGAATATCTCAACGCTACAGGGAAAGAGTGTTTACCGTCTCTGCTGATAACACGTAAATATGTTTTAATGCAATTTTTTCTACTTTTAATGTAAACAGGCATCGGATGGTGACATTTCAAGTGGACCTTTGAACAAGTACTGAATATTCCCAACGTTGCCTCTGAAAATACCTACAGTTGACTAATTGGCGAGTGACTGACAGCACTTATCACAGCAGTGGGACAGATGCATCACTTACGAATCACTCCTATCAGTTGGGGTTGTGCTGCTCATTGCCCGATACCATGTCCAGGTTTTGGCATCGTAGCACAACTGCAAAAAACCTCCACGCTTGTATAACTTTTCGTTCAAGACTATCATCAATGATTTCAATAGTGTACACATTCTACCTGTCATCCTTTTCACGTCCCGTTCAGAAGACTACATTTGCATGCTTATTCTCAGAAAAATATATTTATCCACATTTCAATGTTTTTAAAAGCGTACCTCGGCTCTCTCCCTTGCATATACATCTTATGCCTGTGACAAATATTACTCGCGTTGAATATTCTCTTATACCTCTCTTCTCCTGGACAAATGAGCCATGCCAGGGCTGTGCCAAGCCAGACTGGCACAGCTCAAAGAGGCACAAGGTTATTTCCCCAACAGAATCGGAATATGTATTCATACTGGAGGAATCCGATGAGCTATAAAGCTCTCTTTGCAATGTCCAGTCGGGGCGGGTAACAACGTTACAACAAAACAAAAAAACACGACAGGAGTTCAAAGTATCAGAAAAGTAAACAAATCATTTTTAAAAATATACAAATAAGTTGACATTATTTTTGTCTTACCAGGTAAAGCCCATTGAGATATATAAACTTATGTTTTTTATATATAGAAATGACCTGGCCACAAATGATAGCTCAACCTGGAGCTAAGTCTTGCCACTGAAGTTGCTCGCAATGAACCAGTTGTGATCCACATGGTATACCTCGACGCAGCTTCCACTGCGTTATCTGAAGTCAATCTTCCAATAACCTTGCCATTAGGGATAGCGTAGCACGGTTCAGGCTCAGCACGGCAAATAGACAGTGGAAAACTAAACGTACTGTGAGGGCCCACCCTGGCTTGGCTTGGATGTGTCGGTGGAAAAAGGGTATTACTGCTATTTGCTTCCCAAATAGCAGTACTGGGGAGGCCTTCAGCCAATTGTTGATGACCCTTATGAGGTCACATACGTTTTAATGCAATATTGTGTTTTTAGAGAAATACTGCACGTTTGCAACAGCTTGCTTAAATGCTTTAGAAACAGTGCATAACTGTAAATGTTTGCGTACAACTGGGTGTATATTCATTGCAAAATGACCAGTTGCTTTCCCGTGTAACATGCATACAAAAATCAGTGGCGTAAGCAAATAATTGCAGGGCTGCACCTGTACTTGGTCTGTAGAAAATACAACTACAAAAGTACCACACTTGGTCAGAAGAACAGGGTTAGAGATCGATTGAGCAACCTCCTGTGGGAAGGTCAGGGTGGGGAATTGGAATTCATCGACCCAAAGAATAATTTTTCGGGAAAAAACTTGAGACAGATTAGCTTGCAGTTTCTTGTGCATGGTGGCAATACTTTATGGAAATGCATATATGTAAATTATATTAGAGCTGCAACTTGTCAATTACTCAATGTGATCTGGTAAATGGGCCGAGCTGTGTAAATCACGTAACCTCGTGGCAGATCATTCAATAATTCTGTATGTCTACAGTTGTGGAATTTTGGTGTGGGAAAAAATAGCATTCCTATATTTCTGTGGCTTATGCATGCCACTGGTAAAATATAATATTCTTTTTCATAGTTGAAATGTTTTTTTTTTTTTATCAAGTGCGATAATTATCACATTGTTGGTTACAATATACTGCATATACAGTAGACGTAACCATGGCTTAATTTCGAACTGAAAATGTTCAGGGTCACACCAAGTGGTGGCATGTGATGAGTCGCCACAGCCAATGAGTGAGATATACTGGATGTGGTGAGTTGGATGCAAAACTATTTTCCGGGACATCCACCTGGGCAGTCCCAGCTGAATATAAGCAATGGATAAAGCAGTTAGCCAATAAAATAAATTATACTCGCACTACTTGAATCCTATCATGCGGGTAAGAATTTTCATTTATGAATTACACAGATTATATGTAAAATGTTAGATTTATTTTTGATTTACAGCTTTCGTGACTGCAGGGATTCATATTCTTGGTTCTTTCGGTAAAGTCACGTAGAAGGGAAACAATAAAATAATAAAAATATAAAACAATAAAATTCTCACGACGTTTCGACTGCAACACAAGCAATCATCATCAGGTGTGAAAACCACAGCAAGAAAATTTCTTACCGAAAGAACCAAGAATATGTTAGATTTATAGTAATAGGTTTTACCCTTTTAACTGGCACAAAAACTGACACCTTTATTCAAGGCATCATGTTTGCAATAACCACAACACAAGCAGTCAAAATGCAAACAAAAGAGACAACTCTGATAATAATATGCACTGTCCTTGAATTTGATTGGTCCACACCCGAGACGGCTTTTCTTAGAGCCTAGTTAAAAGGGTCAAACCTATTACTATATCTTGTTACTGGCAAAGAAGGTCTCATGTTAGATTTATGTTTGTGGTCGAACTAGATTGAAGACAAACGATATGAAACTATTAAAATTAGATTAATTTAGTTAATGATTGAATCGGGATCCCAAATAATGACGCGTGGGTGGAAGGTTAATCATTCAATTCCTAAAATACAATCAGGGATGACAAGTCACTGCACTATCACGGAGAGTATTTAAATTGTACACATTAACCTGAGAGGGTTTTTGCAATTCTACAATCATTGAGTTTCTGAGGGCAAGTGTATTAAAGCAAGTACATGGTAGAATATATAGCATGCACTGCTTGCTGAGAGGGAAGAAGCAAAGCACCCCTCTGATTAACGTAGTGCCACTGTTTATGTAGAGCAATTTATGTTTGTATTGAGCTTTCTTATTTTCTAGAACAAGCATTTCTTTATATTCCCCGAATTTGCTTTGCCGTGTAAATATAAACCTAGTAACTTTACCTTTTTAATAGCATACGCTTAGAGCCCAAGTAAACGGAATAACATTTCAACTACAATGAATGATCACGTGTATATAAAAAATGTATAGCCATTTGTCCATGCACTGCAGTAGCATTCCTGTGTACATATGAAGAATGATTTCATAATGCGCAGAAACTAGAAATGTGTGTGCTTGGTCTTTAATTAAGTACAATGACTTTCCTTATATTGGCTGAAAAGAGCTTTCCGTGGTGCCTTACAATTTACTTAAGGTATGTGCACGCATTGCAATTCCTAATAACAAGTTAAATAAAACGTATCTATTGTAGCATTCATATTACCTCGACTTGCCAAGTTAGGCATGTAAATATAATAAAATCATTATACATGAATGGGCAGGAGGCATATTTTGAGGAACTGAAGCACTCCCGTGGCAGGTCAGAGAGGTGCTCTGTTATTTATGATTTTTCGGTATGGGAGGCCTGAATTATTATTATGGGAATGACCAGTGCTCCTCAGTGAAACATTTCTAAAAACCCGACGTGGACACAAGACAATGGAGCAAATTACTGATTCATCACGTCCCAGCCCTTGCCATTGTAATGCACGTATGTGTCGCGTTGTGCGATTTTGATTTATGTCCATATGTATTGTTTGTGAACTCTCAAACTAGTTAATTTACACGTGTGCTTGTTTTATCCAATCAGAAAAAGCAATTAATGCTGTTTACAATTATTTGTTTTAATTAAGTGGAATTGAATGTTAATTGGTATGCATTTTGGCACAATGGGAATTGGCAGCATATACATTACATACATTAGAAAATCATAAATATCAATGTTTAAATTATACACTCATTACGTGAGTGTGAATGCATTTGTGCAAATGTACATTGACTTTTAAAAGCCATGTCTAGTAATTTCTATTCGCTACTGCATTTTTTACCAAGGCAAAAACCGTGCCTTATTTTTTCACAATGTGCAAATTTAAATAGGAAAACATTTTATTTCCGATACATAATATCCCGTAGTTCCAGACTTTTGAACAGTGGACAAAAGTAAAATATTATAAACCTCTGATTTAAAGCTTTCGTGACTGCAGGGATTCATATTCTTGGTTCTTTCGGTAAAGTCACGTAGAAGGGAAACAATAAAATAATAAAAATATAAAACAATAAAATTCTCACGACGTTTCGACTGCAACACAAGCAATCATCATCAGGTGTGAAAACCACAGCAAGAAAATTTGAAAAAAGTGGCGTTTTATTTTTTTAACGTTAGCACCACAGAGAGCGATATGGCAGTTATTCAGGTGGACGAGTCCATCTATGTTGGGAAAAGAGGAGAGGGGAAACGAAAATAATGGATGCGGTCTGAAAGCCACCGTAAGCGTGAACAACCAATTAAGACCCGAAATGGTTTATCAAATCCTTCCAATGATTGCTAAGCCAGAATCCATCTTCTCGGTTGAAATTGTCTGTGTTTGTATTTGTGGATAGCCTCATGAACGAATCTCTCATGGTAGCCAGATGTTTCCCTTCTATGTGACTTTACCGAAAGAACCAAGAATATTATAAACCTCGTCTATGTCGAGATTCACAGCAAAAATATACTTTAAAACTGTTTCATTAAAGAAAGTGATCCACCCCAAGTGCCGTTTTCATTTTCTTGCATCACTATTATGCTGAATGTGTTGTGAGCATTGCAAATACATTCCCGAAACACTTGCAGCACGCAGTCCCCAAGGTATGGACAAAACAATGTCAGCACCACGTTTCAAAATGAACGAGGCACCTAATAGACCAGACCCATTCATACATGGCTTGAGCCTCACTCCAAAACGTCACTTTTAGCCACTGTCTGGAGACGTTTTGGGTTTCAGCGAGTATATGTTTGCAGTAATAATAAAAATTTCACAAAAAACATCTGAATGCAAGTTTGGATAGAATTCCCGAATCACTTCCGTCAGTCACATGGGCCCCGAGTCGCTGGTTGTGGGTGAGCAGGGGAGCAGCAGCAGCCCCTGCTTAGTACCACACGCCCACAAACTCAGCACAAAGACCCCCCCCCCCCTTATCCCCCCCTCGTTATCATTCCCTAGCCCCCCCCCCAATCGTTCATCATTCCCTAGCCCCCCCCCCCATCGTTCATCATTCCCTAGCCCCCCCCTCGTTATCATTCACCTAGCCCCCCCTCCCCCCAATCGTTCATCATTCCCTAGCCCCCCCACCCCCCCAATCGTTCATCATTCCCTAGGCCCCCCCCCATCGTTCATCATTCCCTAGCCCCCCCAATCGTTCATCATTCCCTAGCCCCCCCCCCCCATCGTTCATCATTCCCTAGCCCCCCCCACACCTCCCCCACGTTGGCCGGGCTCCCCTGCGCACGAGTCAATGTACAGGGTGGTCCTGATGTCTTGTGAAACCCCCCCCCCCCCCCCCCCCCACCCCATGTAATCCTCTAAAACTTAACATGTTCGCATACCAAACGGTGTGAAAACAGAAATTTATTTAAAAAAAGGGGGGAAAATGTTAGGGGGAAATTCATGGGGGGGGGGGGGGGGGGTCACAAGACATCTGGACCATCCTGGTACTGTGCAGTAACTAAATGTTTTACAACTTTCGTGTTAGAGTTGTTACTTTGGGGCGCGCTCCACAAACGTTGCGCTTAACGCAGCTTAGCACGTACACTTAAATTACTTCTGGGAAGATGACATCTGCTAGTGCTTTGTTGTTGTTACAATCATCGCCTCCTCCTGACGCCACTGACGGCAGCTCCCCCCCTTGCCCCCTCTCACACGGGGGGGGGGGGGCGCTCCCCGCACGTCTCGTCGTAAAATGCGAGCCCCCCATTATCAAAAACAAATCATTATTCACGATCTTTATTTATTGTGGAGGAATCCGATGAACGATAAAGCTCTTTTAGCACAGATGTCCACTAGGGGGCAGGTCAGAACTCAGAACGTTACAACAACAACAAAGACAAAAACACGATCGGAGTGCAAAGTATAGATACACAAATAAAATTAAACTATATATATTATTTTATCTTACCAGGTAAAGCCCACCGAGCTATTAGCTTCTTTGATTGTGACGATGATAATCGAACCCAAAAAAAACACTCCTGAATGGAATTCCCAAAATCATTTACAGGAACCCGAGCCGGCTCCGGGCTCCTCTCGGATCGGGCGGCCGGACGAGCGCATGGGGGGAGGGGGACGACGACAGCGGTGGTGGCACCGCCGCCGCGAGCCTCAAAGTGCACCTGGCCTGGCACCAGCCGCCGTGGTTGATTTTAATGCAATGGGCCACGCGGCCACGCGCCCCCCCCCCCACCTCCACGTTTAAATACTCCAGCCAGCTGATCGATGGTTGCCATGGTGGTGGTTGTTGTTGTTGCTGTTGCCATGGTTGCTGTTGCCACGACTGCGTTGCCAACGCGGCCACAAACAAACCCCGCGGTGGGCCGAGGGAGGGAAGTCCGCGGCGTGCGCTCCAAAATCCTCTCTCTGGCTGAAGTCCCGCACGCCAAGCCCCCCTCTCATCGCCCCACCACAACTGCTCGAGTCCACTCGGCACGAGTGCCTCACGAGACAAGCCCCATCGCTCGCCTCGTTGGCCGGCACCAGAGGAGCTAAACGCCGACACGCGAGTTAGAGCGACACCCCCCCACCACCACCACCGCCAAAAGCCAGCGAGGATGGTCGACGCCTCTTGGTCCTCCACGAGGAAGCCCTACCCCATGCCGACCCTGGAGAATGACGAGAGCTTCACGGGGACACGCCTGCACCACACCGTGAGTGACCGCTGCACCTTTCATCTATCTATCTCCCCCCCCACCCACACACCTCTGGCTTTGCCGTTTTTTTCCCTGGATTTTTATGTTTGCGCGTAGTCACTTTTAAGATGTTTTCATGTTCATGTTTTATTGTTTGTTGCGGTTGCACCCGATTCAAGAGCCGAATGGCTCACAGGGGCTATACCAACATAAATGAAAACTATTAAAACTGCCTGACCCTGGAGGTTGACCGCGACCTTAAGCGTGGCGTTAATACTGTGTCACCATCAGCCAGCACCTTCATCATCGCCGCCAGTAGCCTCATTACAGTCATTGACTACTGCTCTAACTTGTTTTGTATATTGCCAGGACAAGGCTCGCTGAGATATGTAGCTCTTTTTCAGAATGCGACCTGTCCACAGATGCTAGCTCGACGAAGTGGCTTATCGTGTGGAAACTTATAGCAGTCAAATTCTCTAAAAAGCATGATTGTAAGTGTGGTGGGAAATACCGGAGGACCCGGAGAAAAAACCACGCGACCACGGGGAGAGAGACACGCAAACTAAAAATATACAGCAGGCGTCATTGATCAACACCATCACTATAAAATATACAGCTTTATTGACCAGTATGAACGTACTTACCATCATTATTCACCACTATTACCTTCATCATCAGTATCATGATCATCATTTGACATCAGCAGCGTGCATCAAACCCACCATAATCTAAGTCATTAGACTTAGAACTGTCTTAAGCATCGGGTATCATCACCATCATTAATCTCAACTCTATTAGCTTATTTCACCGCTACCATTAGTAATAGATTCACGTTTTAAATGACTCCAACGATTTGAAAAATACACGTTTTCACAATAGTTCAGCTTAAAAAAGGCCCCAAATTAGGCCTGAGACATTGAAAATTGTAATGGGAAACGTATCCCCTAGGCAAACATATTGATTTGTATGACCAGATAAAGTTTGTACGCAAGTTTAACTTCATTCGCGCGCGTACGTAGCCAACCGTGCTCCTCGGAGATGTGGGTGAAGGACACCACATTAGACAAAAAAGCAGTTGTATAGAAGTGGTGTTTTTTTTGTTCAATCAAGACGACGATTTAAAATCGCGCAGCTCCAGTGGCCTCGGAAGGGAGGAGCTTTCCAGACGACCGCAGAAGCGCATCTCTGAAAGCGCCGTCGTTTTTGTTCGATGGCCGAGCCACAAAGACCCCCCGCTGGCTGTGGTGACTTTTGCGAGCGTCATCTTGGCCCCACCGTGTCGCATGGGACAACAGTAGCCACCCCCACTGTGCCTCCAATGTTTGCCCAGACGCAGAGGTACGGCGAGCCGGCGTACCTGGGGCAGTCGCAAGAGCCTTGGCAGAGGCTGCACGCTTCCAGCACCCTGGCCAGCGCTCGCCGCCACAACGCTGGCCAGCATCATCATCAGGTGCCCTTGCCGCCACACCACGGTGCCACTTCCCGGTGAAACGCGGGTACACGGTACCACCGTGCATCGAAGCAAACCAGTCAACAAATCCACGCGGTTTACACCGCGTATTCTTGTACAGGGAAATTGAGTGTTCAGGTCCATACGGCGTACAGCCGTTTCTAATACGGGCATGTCGATTTGTGTTTCTCCCGTGTGATGATGGGGCTTTGTAGTATGAACGTTGAGGTTTACAAGGGCACGGGGTGACCAATAAGGTCTGAATTTGGTCCGTAATAAGGTAGGACACTGATAAGGGGTTGACGGGCACGTCGTAACGTCAAATATAACTACTCCACACACGCAGCAAAGAAGACGGCAGTGGGCAGAGTCCTCAGCCAAAAGTCAAAGTGGTTTTGTTGTCGTCTCTGTTTACACGGCCTTGGGGGTGATGCTGCTCACGTACGCGATTCCTGCACCACCAAACGAGGTGTAACGTTCCTAATATTTTGACTTAGGATAACGAGGAGGTGCAAACAGCCAGGGAAGACGGCACATTGAGTCGACGAGACGGCGTCGAGATGGAGAGGCAATCATCCCCCTCGGGCCTGCGGAGGACTCGGGGGGAGGCCTTTGGGTCTAAATTCGAACCTAGGAGGCCAAAGCCTAAATAGTGAAATCTAATCTACTCCAAGTAAGGCACGAATAGACAATAACAGAAAGGAAGTTGTTGCTTTTAAAAAGCCAACGTATTAACCAGTCTGAATGCTGTAACTTGTTACAAAACAGTCCCCTCGAGGCCAAGAGTGCTAAGCGTAGAGTGCAGTACTGCACAACGTTTACATTACTGAAATTGACACAAAGCAATAGTTATAAATTATATTTTCCCACCTCGTGTTCTTCCTTCCTCTGCCCGAGTGAGTTGACCTTGTGAGAAAAATAAATCCTCGCTGACTTTCTGCTCCGTTTGCACGGTCGAATCATCGCCGTGTAAATTAAGTCGGAATCGTGTGGGAAGATGGGTCCTCAATTTAGATTCTGTGCCGTAAATCGATCCACGGTGGCCTTAAATAGACGTCGTAAACGCATGTCGCTAATCGGCGCGTCGTAAACCGGATGTAATGTTTCCCAAATTTAACTCACATTTTTTTTGTGTTAACTGACGCTTTAATATTACACTAAAGCACTACTTAATTGAATGTACATTTTTCGCAAAGGTTCTACGCTCAATAACAATTGTCTCGTAAAACCGAATCTGGAGTAACAAACTGACACTTTTGCTCCATTATAGTGTAGAGGTGTTAACTACTCGCTGTTCGGTAACCTGCATTGTTCTAGATTTGAAGCTTTCGTGACTGCAAGGATCCATACTCTTTGGTTCTATTCGGTAAAGTCACGTCGGTTAAAAATTAAACAACAAAAACCTACATTGTCACTGGGTATCAAAGGGGCAATGCAGCGTTACCTCGGTGTACATAACGGGTGGGGTCAGACGAGGTGAAGTGGATCGTAGCCACAGTTTGGTAAGAACCAATCAGACAGTTCCACGTTGGAATGTGGGATTGGTTACACCTGGCCACAAACGGGTATAAGAAGGGTGACCGCGCAGAGCGCGGGGAGTTCTCTCACTACACGAAGACTGAAGCCCAGGCTGAAGATAGCCATTACCCTGGACCCAATCTTCCAGCCCTTCTGAGGTCTAAGGCTCGGCGTATCCAGTGGTCAAGACCCGCCGGGCCAGCGGTGGGTCAGATAGCCTCCCCTAGGTCCCAGCCGGAGGACTCTAGGATAGCGGTAGACGTGTAAGTCCCGCCAAGATAGGAAGCTGTACCTCCTTAGGTTAGGACGAGACCTTTGTGTAGGTCACGCTAAGTCCGGAGGCTGTACCTTCTTAGGGTATCGGGTGAGGGGACCGTATACCTCTCTGTGTGTTAAGGACTGTAAAGAGAAGTATTACAATAAACAGAGTGTGCATCATAAGAAGTGTATTCGTCATTATAAACACCACAATAGTATGGATACGCAATTTGAACGATTGGATGCAACAGAGAGCATCTAATGCAAGTTCTTAGTAATATATCGTGGACAGAGGTAAATGGAAAGCCATGCTGGCCAGCGTCCATGAGAAAGGATGTGGCAGCGCTGTGAACTCCATATCCTAATGGTATAATTGATCAGGCAAGGTTTCGGTTTAATGCATAGGCTGGTATAAACCTGCATTTCCATCGCGTGGCCGCTGTTGGTTTCCCACGATTTGGTGCTTGGCACATCCAGAGGTCCCTCATTAAGCTTTATAAACATGTATTATGTGACTTTACCGAAAGAGCTAAGAATATGTATTATGTGCTCAACAACAGCACTTTCCCCAACACACTTATGGAAGGACACGTGAAAACGTGCACACACGCAAACAAACTTTTAAATACACACACATACTTGCCCATGTGTTTGCCTACACTCATAGGTATAGTGTATTTTTTGCAATGATGTAACATACATTGTACATTGTGTATGCATGTGCGCGTTGTGTTTCTGGGCCTGTGTGGTGTGAATTTTGATGCTGTGCCACGTTACTAACTGGCTGTGTTGTGCTCAAACTCAAGGTTCCCAGAGACAGTCTGGATTTCGTCCTCCAGTCCTTGTATGATCACCACTCTGGATTCCTGCAGGGAAAAAACGAGACCTTGGTGCAGAGGGAAACTTTGGACAGTTTGGATGGGTATGGAGCACCCACGCTGATGTGCTTTTAATATAACATAAATGCACATTTAAGTTTAAGATGTGGCAGACTAGAAAAGCCAAACTGGAGGTTATCCTTGAAAGGTTTGAGGAACACAAAATAAAGGATGTAGCCCGGTGGAACAGTGGGTATGACACTGTACGGTTAAAGCAATCCCTGCCATAGAAATGTGAAATTTCCACGGTTGGCTCAAGGCTATAAACAGAAGATAAAAACAAAGCTCTGTTGAGTTAGATACCATTGACTTTTTAAAAGGGAGTGTATAAAACTTTAAATGTTAAAACCATAGAACATGTGATGACTCATCTTGAGAACCCTTTTAAAAGAGTCTAGTATATAATTTCACTGAAAAGCCTCAGAGAGGGCTCCACAGAAGTCTTGTTAAGGCAGTGCCAATTTGAAACCTTAAAGTGGAACCGAATCAACAGAAATTGTCCCAGCCATCAATTGCATGCTTACGCGCCTTGTGAAATCATTAAACTACACGTGCGTGTGCATGCATGCTCATCAATTGTCTTCCAGCATCCAATTTAATAGTAAACATACCCATAAATCACGAGGAGCATCTGTCTTTTTTCATGTGATCTTAATTGTTGTCGTGATTACAATTTCTGCAGTACCATCGGTGTCACGTTGTAATGATAAGACAATTTTACTCAGCTTTCAGTGAGCAGTGCGAGTAAGAAAGCAGTTCCCAGAATGACATCACGACACTATTTTTGAAGCACCTTTCTTGTCCACGCGATAATTGTAAATTCGTACATTTGGTATTCGCACCGGTCTATCATGTAGGCGCCATGCTTCAGTCGGGAGTAATGTTGCTTTGCGATTTTACCCAGTTATGTAATGTGGCACACCTTTATCATGTCTTGCAAAGATTGCCCGTTGGAGGGCAAACCAATTTTTTGTCGTAATTGGTTTAATATGAATTGAGTGAGACTATATTTAACTACATTAACCATATTTAACGTGGGTATTTTTTTGTTATGCACTAATTCGTGACTGAATTCATTAGATCATCAACTCGTTTCACTTGGAAACCTATTTTATTCATCACAGGTCTGCTCAGATTCAAATCCAGGATGTCAGCGGGTGCCGGCTCAGTGCTTTGACACCGCTTTCGCTCTCCGAAGTCTCCAGGCCACCTCCTCCACATCTGACTTTTCGCAACAAACCCTTTGCGTGTTATACGTTGGGCTGCAGGTGGGCCCTGAAGACCCGCGTCGAGGAGAATCCCGACAGCGGCAATCCGAGCGGCCTGCCCCTGCGCAGATTCACCGTCCCCAACAAGGAAACGATCCATGCGATTGCTGGGGCCATCCGTGAGCAATGCATCCTGGGACACAATTATTGCCATTTGTTTTGCCCTTTTGCCACAATTAAGTTTTGAGAATGCTGCCATGGTGTAATGGTTAGCACACTGGGCGTGTCATCCAGAGATTGCCGGTTCGAACAGGAGGACAAATACCCTCTAATATAGTGGAGGCCTTTCTGTCAGCAGTGGCATCGGAAATTGCAGGGCTGCACTTGTACATTTACATTCCAATTGTAATATTGGTCTCATGTTATGAGGCAAATAAGTTCTATTCATAACTCTTCAATACTCATCATCAGAATCTTTATTTAGACTGGAGGAATCCGATGAGCTATGAAGGTCTTTTCTTTACAGATATCCACACCAGAGGCACACTTTCTTTGTGCATCTACAAATAAAAGTGTCTGTTCGACGTCAATAAAAAACACGTTTTAACTCTCAGAGCTGGAATATGCAGTCATTGAGAGACCAACTCACTTAACCCGAGTAGCCAGTTTCACCACGGGCATCTTCCCGTAAGACTGAACAGGGGTGTGACCTTTGCCTCTGCGTGTGCACAGAGAGCCACCACTCAGCCGCCACCAACCGCGGATATTCGCGGAAGCAGGACGGAGGTTTCTACTGCACCTAGAGCGTGACTCGCCTGGCCTGCGGGGAACGCAGGTGCCCACCAAGTCTTCCAGACGAAGCCCAACTACATTGTGATAAATCCAAACTCAACGTTCGCCAAATTGCACAGGGGACGCTCAGTGAATCGCATTTCGAAGTGGCGGTGAAAAAGTACCCCATTTCGACATTTTACATGGCCCAGGACTTTCTTAACACAATTATTAAAGTATGAAAAATGAAAACAGGTTTAACCCTTTCTGGCAATAAAACAGGTGTTAAGATGTTCAAACACAAAATATAAACCTTTTGCAAGGAATCAAGTCTGCATTAACCACACTTACATGTGGTGAACATGCAAACATGGTACTGGAAAAAAAGGTTCCATGATAGACTTTCTTATTAAATATATGAATCTCGATGGGCTCACACCTGAATTAAAGGCAATGTCTTCCAAATAGTTTCTTAATTGTGCTACCTTTACATATGCATTTTAATTAACGTCGATTGTTTTAAGGAGAATTACTACTGATAATTAATGTCAATCAATTGAGAAAATTGGATTGACAGTTGCGAAACTGAGCTCGAGGGAAATTCCAATGACTTGAACAATACGTAATCACGTTGTCCGTGGAATGTTGCACAATGACATAGTAATGACACACCTGGGATTGCTGTGTCCGGATGCTGTTCCAATGCCTGGTCCGCTTCCTTGATTAAATAATGTATACAGGTGACTGTAGCTGTTTACATTTTACCTTTTCTGTATTTCTAGATGTAATCTCTAATCAGAGCTGCTTTTGAAACTTAAGCACTGTTTTCAGTACTCTCAATATATGAATATATATGATATACTCTACTTGATATCATTGCCTTAACCTTGCTAGATTGCACTGCATTTACAAGTATTAAGAACTATCGCAGAAAAATCCAGTATTACTGGTGTTGTGAGAAACAGTGTTTCATTCTTGGGACTTGAGTGGTCAGCACCACTCTTGCAAGGTGCATATTTCAGTCCGAGTCAACCTAGCTACCAACACAATTATAATCCGATTATTGACTGCTGTGGGGTTGTAGTATTTCTAGCAAGGCGTTTCTTGAAGTCACAATTGATAGATGTATTTCTCAAGACGCTCTTAATAAAAGACATTCCATCACGAGCATGATTGTGACCGTTTCATGGCAATGCAGGCGTGGAGTCTTCAGATCGCAACAAACCTGCATGTGAATACTTCTTTAATGCTGGACATTTTACCAATACATCCATTACCTACAAAACACCAAATTAAATATGTGTGGTTAAGCTCCACAGAAGGTATTCTCTCATTAAATAGTTAATTTACATGTTTATGTATTTTTTCCTCAAGAATCTGAATACGTTTATGGTTTATTCAAATTCAATTAACAAAAAAGTGTGGAACATAAGGCAAGACAAATTCAGACAAGCAAATGTTAATTAATATTGGTTACGGCTTATTAACTTGGTTCAACATTATATTTGAGAAGTGTAAACCCAAACATAAGTAACTGAAAAATACCAAATTATGTTTCATATCTACTGTATATGAGAAGAACCAACTATCATTATCATCCGTATTCAATCTATTTCTGGATGGAGGTCTCCCCAAGCCATCGCATCTACCAACCCTGCTATGGAGCATTCCAGCGGACTTAAAAAAATAGTAATTAAGTTAACGTGGTATATTCGTAATTAGAGACAATTACACACATGTACACAAGCCTTTCATTTCTGGTTTTATTTTTTTCAAGAAAACCAAAGTTTTAAAAGAATGCATCAGTGTTTTATTAGTACAAAATCAGTTGACCACACAGCTATGCAATTAAACCCTTCAACAAAACGAGTAAAAAAACATTGAACTACTGAAAAACCACAGTTCTTAAAACGAATTACGTTTTAAGATTCAAAAACACTGCAGTTAAGTCACAAAATTGTAAATATGCGTCTGATTTGGAAATTACGAAAGAGTGGATAGAAGTACTACGCCGTTAATACGAATCGAATTTAAACTCTGGCGACAAGCAGCAAAAACAACGCATCTATGAATCTTTAGAATCGTTCGTGAAACAACTCCCAGTAGAAACACGAGGTTTATACATCTTACGTTGCGCGTATTACAAACGTTCAGTTTAAATGGGTACACCAGTTAGCCGATCGGCAGCCCGTGCGTGGTGTGGTAAAGTCTGGGTACACCCCCCCTACCTCGACCCAGAGGTCGAGTCAGCATGGCATGAGACCAATCATCCTCTACACCTCCCTCGCGTGGAGGCCCTGTTCCACCAGCGGTGACATGAGGAAGTAAATGCACAGCTGCATCTTCACCTGAAAAACTACCGCACAGACCCTCAGGATCACGGCATAGAACTAGTTACCCCAAGTCTCAATTTAATCGAAAGCAAATCACAATCAGCTCTCACCTCATTTGGCACAGGATCAAATTGAATTCCTATAAACCCAAACGGTAGTCGTGTTGTGGAGTGAACGTCAATGATCTTAAGCAAACTGTCCCATTCTCATAGCAAATTGAAAGAGTGCACATATGGGAAAAGGCGCTTGTGCTTGTAAACAAGGATGAATATTCTGTTTAATGGTATTGTCTGTCGAGTGGCAAAACAACTGACATGTAACCTTTCTCGTTGAAACATTTGCACGTGCCAGCTCCGTCATAAGAAAGTGGACTTTTCATCACTGGTTTGTCTACTAATGAAGATGAGCAACTTTCCGTGCTTAGAAATTGCAAAAATTTGGAATTGCTGATAAAGCCTGGAGAAAGAAAAAAAGTCGAATGAAACGCTTTGATAGCAAATTTAAGTAAAACAACAAAAAGCTATGTTGGGAGTGTGGCGACGTGCTTGTGAAAGGCATGGAAAATATGAAAGTACTGTAGAGCATAAAGAGATTGGAGGGTTTTGAAATGCGGATTTGGAGACAGTTTTGAAAATAAGCGAGACAGAAAGAAAACAGATGCTACTTCATAATAAGATGCTACTTCAGGTGGAAGAAAAACGTGAACCCATTCAAATATAAACAGGAAAGAAATGAGACTGTGAAGATAGTGGTGCGAGGGAACGGATTCTTTAGGAAGAGACCAAGAGGGAAAAACAAAGAATGGCGATGTTCAACAAGGATGGATGTAGAGACAGATGAGAAGCATAAGAGCGAGTGCCTCGTACCAGTTTACAAGCAGAACACGAAAAGGGGTAACATAAATAACCTTGATTATACTTCTCTCTTGTGCGGCTTCTATACAGCCCCAATGGATCTAGAATCCAAGAAAAATATAATTATATTCACCAAGTGCAAATCCCCTCCCAATAAAACCCTTTATAAACACACATTATGCCAATTTTGAATTAGTGTTTTTTTTTTACTATAAAGTGCCGTACGGTGTTTGGGTTCCATAACTAAGGCATGCCACGAGGGGGTGGCATGCCACTCAGTTACTTGCACGCATTAACCGAACAGTTAAACATTGCAATTCCATTTCGGATCGGACAAACTTTTGCAAATTCAAACTTAACGTTGAATGTTACACTTTGTATTCAAAGTAACGGTCTTGCAACGTTGCAACTGGTTGCCAAGACAAATGTCTCACAAAGCAATGGAAATGATGAGCACATAGACCGATTGTGAAACTATGCAGAAGGGGCTTGTGTATCGAAGGACAGCGGCGCTATGCATTTCAGAGGGGTAAATGTGTTCTATGCACAGAGGCTTAATCAATATCTGTTTCCTGAAACAAGACAGTTAGATGCGAAGACAGCCTGGCTGATGAGCCTGTTATAAAGGAAGGTCGTTCAATCAATCATTGCTGAACATCACCCACAGGCAGCGTGTCCTCAATACTGCCCATAAACTTTGGGTTTGTAGAAAAAGTGTTGTACACTTGTAAGATATGGCATGAATTTAGTATTTTAAAAAATGTATAAACATAACCATACTCCTATACTGTTAATACCATAACGTTAATCTATTTTATTACATGGACTGAAACAAAAAAAATACTACACACCGCCCCACCACTAAGTACACTGTGTCACCCGCTCCAAAAATATTCACACCTTTAAACAAATATTCGTGCACTTTAGCCTTATAAAAAATATATCAAAGGTGAGTATAAGCAGCACTGCCAAGCACATTGTCGCAGATTGTCAAATGACTCTTTGGCCAGGTGTACAAATCCAAGGTTGTCATGTGAGACCATACTTTCAGGATTTTTTTGTTCATTAAGTAGGGACTATGTTTATACGTTCATCCACAAGGTATACGATTGGCAGCAGAAAATACATTCTGTAAATATCCACTTACTCTCTTATTCAGTGAATTATTGAGGCTGTTTTTAAGACAAAAAACAGGCCGTGTCAAAAATTGTTTTGCCATTAACGGAGTGGAAAAAAAATCACAACACCTGCCAGAACAGAGATTCTCAAAAAAAATTGGACCGAGGGCTCCGTAAGCTTTTGGCAATCCCTTACCAGCATCTGAAGCTCGTTTAGAGGGTTCATGCACAATTTGTTGAGAATATCTGTACCGGGGTAATACAGAGCTCAAAGCTAGGGATGGAATGATCAATTCCATCCAGAGCTTCAATTAATTGCCGCAACTGAATTCAAGAATTGCGAATGGTAACGTGTCCAATGGTTACAGCATCACGCGACACCATTGCATACAAAAAGGTAAAAATAAAAAAATAAACATCAATGTGTGCATCATAAGATTAGGAAACAATATTAATGGATGAATCAACTCATCATTCCACCTCGACTAAAAGTGAGCCCATTATAAATTTCCAGTGCAGTAGGTAAGCGACATTGCAAATGCATCCAATTACACATTTATTCGGGATTATCATAACATTATCTTCTTGACATAACCATAGTGAAATGCCCTACTTACAAATTGTGGTATCTGTATAAAATGAGACATTTGTGAAGTGTGAACATCACCAAAGTTAACTGCCAAAACACATGAATGGTAAAAAAAAGGCTGCCAGATTTTTATATTCTAGATCCACTCGTAAGAGGACATGAGCTTGTTTGTCAATAATGTTTAACATCTTGACCATAGGTCAAGATTTTCAAAAGGACTGTCGAGTCGGTGGACGCAGCATGTCGCAGGAATGAAAGAGCAAGCAAGTGAGGTTATTGTTAAGTGTAATTTTTTTTTTATCGTTAAGCACATTGACAAACAGAAAACATATTTGATTGCATTACCAAGTTTGTGTTTTATCAAGTGTTATTTCGGTACCAAGTGCGATCACACAAACTAGCACAACTGTTCTAGGATTTCCATGTATTTTGCATCTCCTAAAGACAGGTTTTGCAAGGAACACGATATAAAGTGAACAACAATTCAGATATTCTTCTGGAGGTGCTGTGTAATACAGTGAACACGTGCATGTTAGCTTGTCGTGTATTTGACGGTATCAATAACAAAAATAGATTTTACATGCTGATTGTTGCACGCATCATTTTACCGGTTACCGCTTCCTTGTCATTGTCACTGTAATAAAAATATGATTTTATATTAAATCTCTTCAGGCTATACACTATACATGACAACATTATCAACTCGATTCACGCTCGCTGCATTACAATATAAGCTGAACAGTTCTCCGACACGCGGACCAGAACAGACCACCAAACTCAACACATGACCAAGTCTGATAGAATCCAGCAGCAGCAAAACTGTGTTGCGTGCAGTAAAAATGGTCACGAATATGGTTTTTCCTAATCGAGAATCTGAACAAATAAATTAATTCGAGTGTCGGCTGCTGGATAATCGCCATATGACTGGATGCTTATGATCACACACACAGAGATGAAGAAACACATGTAATTGTTTTTTAGCAAGTCTTGCAGCAGCAATAAACAAAAGTCCCTTATTTCAGGCCCAGTTGTCAGCGTCAGACACAAACACGCTCTCGATCAGACAACTTAACAACTCGTCAGTTCAAAAAAAAAAACCATAACGCATTCGAGGAATAAAGAGCCAATATTTTTCATTCCACGTCTTGTTCAGTGTTAAACTGACGAAGGCCAGATGGCCGATTTGTTAGCATATTTTTGCCATAGAAGATTGCAAAATGTATCGGTACGAGTCATGACCTCGTGGTACGCGTCACATCCGCTAACGTGCCGATCCCAAACGAGTAGCCACTTTAAATCTGGTGCGTACAATTTGGCACGGCCATGAGCATTCAGATTGACGGAAACATGAAAAAAAATAACTCTGAATCACACACAGGACAGAAGTACTGTTAAGGCAGAGTGCAGGTGGATTCTGTGGGGAGTTTGATCAAAAGGGCACTGGAGACATTTACCGCTGTGGCCCAGTCAATGCATAGATGGGCCAGTGCTTTGTTGTTGACTAGCATGCATGCGCGAGCACATGGCTGGAACCCACGGCAGAGGACAGGCGAACAAGTACATTTGTGAGAAGCCTAGTGCCCACTCACTACCCTGTTTCACTATATGATGATTGTTCACGTTAAGGCTTCCAAGGACACAAATTTGAAAGCAAAAAAATAGTCGGCAGACATCTTGCTCGACTCATTTGTGTACAATTTCATTCACGCCAAAAATAAGATCAACATACATTTTGCATTAGTCATAAATAATCTATTCTCACACGTACAAGTGGTTCGTGAGCATTTGTACTATGAGCATAACAATCAGATTTAAATTGGTGCATAGTTACATGCCTAATACTTGGCACAGCAGACCGTTTGTGATACATTGCTTGTGTAATCATGTAAAAAACTAAAGAGCGTTTATTTTATTGAATGCCACAAATAAGAAGAGATGTGGTGACATAACAGATTACAATTACACGTGAGAAATACAATGGGCAAGATAACACTAGCTTATCCCTCATGCAACAAAAGGACTCTTGCGTGCTGTCGTTTTGATGAGTTCTGACCATTAACATGGGACACCATACGTTCGTGCAGTGCGTTTTGACCGGCGTTGTTTAGGTCGGCACATTAGTATTTTTCAGTCGACGATAACCTACGGAATTTTAGTGACGTCGCAGTCTGTGGATTTTATGAAGCCATTCAATGCTCACCGTATTCACACTGGACGCAATGATAATTTCGTCATTGTTTTCTACGTTAGCAACAGGTCAACTAAACTAAAAAGACTACTATGCTGACTAACAAAGCACTGGTTTTGCCATGGAAATGTGGAATTTTCGCAAATGGTTCATGACCGCTGACAGAGGATGAGCAAGGAGAGTTTGAATTTCGGCCATATTTGAGGAAAACATTTTCACTTGCTAAGCCACAAAACAATTAAACATGTTCAACCGACCTGACTATCAAGAAACTGGCCAGCAATTAAAGGTCTTATAAATCCGTTGAATCAACTTGTCAGTGTAAACACACATTTACTGTAATGTTTAACACACTACTTTGTTTAATAGAAACAAAAAAGGAAATCAATAGCTCTGGGGGGTGGGGGATCATTGTCGGTATGCAGTTGGAAAAATAAAATTCAAAGTGCACAGCAAGGTGATCAACAATGCGTATATATTTGAGATGGTCCGTTTGTATGCAATTGTACTATTGTATGCGAGTCACGTTAGGGTTGACTGTTACCCAACAATATCCACTTACACTTTTGGTGAGCACGCGAGCGTGTTAACAGACAACGCCGGGCAAACCTTGTGTTTAATTGAGACGTCACTTCACCTCTCCCAAGGCCCCCCCCACTCCCCCGTCAATCCCCAACCTTGTTGAAGAAGAGAATGGCACAGATGCAGAGCAGCACCATGGTGAAGGACATGTAGTAGATCAGAGTGCGGAACTTGGGCTCCAGGTCACCCAACCGGTACCAGATTATCTGTACAGCATGCCACATGTTGTAGCAAAAGCGAACAGAAAACAATTTGCGAGTTAAACAGTCAAAACTGAAAGTGAATTCACAAATTAACCGCCCGCATCCAGTGCAGTATGTGTGAACAGTTCCCATTGACATTTTCTATAGATGTTCACAAATCTGACATTTTCAAATAAAGTATTGTTAATCTCGCATACATTCACTTACTTTTAAAGTTTAACAAAGCATGCTCTCAAATTTAAAGAAATGTGCACTTAAGTTGCATGCCTTTAGTCAGGAGCAGAACAACACGGGGAGACACAAGGACTCACGAGCACGATCATCGGTATGCAATTGAGCAGGATGCACACAGCAAAGTAGACATTGGCTCCTCGGATGTGCGAGCTGCCACCCTTGGGAAGGACGAACGCAGCCACCAGCGTCGTCTGCAAAACGGCAAGGCCAAACCACGATCTCGGTTCATTTAATCGAATGTACAACTACGCAAAAGTCAGAATCAGAATATTTATTTTTACTAGAGGAATCCGATTAGCTATAAAGCTCTTTTTCAAAGATGTCCAGTAGGGGCGGGTAAGAACGTTTCAACAACAATACAAAAACACGACAGCAGGGCAAGATACAGGAAAGGCAAACAAATCAGAAATGGCTGGGTGGCCCTAGTGCTTGACACGCTGGTTGCTGAATCCTGGGTTCATCATTTTAAATATGACCTCAGCCCCAAGACAAGGTCAAATTGACACTGCCACGTGTCACATGAGGCACTCTTCATTTTGCACCATACCTATCGCTGGCATGCTGCGTATTAACAGGCGACTAGAAAAAGAAGATCGGTGTAAAACTTTCAGAGCCAGACACACAGGGCCTCTTCTGGTGGCTATGCGATGAGCCCGTCACACTCACCTACAGTCGATTACTCGTTGTGTGCGAAAACCTACATTCAGTGAAAATTACACATTCACACGTGGAATCACAGGTGACACAGCTAAGGGATATCGTGCTCACTGGCCAGGTAACAATGACTCATTTAATTGACTACAACAGAATCCTACGCTCACAAAACCTGCATCAATTATGCGTGTCAATTATTTTTCTACGAATATATACTGCATTTGGTACATGTGACACCCAACTTGGTTCACTGGAAAGAATTCGTACGAGATCACCTTCCCTCGAGGCTTTATAGAACCGTGCACCAATTTGTCAGACGTCAACAATGCTTGCGTAGGGGACGTATTGGCCCATTCCATAAGAATGTGGAATATCTAACCCCCTTGTTCGAAGCCACCAATGTAGAGTATCGTGACTAAATCTATTTTAATCAGGAAAATCAAGGCTCTGCAAAATAATCACCTTGATGGATTGGCATCATGAGGTTTTTTAGTTATAATGCTGTTTTATGACAATTGATGTTCCGTCGTGAAAAGTATTGAGATGAAAGCACTCATGTAATGGAATTAACAAGCACTCTTTATATATATAAAAAGGTGTAGTAATTTAAACTCACTTAAGTGGGAAAACATTTAGCAAGAGGCAGTGCTGTGCAAACAAGCAAATGCATATCTGTAGCATACAAACCTAATTCACAAAGCTTATAGAACACTTAAACAACAACTTATTATTGTAATCTATATAAATATACCTTAATCTGTATGTGTGTCTCATACCCCTATGGTACTTTCCGACAAGGTAGAAAGCTGACATTTGGTACAGGTTTTTTTTTATTTTGATAGTTCATTAATCAGCAAATAATTAGCATTTTATGATGTTCGAAACTGAATAATAATAAAACGGTAAATGATAGGAGCTTCCCCTCAGAGTATTAAGTTCATTTATTTATGTTCTAATAAAAAAATAACGGAATCTTTAAATTGAGCGGTTTACGATGGGTACGTCTCTAAATATAAGCTTAATTAAGTCGTCAACAATGTTTGTTTTTTGTGAAAAATTTCAATTTTTTTTAGTTGTTAGCATCTGATCGTAGATAAAAATTGCCCAAAAAAATCATATCAGGTTAATTATTATATTTATTGAAAACTTTTTCAGACAGGCTTCATGAACTAGTTAATCATAAACCTTAAAACAAAATAATGAACGAATTTGTACGAACACGATTATGAAATACGCGTTCCAGCGTTCTATTTGAAAAGAGCAGCAGAATATTAAATATCACTTACAATCAAGAGTGTGCTTAAAATATAACGTGAGATAAATGTGGATGAAAGTGAACTTACAACAACAAGCAGAGACGTGAAAACGCCAAGGACCAGGTTGATTATTCGATCCTAGAAAGACAACAAACCACTTCATCTCATATTTGAATTGGTAACATTCATTAAAGGCATTTTTTTAACGCTGTTGTAATATATATTATTGGTTATTTCGGTAAAGTCACGTGACTTTACCAAAAGAACCAATAATATGAATCCATGCAGTTACGAAAGCTTTAAATCACAATTTAGCTGTTGTAATAATTACAAAATATAATGCCGAGCAAACACATTAATGCCGATTTAGCTCTCCAATGTTTACCCACAAAGAAAGAGCTTCTGTCTGCAATGACTATTTTCAACTTTTTTTACCACGGTTTTAACAAATGACAATAATGCACGGTCAAAACGTTGAATTCAGCAGTACCTTTGAAATGTTTTTAATTGTCACATGGATGATCTCGCTTAGCCAGATGTCTGGCTATCTTACAAGGGAGATTCCTGGCGCGCGAGCATATATTTCGTACGTAAATGTACGTACTAATTATTGTTAATGCAATGTCAGCAAGCACGTGGTGCCGAGCTTAACCCACAGTGAACTCGTGAGTTTACACTACAACCAACTATTACGGCATCTATTAAGTATGCGTATATATTGTATTTGTGTAATGATACAGCGAATAAGAATAACAAAACCACAACATGTAAAACACTCCGAGATCAAATGGCTCAACATCTAAATGCAGGAGCCTCCAAACACATTCATCTTGTGACTAAGCATGATTTCCCTGGGAAAATGAAGGGCATTGCAGTGTTCTACTCTCTGGCTTAGCGAGATGTTAACTTGCTCGCCTAGTATACGGGAGGTCGTAGGTTTGATCCCGACCCGGACGCATAAATATTTGGAGTTTGCATGTTTCTCTCCCCGAGGTCGCGAAGATTTTTCTCCGCGTTCTCTGGTTTTCCCCTCCACATTTAGAAACATTCCTTTAGAGTAGTTGGCTACTATAAATGTCCACATAAGCCACTTTGTTGAACTATCATTTGTGATTGGGGTGCTTCTGAAAACGAGCTATATAGCTCAGTGGGCCTTATCTGGTAAATTCTAAATGGTTTAGTTTATGGTTTAACTTTGGGTTATACCGCTCAATGTGCACACTCTGAGGGGAGGGCAGCCTCATTGCCACAAGCTGCTTCACTTGTTGAGATTTAAACCACGTGGATTAACTACGTGCTTTTCAGCTGACGTCAGCTTAGAAGAGAGATTGAGAAATGGCCCCAATTACCCTGAAAACACTAATCGCTTCATTTACCCTGCTGCAGCTTAGATCAGTGTCGACGAACAGAGCTTCCCATTGAGAGTCTTGCCTCACATCAGCACTAAGCAGGCCCCTTCAAATATCCCATAAACCACACTTTGATGAGTTACGAGTGAATTATTGTAAATGCAAAAACATGTAGCACGTTACAAATCGATGAGTGGACAATCGGAAGTTCGTGGCATCTTTCACAAGAGCAGGACAGTGTGTCATAACTGCCACTACATAACAGTTTTTTAAATACAATTTACATTTTATAGCCCTCCATCAATCACTACTGGCCTCCCACACGCTGTGTTGGTCATGGCGGTTGTTTCACCATACTTCACCACTCAGGTCTGTACGAGTTGGTAAATGTGCAGGAGGGCACAGGATGGGTTTCAGATGCAAATCTCGTCTGATGGTAGCCGTGGCTGGGAATCAAACGAATGTCATCAGGTTCGAACCACCGCTACATAACACAGGCGAAAAAATATCTTACTGCCGTAAACACTACCTTGTAACCATAATAGACAGATTAATAACCATATTGGGGTGTGCCATTTTTTTCTTATGCTTATCTTTCAATTGAGGTGTCGGTGTCACATGATGAGAAACGACTATGTACATATGTTGAACTTCTTTTGTACCGTACATAGTCGACCATGCTAATCAGAGGTGCGGAAATAATAAATGTCCTTACAGGCTGATGGTGCCTCGATATAAACCCAAGATTTCCACAATGTCAACTCTGTGCCAAAACAAAGCAGACGTTTCATCCCGAGCCACACCGCCACTTATGGAATAATACTTTTTCCAAACCAAGAGAAGGGCCCTTACCATAAACAGAGTTTAATTATGTATTGTTTAAATAAACTGACAAGGGTGTTTTTCAAACCTTACAGGCCAAAGTATTACAGCAGCAACTTTTTTTTTTAAGTTGGCAAATCTTGCACCAGCTTCCACTCTTTGAGACTCATCTGCAGCGTGCTGCTGGGTGGACGAGGGTTCCCCATAACACCAAGAAACCAAGAATAATTGATGTTATTTATAGCCCTTTGTGATTTATTCCCTGCCAAGACAGCACATATCTATTATATGTGGTTTAGTTAGAGGCAGTGTGTTGTAGACCACTGCCAACACAGCCCCTGACATTCACATTTAATATACACGACGAACAGGTTACCCCAGTTTTTCAGCTGTGTAGTACCATGTCAGATCACGCGATTCACAAAGAAAAGCAGACCTGGGGTTAAATACAATTGTAATTGTGTCATTCGTAATGAATTGCAAAAAAAACCGTAATTGTGATGTCAGCTAACAAAGCGGATAAAATGGTAATTATAACTGATCTCGGGTCTAATGGAAGGCCACACGTTGAATGACCTATGAGGGGCCAACTAAGCAAAATGTCTAATTGTGGTCAGTAAAATAAGCACCACATCGTAGGAAATGAACGGTGGTTATCCTAAGAAGAACTGAATCCTGGCGTGCAAATGTGTAATTTGCAACAATGGCTTAAGACCACCAATAGAAGAGGAGCACTACCACCCGTGGTTCTGACGACACGAGACAAATAATCCATCCGGAGCTCTCGTTGAGCAGTGCTACCACCCGCGATAGAGAACAGCCCACAGAAACGGGTATGACAGAACTACTTCCGAAATCCCTTCAAGTGACCTGCTCCGCACGGTAAAGGGAAGCACTTTCCCACCCACCCTGCTATATATATACAGAATAATATTCATCACATTGTCAGAGTTGGAATGTAGCCACAAAAAGCTAGAAAACGAATTGAATATCATCTTTCTTTTTGGACCAATCATTCAGACCATCAACTGACTACATTTGTGAACCAAATAAAACCACAGGCGGGTGGCAGTCTGGATCAAAACCCAGAATTTTAGAGCATTGCAAGCTCAGCCCTCTGACCTAATCTGCCCATTCACTCACTCAACCAAATGCTTGCTCTCGCCATCTTTTACAAACAAGGGCACACAGGCGACACTCGCAGCCCTCTCTCGTCCGCGCAGATACGCACCGACCGACCGAAATGCTGCGAGGTTCCAAAGCGAGCGGGTGCCATCGGCAATGGAGAAGGAAGGTGGCGGCGGTGGGCACAGCTACTCACCCTGCGCGAGGCCTCGCCGAACAACGGCGTGTTCTCGGGCAGGGTCGTCGTGCCGTACGAAGGCGACTCGTTCATGCTGCGCGCGCTCCGTCTGCCGGGCGGCCGCCCCCACCACACCTCACTGCCGCGCGCCGCGGCTCATCCCAGGGATTTCCTCCCTCCCCTCTCCTCACCACAACCACCACCACAGCAAGCGCGTTCAGCCGCTCCGCTCCTCTGCTTCGCCCAACGAAAGCGGCGACGGTGGCGCGCGCGTGCAGATTCTCGCCACGCAGCAGCTGCGCGAGGGCCGGGCAAGCACGAGCGCTGAGAATGCAGGAAGCTGCGGCGAGGGCCCGAAGCTGTTAGGAGATAAAGCGGCGGCGGTGCCTTTTAGAGGGGGCAGCGGAGACACGCGACACGAGCAATGGGTTAAGTTTCACACGTACGACAGTGGAACGACCAAGTGTGCGCATTCACATAAAAAAAATACTGCAACCGTGAAGCCACACACTATACATCATTCAATTATCACGCTACAAAACGTTAATGTTGGCTGGAGGCCATGGAAACAAGGATGCTTTATGCTGTTTTTAATATATAATATATATTCACTCTGTTCATTTAAAAGGCCAAAAGCCAATGGTGACAGCTTGCCAAGTTTCCCTTGCTCATCACAAGGGATAGATTCTGGTCATAAATTCTACGCAAGGAAAATACTAGATATGGAATACATGAGGAATACAAGCTTGCAAATGAAAAAGAAAACAACGACAAATGTGTTATTTTATCTACTAGCCAAAAAATCATCCCTTTTAAAATGTATTCAGATTGTGTTTGAGAATAAATGCGTTAACCGATTCATACCTTGGCCCGAAATTTAGACAGACAAAAATTGCAATATTGCCATTACTATTCTTGGTTCTTTCGGTAAAGTCACGGAGAAGGGAAATAATAAAAATAAAACATAATAAAATTACTCACGACGTTTCGGCCACAATGCAAGCAGTCGTCCTCAGGTGAAGAACAGAGCTGTTGGAAAGACAGCGTCCTAACGAACACTGCTAAGCTTGACAGCGTATTTTAAGCTGGGTGGGAGGAGGAGAGCGCCTGCCAAGCTTAGCAGTGTTCGTTAGGACGCTGTCTTTCCGACAGCTCTGTTCTTCACCTGAGGACGGCTGCTTGCGTTGTGGCAGAAACGTCGTAAGTTATTTTATTATGTTTTATTTTTATTATTTCCCTTCTACGTGACTTTACCGAAAGAACCAAGAATATGAATCCCTGCAGTCACGAAAGCTTTAAATCGAAATTGCCATTACTGTAATTGCATATTATTGTTCTGCATTTTTACTTCTTCAAAAGGAGAATATATATACATCAACACATGTACAAACCACAACGAACGCTCCAGCTTTAACTGCAATCACACACGTGGTACACTTGTGGAAATATTATTTGCAGCTGTGACTCATTTAAAGTACACAGGCAAGAGACACAGCTGGGCCTAATTTACTCTAATTGGGCATGTCCAAACAATGCAACTCGTAATTATTGCCTGTACAAAAAAATACATCGCATAAGCACGTGATCATGCAGAACACATCAACACAATTACGTAACCAGCACATTGAATTCAGCATTCTTTAATCCGTAATTTGTTATGTTGGTTACATTCTTTCATACAAACAGTAGGAGTATTGGTAAATTAACATTCTGCTGCAGTGATGATAAACATCATAGAGAGGGAATGTCATTTTATTCACCCGATTATATCTGCCCTTCCTCTTATCCGCGTCCCAAAATAACCCTCACGCCGTGCAGGCCGCGGGGGTCATTCGACCATACCTCACCACGCTGGTTCAGTACAGGTTGGTGAATGTGGTGGGTGGGAGAACAGAACAATGGATGTTGCTGCACTGATCTCTACTGCCCACAACGCCGAATACTTCTGTATTGTTTGTGCACCGTGGTCGCCCATTCAAGAACAACACAGGCTCAAAGCTGCTTAGCTTCCGAGACCTGACGGAATCGTGCTACTTCAAGGTGATTTGATATCATGGGTATTATCTAAACTTATTTGTGAGTATGACCCGAACACAGTTGACGTGAGTGTATTCCTTAATTTACATAGATCTTCCTTTTAGAAGTGCTAACGCATGCATGAAAGTAATCGAGAAGTGGTAGCAAATTCACCCTTTCATCCACACTTGGACATGTTGATCAAAAGAATGTGCACGAATAGCCCCCCCACTCCTCCCAAATCAATGCAGATAAGATATCTACTGCTCAAATGACAAATGTGGGGAGTGGGAATCTCTTTTGTTCGCCTTGAGCCCATGGTGGAAATTCGTTGTCCGTAAGATGACAGCCAGCCTCTGAACAGGGCAACCACTGTTGATTTCCAAGAAAGTGGTACTCATTAAATTGACTACAGAGGAATGTTGGGCTGGATTTCCACAACCCCCTGACCGTGATGTGATCTCGACCTTCCAATAATTGAGTCAATTTCTCGGAGCACACTGCCACCTGGGCCAGTCTCGATCGAGTAAAGTAATCAATGCAAAGTAACCAATCTAATAACATTTTACGGAGGTGGCTAGATGACTCATGACACAAATCTCTTTGCTTGTGTCAGAGCAATGAGTTAGCAGCGCTAGGAACGTTGGATTGCATCCCGGTCAGCGAAGCGCAAATAACAGAAGTTGTCATGTGCAATTCGCATGATGTTCTCAGCCAGCACACAAAAAACAACCACGATAATTCGTTTTTTTTTTACATTATTCAGCCACCCCACTTATTATTCAAAGGATTTGCCAATAAATAATTGTTGAATGAAACAAACTAACATATTTCTTACAAGATTAAAGGATATTTCATTTCCCTGCATGTGTACGTGATCTCAGGCTGTTTTGTGGTCTTCGGTAAAGCTTTACCATGATTGTATACACAGTTTGAGAGTACAAAGTATACTATTTTGAAAGAAAATGCATACAGACATTTGCTATGACAATTAAATTATTAAGACGACACATTCCATTATTATGCAGTGCACACATCACACGACAGAATCAGTTGTACATTTAGAAGTTCCTCATTCCAGATTCATGGCAGCGAGTTGCATTGTAACTCTCCAAGGCAAAGACTGACTTGCGGCATTACGTTGACACGGCAAATGTCAAAGATAGAAAGACTCCGCAATGGTTATACACAACACTGCACACATTTGATTAAGTGAAACGTCCATGTTTACTGCAGTCACTTGGGTACTAAGCGACCCTTAAACTATCTCCCTAAAACAAAAACAGTCATTGCTACCTTGCTTACCTACACGTTATCTCATAATGAACCTGACCAGATATTAGACAAAACGTACCGATTTTTGTAGACAAATGTGTAGAAATCTCCATAACCCGTGATACCATTTCATTACAACCATGGCCTTGCATTAAAACATTTGCCAACCCCAAGAGTTAAAATATTACAAAAAGTGACACATTTGTGGAAATCCACGACAGACTGACAGGCTATACTAGGATTGCTATATTTCCAAGTTTACTGTTTGTTTTCTCATTAATTTGTACCTGATGATGGTTGCTTGTTTTGCAATCGAAACGTCGTATTCAATTATTTTTTATTTCATTTCTACGTGACTTTACCGAAATAACCAAAAAGTACGATTGCTTTTTGGTTCATTCGGTAAAGTCACGTAGAAAGAAAATACATTAAATAATAGAATACGACGTTTCGATTGCAACACAAGCAGGTTGTGATGCAACGCACCGTGGTAATATCATACACCAAACAATAAATGCTGTACAGCATTTCATAAAATGTTGTTCATTAATAAAATATGGCCTCTGGAAAAATAAAAAAATATACAAATTACCATTGTTATTACACTTACATAATACAGCACTATATACAATCTGTGGAGTATTGTACACACAAATTTGCAGTATACATTGCCAGCATGATTGAAACTTTAATAAACCAATGGAACTCTGATCATTTACAAGCAAACACTGCCTCTGAATGTTGCGTCAGGTGGAGGGCCCTCAATCAGCAGTGATTTGACAAAAGTTATCACACATTGGTAACATTGCCACTCGTTGTATTTGTATTGTATAAAACCCTCTACTGCACGAGGCAATATGTTTGTCTATCTCGAGAGCTTTATCAGTAAATAAGCTTAAAAGGACTTGTACTCCAACTTTTATTAAAACACGTTTTGTTTCATTTGCAAAACGACACGGGTGTAGCATTTCAGTTCACCGTAAGTTTTTGTTGTAGTTGCTTAAAACGGCAGGTCAAGGAATGTTGTCGGTCTGGCTCTATGTCGTTTCCGTGTTCACAAATCAAAGCATCGTTTTTTTTTTAAAGTGTCCTTCAAAATCACAGTAATGTACCGGTGCTTTCACAGCCACAGGCTTACAGGATTCGCGTTAAATATCGTGAAAGCGCACAGGAAGATCCGTGGCTATGCTAAAGCGAGCAGCTGGGTTACACTCTACCAGACGACCACGCGAGCCAGCAACGAAACCGCTACGCTCTGTAGAGGCATATCTTGTGTGGCTACCAAGATCCCTTTAACACGGCGTCTGTCATGGGTTGTTTGATTAGCTCGGTTGGCTACGTACGGTGCGAAAGAAGTCCAACCTACGGTGCATACGTGGAATCGAGTCGACTCGGCCGACCATCTCGCAGGGTCGATAATTTCGTACAACTTTTTTGCTTGTCTTTCGTGTTTATACTTACATATAGAGCAGTCAATACATGTTCTAAGTTCTAAGTAAAAGGCACCGAGTACGGATAAAAAGCGCAAACCATCCCTTCCTCGACAGTCTCTACATGGTCTATTAAACACTACCACTTTGTTATATCAGCCATAGTTGTCTTCGCAAGACTTTGCAATCGCCGGAAATCACTAAAAACATTAACTCTTTCAAGTAAACACACCGAGAGGCGAAACCGGTGAGAGAACCGGCAAGAGAATCGCACGTCCTACAGGGGACGTCTCGCCCAACCCCGCGAAAGCGCTAGGTCAGACCGTAGGCTTCGGCCTACGCGTCCTACTTTCGTTTTTTTTTCCTCTCAGCGACACCCCAAGCCTGAGAAAGGACACTCGGACGTGTGGGTGACGGAACGGAACAACGGGTGCCGTACAAACAACCAAGTTTCCCCCCTCCGACAGAGGAGCGGTGGTTCACTCACCTGGTTAGCGAGGCGTTCTGCCCAAGCTACTCCCAACTCGGCCGAGCTCGCGAGCGACTTCACGACAGCGCCTCCCCCCCCCCCGATCGCGACGCTTTACGGCGTCACGAGCGCTCGCGCCCCGCCGCCATAATTCCCAGTGCGGATAAGCGGCACCCGGCGTTTGCAAGCGCTGCTTATGCGCTCTGCGAATTCTATTCATGACTCACAATGGGGAATGTGTGCACGTTTTTAGAAGCTGAATATTTTTTTTATTGAAAGCTTTGGTGACTGCAGTGATTCATATTCTTGGTTCTCTCGGTAAAGTCACGTAGAAGGGAAACAATAAAATAATAAAAATATAAAACAATAAAATTATCACGACGTTTCGACTGCAACACAAGCAATCATCATCAGGTGTGAAAACCACAGCAAGAAAATTTCAAATTTTCTTGCTGTGGTTTTGCTTGTGTTGCAGTCGAAACGTCGTGATAATTTTGTTTTATATTTTTGTTATTTTACTGTTTCCCTTCTACGTGACTTTACCTAAAGAACCAAGAATACGTTCTACTTAATTAAATAGACTTTTTAATAAATGTTTTCTCCTACAACATCAGAGTGCAGCGCCTCATTAAATACGCACTACAAATGGCAATAGTTTAAAGCGATTTGAAGCATGTTTCATTTTGGGGGGGGGGGGGGCAGAGCTTTGTGACGTCATATTTGAGGGGGGGGGTCTCACTTTTTGTGACGCCGTGTGACGAAGGGGGGGGGGATCAAAAATAGTCCAAAATCGCGTGACGTCATTTATGGACGGCCCCTAGGGCTCTTCCCTCCCCTCCCCCACAGATCTCCAGTAGGGATACGGGGTCAGAACGTTACAGCAAACAATACAAGACACGACAGAAGTGCAACGTATAGGTAAATACATCATTTTAAAACGTATTTAAATATTTAGTTTTGCTTTAACATTAATCTACGTTTGCAATACACAGTATTCCATTCCTCATGCGATTTTTTTAGTTTTTACTCCGATTGCTTTACTTCTTTACTGTACTTTGCTTTTTTATGCCTTTGTAAATTTACTGGTAGGAACCTCCTGGCTACACCAGCCCGCAGGAGATTATTGTGTCCGTCCGTCCGTCGTGCATCCAGAAATGGGAGGGGTGGGGCTGGGTGGAGAGGGGAGGGTGGGGAGGGGCTGGGTGGGGAGGGTGGGGCTGGGTGGGAGGGATGGGGCTGGGTGGGGAGGGGCTGGTCACCCCGTGGTGCCCTTATAAAATTCAACGTTTCACCTACTCACGCCGGCTTGTGCCCGCCCTCACAGTCGGGCATATTTGCGGAACACACCACGTGGTGCCGCCGTTGACCCTGGCCATTGACCGAGCAACCCAACGTTCCTACCAGCTCCCTCCGCAGGAATGTGTTTTGGTGACCCAAATCAGTCTTGCAGATGAAGACTCCCCTGGTCTTCACGAGTTCTCACCTCGTTAAAACGAAGCACACTCCAAACCCTCAGGTTCAAGCCTGCTTAGTTTCCGAGATCTGATAAGATTGGGTGGCTTCGGAATGATTGCATTATCATTGGTGTCTGCTGTTGTATTGGCCTAAATTCGAGCTCTGAGAATGAAAAATATCGCTGTGCCGATCGTGCAACACACAGTAGACTGTCGTGCTGCCCTCCAACGTGTTCGCCAGAGGACCACTTGAAAATATCTTGAAAGTGATTGCGATGAAAAGTAGCTCAGTGATTCCCACTTCTGTGGAGTTGCACTGATTTCGATTATACATCGAATGAATTGTCTCGTAATGCGACGCCGATAGCACAATGCAGATACAAGTGTGGGGGGGGAACGCAAAAAACATTTATTAAAAAAAGATAAACTATTAACTTTTTCAAGGTATGCTTTAAGCTTAAATTTTCACTACCGTATAACATTTTAGTGCGTTCCACATACTTAGTGTAACCGGCTCGTCCAATCCCTCTCTTCCCGTGATCGTAACGTGGGGACAGACAGGTTAAGAAAGACAACTATGATAGAATATTCATAATAATTCATAATAAAGGTTTTTGGGTTAGATCGCGTTTATTTATAAATGTGTCGTAACCCTCCACCACCCGACACGGCCAATCAGCAAAAAAAGTGTCACGTTGACAAAAGACAAATAATTCACTACTTTAGCCCACCGGTGTGTTGAAGAGTGAATCCACATTTACAGTTTGAGTACGACGTTTCGCTGGTAAATACATCCAGCATCATCGGGCAATTCGCCAGAATGGTAAAGCCCTCGCTTGCTCCCGGTTTTATATAGAGCAGCAGGGTGACGTCATCACTTAACTCATATCAGGTGCAGTGATTAGAGGCGGAGGAGGGGGGTATTGTAATTGTATAATCGATTAGTAATCAGTCATGATAGAATAGTTCGGAGGCGATGGCGCACTATGGACTCAACACTGCCCAAGGGCTCCTCAACACTGCACTGTGGCCTCAGCAATGCACCATCGACTCGACGCTGCACCGGTGAATACTCTGCGTCGTGTTCTGCCCTCCTCTTGAGGATTGAGTGACTCCACCACCGAGGGACAGCGGAGAGTTGTGGAACGGCGACTCTTTTACCTCAAAGTGTTCTTTCGAGCATTCGTGCATCTGTAATTATCACCGGATGCACACCAATCGACCCCACGTTACACAGCACCTCACTGCTCAATCCCTGTACAGTGTCCATCTGAATCTTAATAGGTGCCCTGTACCCTGAATTGATTACTCCACTCGTGGGCATGGCCTATTGTGCAGTCAAGCGAGTCTATGGGTCCAATCCATGGTCATCATTAACTCGATTCACAATATACGTGTGATTCATTACATTAAGCCCATACAGGCTACATTCGCCTATGCCAGGTGATAACATGTAAACATTCATTATCTCTTAATCAAACGACATTATCAACGGTTTTGTAAATTTATATAAATTTACCATGCACATTGGATTCAATTGAAGATAAGAAGTATATTTACTTCTTAATAGTGAGATCAAGAGCGTGCATACACTGGTGTATATCAAGTGCATGTACAGTTGTAGGCAGAGGGTGTTAATATACGGTGTTTTGTATACATAGTGTAGTACACACACCAGTGAAACATTTGAATAACCATGGGAAATGCACTGAGATGCATTATCTTTGCAAGAGAGTCCTGGGAGTCATAACATCGTTTTTTAAACCGGCGACAAAGCCTAGGGGTAGCGAGTTCGTCTCTTGTTGCAGAGGTTCACGGTTTGAATCCAGTGGTTGCCCTGATTAATACAGCGGGTGTATTAGCCGTACATATATACGCCATCTGCTTCAGTGGACGTTAAAGTTCCCGAGTCGTCATTAACAAGAGGAGGCGATTGTGTGCCAGCATCATGGTTCAATTTTGCCATGTTTGAAACATTAACTGCAAAATACTAAATTGAAATATACATAGTAATCGTCACCCCCGACTGAGAAAACTTGGCCGGACCCTCCTGAAAGTGATGAGACTGGGAACATAAGTGCAATAACAACAACAACAACAACAACCAAAGAGCTCAAGCGATCTTCAACATAACAGAAGCATTCAAAACAATAAAATCCAGATATCAGAGAGCGCCTTTTTATTCTCAAATCTCGGTACCCCAGCGTGCTGTCAACGCCACGGTGAGCATGTCGAGGTTTGTAGCGAAAAAACTCAAGTGGTAAACATTTTCCATGCTACTGAGTGTGTGGATTTAACGACATAGTCCCAGCTCGTAATTTAAATTAAATAGCAATAATGGACACCCTGCATAAATATATCAACTCTACAGTATATATGTATAGTGTGTGTATTTATCACACGGCATACATACACACACACCTCCACCCACGTCTGCCCCCGTCTATGTGTTTCCCCCCCTGTGTTGAACCATCATCAACGTCGTTTACCACCACCTTTCCCACAGAGCCGAGCACTCTGTTCTGGCACGTGGTGCCGGCGGTCACTTATTGCTGACGAGCAGCAGGTAGCGGATACGGCACTGGTTCTCGTTGTACACCAGGTACTCGCTGTGGCTGAAGTTGCTCTGCTTGAACTTTGCGACCTGCACCGGGCGACCCTGGGGCACAGTCACCTGCTTTCCATCTAGTTCCAGGATCACGTCCTTCTTGGGGTCTGCCGTGGAAACGATGACATCAATAAATTCATGTTACAAATGACAACTTTACAGCCCTGTGTGAATCCACCGCTGCTGGATGGAGACATCCCCGTGCTGTTGTATATCATGGGGTTGTTTGGCCATACTTCACCACGCTGGTCAGTGCGATTCAAACATCAATCGCTGCTGTTGTTCGCCATGACCGGGTATCAAACTCAGATCGAAGGGTTTATAGTGCAGTGCGCTAACCGCTGGGCCACCCACTCTACTGCCTGGGACATGGGTAGTAACAAAAGTGCAAAAATCTCGGGTTGAAAATCCTGCAATGCTTCTCTACTTCAGAGGTGTAAGCTCGAAGAAGGAAGTTCTAGAAGGACGTTGCGAATGAGGCAAAGAGACAGAAATAGAATCCTTTTCTGTCACATGAAGATAGCAACATTAAAAATGTAGATAGAGTTCAGATATCCAGTCATGAACATCAGTCAAGATGTGGCTATACATTTTGATGTCTTGCCGGGAAGTGAATTAAAGGGGCGACTGTTCATGATGTGTTCCGTTGTTTGGAGTTTCCACAGTTGCAGTGCGGATTGTCCTTAAATCGCCACTTGTGCATCAGATATCCACATCGCCCATTGAAACGGAAGGCAGGGCTCACCGCTGATTAACAAAATATGGAAGAATATTTTCCAAAAATGGTACCTCAAACCCAACCCTGTGAAAACTGTGGTGTCAGCCTTCCACCATAGCAACATAGAAACAAAATTATCCTTCTGGATGACTTAATGGAGAATGAAAGAGAGGCTTCCCCATCAATTTTGATGGTCAAACGTTCATCCTTTAACTCTTTGTGGTATAACTGTGTTCTTCTATACAACCTGTTCCCCATATCGCAGTTTTAAAAGAGCATACCTGACCAAGACTGTAAGTTTTATTATTTCTTCGCTTAAAATCTTGTGTCACCACAGTAGAACGCCTCTTTTCCGCGAGTGGACGGGGGGTTATGATGACGACGACGGTGCTGGCGAGCTGTACCTGGCTCGACATGACCACGTGCCACCACGCTGTCGTAGCCTGCGGGCGCCTGCTTCAAGCTGCAGTCATCCTTCGTGATGGTGAACTCATTCCCCAGCACCACCTCATTCAGGAACATCACTCCCCGGCCATCACAGGCATAGCCCACTGCCAAGCAGAAGATAAACAACAAAAACAACATCAAGTTAAATACTACCTTACCCCAATGAAAACTCATTCCTTTAGAACTGCTTTTTGTGTTTCTTTTGTTGTCCTTTCCCCACACCTCCTAATCACTCGGTTGGCTACGTACAGTGCGAAAGAACTTCAACATACATACAGTACATACATTAAAAGTCATTACTACTCATAGCAGTAGGATCCCCTGAAAAAAAGGAATGTGGCATTTCATAATCCTTGAAGTGTTTTCTGGTCGTACCGCGTGTTGTTCAGCATGAAAGTAAACTCATAATCAGGAACTATTTCACGCTCTGCCATTGCCATTATGAGCCCCCCACGTCACAAAGATTTGATTTTAAGGATTCATAAATGTGTCGTAAATATCAAGACATTGCTTGAAAATATAATTACTTTTTTATCTGTATGGGTGGAGCAGAAGAGCAGTGATTAGGCCACTGTACTATGAATCCCATGGTTAATAGGAGTGGCGAATGATAACCAATCCGGTCATACATCCCCCACCTACCAACCCACACTGACCAGCATAGTGAAGTCTGATCACACAACCCCCATGCTATGGGGAGGCCCTCATCTAGCAGTGGACTGATGAAGGACTGGATTATAATGTACATATTATATCCTGAAAAAGAAGAGTCCATTATTTGCGAGATTTTAAAAAATGCAATTGGAAAAATTATCGTAACAAATTACGAGTATTCTCTCAAAAGTGTTTTCGGGTTGGACCACCCGATGTTCAGGATGATGTCTGACATTTTGCTCTCCACACGCTGGCAGCTTCTTCGTGAACTGAACTAATTCTTCCGCAACCAAACAAAATGCAGCGCAACCCGAAATCATGTCGGAGAGATATCCCGATGAATTTCTGACCAGCAGATTGAAAAAAAAAATCAATCGGCGACAACAGGAGGCAGTCCAACAGCAACAACAGCACCGCACTGTATTGTGCCGACTTCTCGTTCTGCGACGCGAAGTAGATTCCGCGTCCCACCCGCCCGCCCGAGTGTGGCATGATGCGCAGGCCGCTCTTCAGGATGGCTGCCACCACCGCAATGTTGGTGCCATGCCAGAGCAGACGGCGGTTCGACAGCTCTTCGTGAGCCTTGAATCGCTCGCACTGTCGATGACAGAGATGGACAGACACAGGGAGATGGAGGGAGGGGGCGCGGATGGGAGTGACAGAGATAGGAAGAGAGAACGAGATGGAGATTAGACAGAGAAAGTAATACAGATACGTCAAAACAGAAGGATGGAGGGACACAGACAGGGAGAGAAATGGAGAGATATAGAGGCATAAATACAGAGGGAAGGATTCAGATAGAGAGAAGACAGAGGGACAATTTAACAAAGAACCAGAGGGAGAGACACAGAGAGAGAGAAGGAGAAAGTAAAAGAGACAAAGAGAAAAAGATATATACAGACAGGAGGGGACGATGGTTCAGTATCAGTGGAAGACCATGAAACAAAGCTGACTGAAAGAAAAATATTTTTAAAAAAATACGATTTATAAAAATACACGGGGTGGGGTGACACATAAAGATGTATATAAGTTAAGTCACGTCACCTTAGGCAGTGCTCATATATGAAGGCAGCTCTGTATCAAAGTTGGAAATTTCACATTATTATCACAAGTAAAATCTGTCCATTGGCTCGGGGGTGAATGTGTGAGTACCTCTCCCTCTCTGTTGACTTTCCACACGCAGTTGACTTTCATGTAGGAGGGAGCTGTGGCTGCCACGTACTGCTTAATCACCTGCAGTGGCACATAGAAGAACCTGTTAGGCTGGTGGGTCCAAAGACAAAGATCCCCCGTGTAGCCTTAACAGACTGTTGGGGCAAGTGCTGTTAGCGAGTAGCACCTTTGAAGGCCGGCACAGCACACGAGGGGGTGGATGGCCAGCAACACGCCCTACTGCCTTTTTCTCCCGAGTGGCGTTGTTTACACATCGCACCAGGTACACTTTTGAGTCTGAGTCGACCTAGGGGTGCCCCAGGACCGATTTAGAGAGCATAAATCGCCACTGGTGTTGGCCGTGAGCAGGAATTGAACTCGGGTGGCTGGGTTCGTAGCGCAGCGCGGTAACCGCTACACTACCGCTCCCCACGTGCACATTGAGCAGCATAAGCGTAAAAGGAGATGCAGCCCTTATCTTATAGTATCCCAATCATAACGTTCGTCTATCCAACATGACTTTGAAGCATCGTTTAATGTTAAAAAATAGTCCATTGCAATCATTTTTAGGGACACCACGAAAGCGGTCTAGTTATGACACAAATGAGAGCACTACCATGGTGACCGCCATGATTCAAGCCCACTGTCTTGAGAGTCCATGATACACAGCTTAGCTACAATACTGAGCCAGCAAGATAACAGGTACTTATTTTGTGGGTTGCATCTTCCGTTAATGAACACAAAGCGACTCGATTGACGCCCGCTTCCACGACGCAAGCGCTCACGTGTACCACGCACGCTTCGTGCCCGTTCGTGTGAGCGTGCGCGAGTGCACGCTGCGAGCGAGCGTGCGCGTGTGCGTACAGGGCAGTCTCGCGCTCGTCGTTGGCATGCGGGTGAGCCAGCGGTGGAGGGGGGGGGTGCGTTGCGAGTGTGCGTGCACGTGTGAGCACTCACTGCCAGCTCGTGCGAGTTCTCCCCCAGCAGCTCGAGTTCACACTTGAGCAGGTCGTAGTCGGCGTTGAGGGGGTGTGGGACCTCCACGACGGTGCCCACGTCTCCCTCGCCCCCTGCCGCTGCTGCCGCGCGATCCTTATCAGCCTGGAGCGATTGCGCCAGGACGATGTCTGCCAGCACCTGCCGGGGAAGACACGGGGACGGGAGACGCGGGGCCGATGCATGAGAGATGATGAGACACGTGGACAACAAGACACAGGGATGAGACATGGGAGATACTGAGACACGTGGACAACAAGACACAGGGATGAGACATGGAATATGATGAGACACGTCAACAATAAGAATAAAGGGATGAGACATGGGAAATTCTGGTGACAACTGCACAACAAAACACAAGGATGAGATCATTATGAGCATAAGACAAAGCTGATGATGAGACGTAAGAATGAGACAGGCATAGGGATTAGACATGAGAACCAGATACAGACGAGGCACAAACAGGAAACGCAAGGACAGCATCACACAGGGATGACAGAAATCCAAGGATGAGAGGAGGAGAGGGTAGAGCACAGGAGCAATGAGACGTGGTGACCGTGGAAGTGAAAATAATGCTTGGAGAATGAGACGGGAACGATGAGACTTGGGAAATGCAGACGAGCACGAATCATTGCTGATTTGAGTGCAGCGACTCTAACGCAGAGGTCAGGGTTCAGTTAAATGTTAGTGATTGTATAGCTTTTAAACTAATCTGAATCGTAAGACTTCGCAGTCTCATGAGCTGATAATGAAGTGAACATCATAAAATAAATAATGGTTCCCTCCAATATTTGTCTCTCCGCAAAAAAAAATGTATTTTTACACAATCTAGTCGCCACAAAGCCTTCTGGCAGCGCATATCATCAGCAGCATCTGTTTTGTAGCAAGCTCTGGATCTGTAATTCACTTTCAATGTCTTATCAGCAGTCCAGCTTGTTTGAACCAATATTGGCAAGTTGCCCAATGTTTACAGACAAGGACCCTTGCCCAATGGAAAGTGAACTTAGATCGATTTAATGTACAATAAAAGTAGTGTATTTGTAGATTTGTGCTGTTTCCAGCCATCACCGTGTAGGAGAATACCTATAAAGGAGCACTTTGAAGGCATTATTTGGTGAATCCCATCTGTGTGGATCTTTGCAAGTTTCATCCCATCATATGCATATATTTTCTCTGACCACTCTTGTTTCCTCTCACTTGCAAATATCTCAACGCAAGATCCTTCTGGAAATGAGTCTTGCAACTCGGCGAGCCTTATCCATCATAAACAAATATACATTATTATTTTCAACGCCCCCAAACTCCTCGCACGACGTCCCCTTGGCCTCTCTCGTTTTTTTACCAGCAGCATGTCCTTCTTGTTACGGATTATCTCTTGCGAATTGATCACGGGCGGCCGCATGCGCCCAAAGTTGTGCGGGATGATGGTGAAGAAGGTGGAGCTGAGGCTCTCAAGGTTGCGTTGACCCGCAGCCGTACGCAGGGCCTCCTCGATGGCCTCCAGGGCGTCAAACCCACGGCCGATCTGAGCCTTACTCAGCTTCCCCAGGGGCATCTTTTTCACGTCTGCAGCAGGGGTGACAGGAGAAAATGATAGGCAAATGTTGGTGTATCGACTTGTGTGTGTGTGTGTGGGAATTATAGGAATGTAGCATTTATGCTGATGGGGAGTAAACAGCTGTAAAAAATGTATATGGAAATTACAAACGAGGTGGTGAAAACAAGAAAAAATATCCAATCTTGCATCGAAAACTCAAATTGTAACAGATTATAAAATCTTTATTCGTAATAAACCGTTGTACTGTAATACATGCATCGGTCAGGAGATGCCATGGTTAGAATGGCCAACTCACAATTGGAAAGTCACAAGGTTCAAATCACTGGCAGGGTTTGACTTTGGCAATAATAAATCCGAGATTTTCTATTTTGTGGGAAGTCACCAGCGGTTGTTCTATAGAGATAGGAATGTGGAATTCTCACAAATGATGTTAACCGTGGCCAAGGAATAAGCATGGAGACACTTTGATTGAATTTCTGACTGGAAGTTTGTGTTATGGATATATTTCTCCCAATAATAGGAATGTGCAATATACATAATCATCAGTTAAATAACTGGTGGCCACCCAGACTGTAACCCAGGTTGTCAGCTGTATTGGCTCAGTGCTACAGACATTATCACTCCCCTGACCCATCCAACCAATGCCTCTTTACCCAGATTCATCTCCTTCATGGCATCCTTGAACATGTCGTTGCTGAAGATGAGCGACATGAGGTCCTGTGTCTGCTTCGGTAAGGAGCAGGGCTTTATCACCTTCTTCGTGAGGCTGCCATCCACAGCATCCACCTGAACGTGACAACACAGCCTTGTTAATAATGATGATGTCCTCTCCCACAGAGGCTCAATATTCAATGGCCAGGTGAGAAGGTGGAGTTTTGGATGCAGGGTTGTGGGTTAACATAGATAATTGTGAAATGCACATTTGCACTTGAAGTGACTCGGACCAGGATATGGCAGTACAGAAAGTGGATTCGTCAAGCGATTCGTGTGAAACTATTGAGTTTTATCCTTGCAAATGCATTGGTTTTATTTAGTTACTCTGGTTTACACACATGATGACAAAGAAATGGGCGGAAATCTCAAGGTAGCGCCTTCCAAAAAAATACAATAATCTTGAGAGCTCCTGAGGCTTTCCTAGATCATTATCATCAACTATGATTAATCCACTGCTGCCATGATCAATCCACTGCTGAAAGTAGGCCTCCCCAAGCAATTTCCATCTCTCATCGTGCTCTGATTAAGCAATCATCATCCCGTCTAGTGACGTGTTTTGCCCAAGCACATTTACCTTCCTTAAAAGACAAAGTAAATAATTATATTTAGTTTACCGATCAATTTATTTGTTTATTCAATTTGTGTGCCTATTTACAACCACCTCTTACCTCTGAAACGTGGTGGGGAAGGACTCACCGAGACCACAGGCTTTTCTCCCTCCTCCTCATCGTCTTCGTGCTGCATCTCGATGAGCGTATACTTGCCAGGGTGCGCCGTGAACTCGTCACGTTGCTGCCAGTTGTTCTTGGTCTTGTCCTTGAACTTCTTCTCGAAGTCTTTGATGGCCTCGGCCACGTTGCCGAAGGTCTTCATGGCGTTTTGTCCGCCCTCGCCCTGCAGTCACGTGGACGGACAAGGGGACGATGAGATGCAGGAAGAGGATACATGAAAAGAAAGAGATGAAGGCAAGAATGGAGGGGGGGGGGGGGGGGAGAGAAAAATAAAACCTCCACGTTTACATGGACATGTATTTGAGCACAAAGAAAATGTATATACTGTGTTTTATTCGATGCTTATAAGTGCTGCATTTAAGTGTGTACATATAGAGGCAAGTTGGTGATGCAGTGGTTAGCACGCTACACTATAAACTCAGTGCCATATGCCACCTAGCGACAGCAAACAGTAGCGAATGATATCAGGACCAGCGCCGAATGCCTCCTTCACCAATACACTCAGCTGGCGGCGACGTATGATCAAGCGATTGACTCTTCAAACGAATGTGGAATGATCCACTGCTGGATTTGGGCCACCAGTGGAGATGAGCACCACTCCACACTCATTTCAGCAGGTAGACACTTTGACTTTGGCAATGCAGTGAGACATCGCATAGCACGGCACAATGGGAGTGGAGTGAGTGGTGTGTGAAGAGGAAGGCATCATTCTGACCACACGGCCCCAGCGTGTCCACGTGTAGAATTTTCCATCGCCTGCGATGAGCTGGATGATGTAGAACTTGTTGTTGTTGTGGCCGATGTTGGTCTGGTTGAGCATGCAGTCATAGTCTTCGTGCACCTCGAGGCCCTGCCGAGGACACCCAGCAACACTCAGGGGCATATCTTGCAAGGCACAGACAAAGATTCCCCCATATAACCTGAACAGACTGTTGGGGTAAGTGATGTTAGCGAGCACCTATGAAGGCCAGGATGGCACAAGAGGGGATAGGTGGCCAGCACCACGCCTGGCCGCCTTTGTCTCCCCAGTGGTGAAGTTTACACACCACACCAGGTACTCATATGAGGCTGAGTCTAGTTAGCGAAGGCCCATGACTGGTTCAGATAATCGTCACTGTTGTTGGCCGTGAGCGGGAATCGAACTCTGGTCGCTAGGTTCGTAGCGCAGCGCGCTAACCGCAGGCAGTGCGACACCAACATTTAGCAACAACTACCATCACCACCCTCGCAAGACGGTATATAACAGGACCTTACCGTTTTGTTAGCCAGATTGCAAGCGGAGTCAATCTTGGCCTTTGCTTTGCTGCCAGGTTCAGTCTTGAGAGCTTTGCGAGTCTCAGTGACCTTGTCCACAGCGGGGGGGACCTCGGGTTCAACCTCAGCTTTCACTTTCTTCTGCCGTTTGCCCTTTGCCGATGCTGCTTTGCGCTTTGGTGCCATGGCTTTGAATAGCTTTCGGCTTCTGTTGACAGAGGTCGAACACCGAAACTGGGGTGAGTGTAAGAACAAATTATTCCCAGTGAAATGTTTCAATAGTTACAATTGTTCACTACTAGTTGTGCTTTCAGTGTATTATTGAGAACCTGGAAGCCTGTTGCATTGGTGAACTATACATAGCAATGCATTTCTGCACAGCCACGTGTTGAAGTTTGTGTACAAACGTCCCTGTTGTATTCGAGTGCAATTGTTTACACATTATTGATTCACGTCAGCATGGAGAAGCCTTCAACCAGCAGTGGATGTGTCAATAGCATGGCATATCTAAAAACGTTTGTCCCGAGTGGTGACATTGCCATGGTCAATCAATAACACTCACGCAACTCTGTACATACAATTCATAGGTGAAGGGGACCAGTGGACTTTGACTCAATGCCTAGAATTGCCCATCCTTGGCCTTAAAGGTATGTCCTCGGACACAATTTCTGTTTGATAGGCTGTGTAAAGTCCACCCGTGTGAAAGAGTGTGGACACATTCAGCACTAGGACACCGGTGCACACCTGTGTACTGTGACTCAGCCCAAGCATTCTTCATCAACAGAGAGCTTTATCCCTCCCAACCTTCTCCCAGCCTTGCTCCCTCCAAGACCCCGTGTCTTTTTTTGTCCACCTCACTCTCTCATTTGCTTTTCTCACCTCACCAAAGATCCCCCGTATAGCCTTAACAGGCGGTTGGGGGCAAGTGTCGTTCGCGAGCAGCACTGTGGCACACGAGGGGAGGGGTGGGTGGCCAGCACCATGCCCGGTTACCTTCGTCTCCCCACCAGGTACTCATTTGAGGCTGGGTCGACCTTGGGGAGGCCCAGGACCGGTTCAAATAATTGTCACTGAGTGGGAATCGAACCCAGAGGGCCGGGTTCGGAGCGCAGGGCGCTAACCGCTGCGCCACCGCTCCCCTCACCCCCCTGCTCGTTCACATCCTCCGCCAATCCTTTCTCTCCCGGCGTCTTCCCACGATCATGCAACAAACAATCCTCCTTGAAATTCGTCTCGGCGAATTGTCGCCGTCCCGACCAGGATACCCCAAGTCCCAGAATCGATCGAGGTCTCCACTGCCCTCTGTCCTTAAAATAGATTGTTTGTAATTATTTTGGTATAAAATTCCACGTGCAAGCCACTTTGTTGAGCTATCATTTGTGGGCAGGTCGCTTCTGAAAAATAAGTTATCTCAGTGGGCTTTACCTGGTAAGATAAAAAAAACCAGTCTAGTTTAATTGTATATATTTTAGTGATTTGTTTACATTGAGAATAGGTTTTCCCCTTTTTCTGCCAATACTTTGCACTCCTATCGTGTTTTGTACTGTTTCTTGTTGTAACGTTCTGACCCGCCCCTACTGGACATCTGCGAAAAAAAGAGCTTTATAGCTCATCGGATTCCTCCACTATAAATAAAGATTCCGATTCCGATCCGGCTCCGGGAATTGGCTCCGGACAAGGACCATGCCTCGGATCGATTCGTCCACGTGAGTTCCACGCGGTTCATGAGACACACACACACGTGTAGTCGCAAATATATAGTACTGCTATCCTCAACACTGCCACGGCGCCTGTGCCAGGCTAGGTGCACTTTGAGGCTATCACGTGAAGTGTCGAAGGCTCGCCGACATAGGAGGTCACGGGACAGACCCGGCAGGTAAATGCGCCCAGCTGTGCCCCACCACCACACACGTAGACACAGGATGCTGCTGTACGTCAAACCCGTGTCAGTGAAGGACGCTGCTGCTGCTGGGGCAGCTGAAGGCCGTCGCCCTCCAACACGACAACGGAGGGCAGAGAAAGCGACGCTCACAACAACGATCGGAGCGCCGGGCGACTAAAATGCAGCGAGTTGACACATCTTGCAGACGTCTCGGTTCAAGCCATCACACCCGAGTCTGTCCCGTGACCCCATCCCAACGAGCCCCTTCCGACACTTTCAAGTGCACCCAGCCGGGCACGACCTCACCGCAACGTAAGTGGGCGAATGTCCATTTGTGACGACAACCCCAATGTCACAACTTAGCATCGTGTACGCAGTCTCGATTGATCAAGTGTGCACGGACACAACCGGTTGAAAAAGATGACAAATCGTACAGCAGTCGCTACAGAGGTGCGCACGTGTGCCACCGGTGTACTGTACCTGTCAATGCTGAGCCAACAACGCAGCACTCGTTCACGTGGCTGTTTTGTTTTAGTCGCCAATGTTAAGTTGATTCTTCTGGGCGAGGCCACGCAATGAACCTCATGCGGCCTAAGCCAAACAATCAATTATGAGACGGTACAGTGAGTACTCGTGTTTCAGAAGAGAAAAATAAACCCCCCCCCCCCCCCGCATGAAAAACACCGCTACAGTAATTAAAATCGGCAGGTACGACGTGCAGATTTACACAACAACACCAGCAGCAGCAACACAATGCTCCAATACGCTGTGGCTACGTTCACACGTGGGCAACAATTCACTTTGCTTCAACTGTACTGTCACCATGCACACACCACCACCCCCGGGTATGCTCTCTGTCACGTCATTGCCAATAGAGCAACAGCCCCCGCCAATGCCTTGCACTCAACACGTACATAGAATGCAGTTCAGCTGCGCCGAGACCAACATCACGGTACTCACCTTGCGGCTCTATTTTATAAACGTTGTTATTGTTACAGCCGTTGTCGCTATTGTTGTTGTTGTTGTCTGCGTATCACGGTGTCTACTGCGGTGGCATAGCTGATGCGTGGTGGCGCAGGAGTGACAAATCAAAGGGCCAAAGTGTAAAATAAAAAGGGTCCGTCCCACGAGGGCGGGGCCAAAGCGGGGAGGGGGCGGGGTCGGTTCGAATAAGGGCGGGGGCAGACAGAATAGAGGCGGGGCCAGGCGGAATAGAGGCGGGGGCCAAGTGAAATAGGGGCGGGACTAGTGTTAGAAGAGGCGGGGGCGCTCACATGGGAGGGGCGGAGCCTGTGTGAAAGTGGGCGGTGTTATTGTTGATGTGGGTAGTGGCCACGGGCGTGGGGGCGTGGTGGCGGGGGATGGCCTGACCTGCCCAGGCTTGCCAAAGTGATTGGAGTACATTGTGTCAATTGTGGTCCAGATATAAACAGATAGCCTGCCGTAGCACAAACAGTGTTGTTGTTGTAACGTTCTGACCCGCCCCGACTGGACATCTGTGAAAAAAGAGCTTTGTAGCTCATCGGATTCTTCCAGTATAACTAAATATTCTAATTCTGTTTCAAAAGCAAATAAGATGAATAAGGATACCGGTGGACTGACAACACGACTAACAGTGACTTAATTAAATGGATAAGAATGATAATTTTATGTTATTTATAAAGTGGCAAAAATAATATTATGAAATGTTTAATACTTTCCATTACCCATGACTGGAAGTCAATGGGCATGGAATAGTTTAGGTGGAGTGGGATTGTACATCATTATTTGGCACGCACCTAATTGCCCCATCTCTATATTATCCACCAACCCTGCCTCCAAGTCTGCTGAATATGCAAACAAACATGCTCTGATAATAAAGGCCCCATTGCTTACCCCGAGCTATACATGATCTGATAGTGGCATTGTCTTTGTGCTGTTCGCTTTTTGGCGTTCTATGGTCTGACACTGGTGAGACTAGGCCCTAAAAATGACGTCTGGTTTAAACCAATCAGTTTCAAAGACAAAACCATATATATGCTTTGCAAGTTCACCACAAGTACCGGTACGTGTAGTAAATGCAGACTTGATTCCTTGCAAAAGTTTTCTGTTTGGTGTTTGAACACCTGTTTTATTGCCAGAAAGGGTAAAAACCTATTCTTATTTTTTCATGCTTTGATACTGACAAAAGGTATAAGTTTGATTGAGTTTAATAAAAAAAAATCTTCATAATAAAGGTTTTTGGGTTAGATCGCGTTTATTTATAAATGTGTCGTAACCCTCCACCACCCGACACGGCCAATCAGCAAAAAAAGTGTCACGTTTACAAAAGACAAATAATTCACTACTTTAGCCCACCGATGTGTTGAAGAGTGAATCCACATTAACAGTTTGAGTACGCCGTTTCGCTGGTAAATACATCCAGCATCATCAAGCAATTCGCCAGAATGGTAAAGCCCTCGCTTGCTCCCGGTTTTATATAGAGCAGCAGGGTGACGTCATCACTTAACTCATATCAGGTGCAGTGATTAGAGGCGGAGGGGGGGTATTGTAATTATATAATCGATTAGTAATCAGTCATTGGTTATGATTAGTAATGAGTTGTAGATTAGTAATTCTTTAAATAAAAAAAAATCTTCATTACTGGGTTTAAGAATGAGTGGGTGATTTTCAAGATTTTAACTTTTCATTGTGAGGCTGGTTTTGTTTCAGCAAGGCGGGGCCTGCGGATGAATTTCCGCAATACTGTACAGACATATACAGTCTAATAGGAGAATAGGTTTGCACCTTTCTTTTCTGGCAACAAACAGGTATAAAGATGTTACAACACCAAACTGAAACCTTTTGACAAGGAATCATGTCTGTATGTTTAATTATCAGACATGATTCCTTGTTAAAAGGTTTCAGTTTGGTGTTGTAACATCTTAACACCTGTTTGTTGCCAGAAAAGAAAGGGGAAAACCTATTCTCATATTTTGGTACTGGCAAAGCAGGTCCCATGATACAGTCTAATAGGTTTTTTTTTAATGTGTTTAAGTTTCTATGAAACTCTTTCAACAAACACCAGGGATTGCTATCACCATAGAAAAGATGTAATCCTATTCTTGGACCTGTCTGAACATCCCCAGCAATTGTCTCGACAGTCACACATTCAGATTAGAGATCTGCATCTGAGGCTCTGCAAAGAAGTTGTCACTCCCCATTGAGGTCAGCATTAAGCCATCCATGCAGTATGAAATTCAGAAAAATGTTGACGTGGCCGCAGGCTCAGCGCTGTTTCCATTGAGATCCGTGGTGTGAATTCAGGCAGCTATCCAGTGTGACTTTACCGAAAGAGCTAAGAATATGAATTACTGCAGTCACGAAAGCTTTAAATCAAAAGCTATCCAGTGATTAAGCCGGGTTCTCAGGTATAGGGAGTTAATGGTTTCAGCCCGCTCACCAATCACTGCACAGAAATAAAACATCCCATTGTATCACATTTTATGCTGCAGTTAATTTGGCTATTCCAATTCTGATAATTAAATATGCATTGGTTTGACTGTCATGTGATGAATAGTATTGTAATGCTATGAATGTGGCAGGATGGGTAGGAAAGTGCTACCCCCTACTGTTCCCAGCAGAGGTTACTCGAAGGGATTTCAGAGGCAGATCTATGATATCTGCTTCTGTGGGTCAGTCTCTAACACAAGGGGTTGCACTGTTGTGAAAGAGGTGCACATTCTTATTTGTCTCATAACATGACACTGATAGCCCAGTTGAGACAAAATTGGCGGGAAAAGAGAACAGTAAAAAAAAGCAAATGTAGAAACCTGGGTTAAAATTATTTGGAAAACTAAATAGTGAACAATTATCCAAGGCAAATTCTCAACAATTAACCCTAATATGTTTGTTCGTTGTGTTTGTTTTGAATTTGAGCAGGTCCTGGTGACATCATATCTGTAATCCAGCACTCTGGAGGCAAGTTCACATATTGTAGACGTGTCATTACAACTTCAAAAACTGCAGTACAGAAAGTGGGTTGAGCCCATCTTTGTGGATTGTATTATCCCTTAATATATCCTGTAAATATTTTTCCTCCCACAAACAAATTAATGTAAGTGGCCAAACATCTCAATATAGGACCCTCGTAAAAAAGGACCCGAAAATCAATTTAACCTTCCTGAATAAATGGCATTATTATACACGCTCAGTCCTTATGTTAATCCAGTGCTGGATGAGGGCCTCCCTACATTGTACAGGTCATGGGGGTTATCTTGCCAAGCACTTAGTAATAGCAGTAGCTTGACAGAGGCTATACATTATTATTTTAATATAAATATCCAAAGTGTAATACTGTACCGCAATCATGATTTTCAAATTCCTCAGATGTGCTTCAAAAAGGAGATAATTTCAACAAACTAATACCCTGGATAAATCAAGTACCGTACCTGGAATTTTAATTGGTATCAACGAAATGCCCCAACATACTTTCCGACAACTTAGAATTTAAGATACTACAACTTAGAGACAAGTTGTGATGAACACCTGTACGTCAATGTGACTCCTGTAGGAGGCAGTACAGCAGCAGCTTTATGATGAGAAGACGCAGCAATTCACTCTCGCAAAAAAATATATATACATCTGGTGATACTGCACTGGCAGTCGTGCACAAGCACACGATTATATATTGTTCCTTTTAGGGCAGTGTTAATCACGTATGTGCTGAGTGTGTGTTTTTTTTTAACTTTGCTCCCAGAAGTACGATTATCACGATTTAAGGTTACATGTTTCAATGCATGTTGAAGGGAGTCCCACACGCGCGCGAGTCATCCTGCCAAGGGGACTTCATTGTGCCGGCGCTTGTGGCGCACGAACACAGCTGACGACCAGCCTTTTATTCTGCCCCGAGCCTTTCTCTCACCCACCACTTTATATAAACTCACCCACCCACCCCTCTCTTTCCTTGCCAATACACAACGTATCTTTTTTGGGTTTCCCCTTCAATCCCCTAATCCCATTGTCGCGTCTTCCTTGCCCACGGACCGTCTCTAATTAATTCTCTCTCCGGGCGTGGTTCGTTGACCTTTGCGTGACCCCCCCCCGGCACGAGAACTCTGTACATTATTGATTTGAACTCTGTACATGTATTATTTTCAGAATAATTGTAATTGATGAAATGATGGACCATTACACACCTGTCCTTATGAACGCCAACAATACTTTTTTGATCACTCCACAACTATTAGGTACAGTATTTAATTTCAGACTGAGGCGGCCTAGCAGAGGTTCAGATCAAATTAAATCCCAATTTCCTCTTGCGAGTGATTGCAGTTGGGTCAAAGTACACCTGGTATTTGCAGCTATATCATGGTACCTTTTTGCCAGTATCAAAGTATGAAAAATACTTTTTTAAATATATATAAAATAACTAACTACATATTCTGTTACGTGCATTGTATGTGCTGTTCGCCTTTTGGCGTTGTTCTCTTGTCTGACACTGTGAGCCATCAAGAATGGCTCACAGGGCTATACCAAATAAAAATAAATGAACTGGTGTAGACCAATCAGTTTCATTTCCAATGCCAGATATTATCCGAGCCATGTTTGTTTGCATGTTTACCACAAAGTACGTGTGGTCAATGCAGACTTGAATCCTTGCAAAAGATGTATATTTTGTGTTTGAACATCTTAACACCTGCTTTATTGCCAGAAAGGGTAAAACCGATTCTTATTCTTCACACATCTGGTGTTTGTTGGTAGTCAATGGCATGTAGCTGTATCTTGCACAAAATAAATTATCATTAAAAACACCAAGCCACGTTTCCTAATCTGTTGTGGCCGAACAGTACCCGAAACATAGCCCCTTCAACTTTGCTTCAACTAACCCCAGGGGCCGTAGGCTTGGCATGTCGACAACCTATGTTACATTATTGCTCATGGTTTGATTAAATCTGTGTTGCACGTTGCGGAGGTTATTGAGTTCATGAAAGGGGGTGAGTGGGACTCATTCGCGATCAAGACAACACAGACATGCCTCATTCACTGAAGAAAAATGCAGAAATCCAACACAACTATTCATTCAAAGACAAGTAGCAGTTTATTTGCGGGTGGTTTTATTTTTTTACAATAAACGGCATAGTGTCAGGTACAGCTCATATAAATAAATAGAAATACTGTACCTGTTTATAACGTGGCAACACCATGAAAGTGAACAGCGTAAGGGTTCGTGCAAACTGACACGTCACAGATTCGGTTGGTGTTATCCTGAGATTTAAGATGTTTGTATCAAAGTAGGGTAATTCACAACACCGTGTATGTACATTCATGGCTTCAGTTCGAATATATAGATACAAACCATGGTGGATAGATGCATTAAAATAACATTTCTGTTACATAAACTCATCGATATGGTATATCCATAATCTTGTGAATTATTACAAAATTACAGCACATGGCATAACATTGGAAGGTAGTTCGAAATTATAAATGTTTGAAGAGTAAAAAAAAAATGTGCAAAGCTCTGCTTTGGTGACAATTTGGTCAAACACATGCCAAGTATAAAAGCAAACACACAAATACACCCGAGATGCAAACGCACACTGCATGTGAATTATCTTCGAAAATAATAAACCCCAGAAATACCGTTATATGGCAAACCTTTCACGGCCTGTATTAACTACACTGAATTCAACAAGAAACCATTTTAAAAAAATGTTTAGCGTGCAAAAATGCACAATTACGTGGTGCATATTTGGATAATTGCCATATAAATCTTTACATAGAGGTATTTTATTGACATGTATTTTTGTTTTACGTTTTATATCAGTTCCCTATTTCTGTACCGATACTTGCTGTTTGTATTGTGATCTATGCAAGTATGATAGTAACCAAGATCTGTACCGTATAACATCAGTAACGTCACAGGACACCCATGAAATAGACCCCAGCAGATCATTGGGCCCTTCGTGCTGAAATAAATTAAATCTATCTTTAGAACTTTGGCATGAAATAATGTTTAGCATGGCGAGTGTAAGAAACGGATTTTCCTTGGAAAATAAAATCTTAAGTCATTAAATGGCGTATTAATGGATTCATTATTTAATGTCATTAGCCTTAACACCTGTTGCATATCTAGCTTTGTTAACGATTTGAAAGTTTTTTGTTTGCATATTGGTACTATTTAAAAACACACTGGTAACATCATATGATTCAATACTGCCTTCTGTGACAGATAAGATCCACACGAAAATGTGCGCAATGATAGATTAATGAAAAAATTCTAAAATTCCCATGACCAACGATGGAATCGCAACACTACCCATGAGCATATCCCATCTGATCACAAGCACCAAATTCCTTTCCAAAAAAGAGGCAACAATTATTTTTCATTTTTTCCATCTTCTGTAATGAACCGTGCCTGGCACAGATACAAGGTGCGCTTTATTGCAACATAAACAGGACGGGTTTGGTAAAGCAGGTACCGTACCCACAGCTCACCCACAGTAAACCCACACCACCCTCGACCAAAACAACTATTTTAAATCATCACAGTGTCAATATAGTTTAGTTTTCTACTTGAGCAAATTGTTATGCAGGATACCCCAATAGTGCACCTGTTGTAGTTGTGTTCACCAGATGAAAACTACATTAACATGGCAATACAGGTTTTTTTTGGGTTAGATCGCGTACAAATGTGTCGTTAAACCCGCCGCCACCCGACACAGCCAATTAGTAAGGTTTGTCACGTAAACAAAACGTGACAATTCATCACTAGTACAGCACACCGGTGTGTTAGAGAGCAAATTCACAACATTTACAATCCGAGTACGAAGTTTCACCGGTAATGCTAACTAGAATCATCAGACGGAAAGACAGATTTGTGGAGAAATCCTCCTGTTTCGTATTATGTTACACACTCCTCGTAAACACGTGTAGCATTGCAAAATAAGTGATGTACAATCACAAGTAAATGGAAGTGACGGCAGAAAAGAAAAACACGACACATTGTCTTCTTTGATCGAGTAACTGCGGTTTTCAGTAGTACGCGTGTTCTTATCAACGTTATCCGTCATGACGTGCAGGTTTTCGCAGAAAATATTATGATTCATAATTCATTTCTGGATTAGGCCGCGTAATGATTCAGTCAATTATTATCGTGCAGGGTTTATTGACAAAAATGTGGCCATATCATTAAGTGGCCTACGCCAAAAAAAAGTAGTTATCCTCAAATTTGAACTTGGCTTCTCAGGAAGCAGGGATATTGAAGTTCCTTGGTTCAAATCTGACGAATTGAATGTTTCCACGAATGGATTTTTGAAAGGCCCTTTAAAAAATATTTCATTGTCAGAAATGATGGGCATTACAAATGCTTCTATCGAAATGTTCTTCTGCTTCAACATCAGATATTGCCAACTGGGCTCCTGCTCGTAACATCTTACCAAGTGGCAATGGTTCATGAGGACACAGCTTGCCGATGAGAAACCATACAGTTGACACCAGTCCAAGGCTGTATTATTTCATAAAATGCCGCTTTGTAATATTAAACTGGAAAGCCCATATGCAAAAAAACCTGTTTTCAATTAACCCCCTTTTAAATGTGTTAATAAACCATTTGCCAAGACAGCAAAAAACTCTAATGAGCACACTTCACAAGTGTCATCTTAAAATAATGTGTTCTGCAAAAGTACAAATTATACCAAGCATGCTGTACATTTCACAGCAGTAATCCATATATACTGTATACAAATCACATCGAGCCTCCCGTAAATCACGTGACTTATCCGTTGGCCACTGCCACTCCAAATCCTTATCCCCCTGCCCCCGTGAAACCAGACGCTGCACCGTGCGGCGTAGAGGCCCCGAGGTAGTCGCCTCTTCATCCCCATCTTCATCTTTCCAGACCGTTTGGTCACGTTTTTCCATTCGTTTTAATATTTTTTTTCCCCCAATCTCTCTCTCGCTCTCTTCCCCATCCATTACCACCTGTCTATGGTCTCCTTTTGCGTGGTGTGGCAATGGTAAAAAGTTGAAATGACAACTATATTTATATTCTTGGTTCTTTTGGTAAAGCCACGTAGATTTAAAATCGCTTCTACGTGACTTTACCGAAAGAACCAAGAATATGAATCCCTGCAGTCACGAAAGCTTTAAATCAAAACATTTATGTTTTCCGTATATATAATGTAAAGGTGCATACGCGCTTCCACAAATACAGCCAAGATTTGAATGAGTGTAATTGTGCAAAATATCTGTATTGCATTTTCATATCACCAATTATATGGAATTGATCTTCCAGAAATGGTTTACCACTGTATATATATTACGAGAGGATATGGAGGAAAGGGTCAGCAGTTCCCAACCCATGTCCCTGCTCTAGTATTTTTTGGCACACGATTGCATACTTTGCTGTATTCTCAGTTTATTGCATCCAAAACGCAGTGCATTCTAGGCATGGGTTTGTAATGAAGCGCAGTACCAGGCACACAAAAAAACCCAACACAATTCATTGTTGCTGCCTTTGTAGAATGGGGATATTCTTTTTTCGTGAAAAGTTGAGCCTTTGTATTTATCGTGGGAAGGCAGATTTTCCCCAGGACAGCGATCTCTAGCCTTTTGATAAAAAATAAAGTTTAGTTTCAGACATGTTTGGATTTCAGTGAGACCATTTTACAATGCTGAAATATAAACAAGTATATCCTTTGCAGATTTACCATCTAATGCATGAAAGCCAGAGTGACCTCTCTAAAACAGACGCTCTTTGGTATTTGCAGGAATTTAAATATGCCATCGAAGTGTTTCATAACGGTACAGTATATCGAGTTGAAAATTACTGGCACAAAATTATTAACGATCAACTGTTCAACATTTCTACAAAAGCTTATTCCGTGTTGGTGCAAGCATTATAATGAATGCTCTGCAATAATAACGGAGTGGAGGCCAAGGAACGGCACGCATCCAAGAGTACGTCGACGAGGAAATGGAGAGTTGAAACCAGTTCATGTACAGGCGTTCGAGAACGTTGCATCGCAGGATTTTGAAAAGAGGAAGTGGCTTGGGAAGTCCTTTATCTGGCCGTGGATTGACTGTGGCCGATTACAAATGCTATGCACATAATTCCACGATAATTCGTTTGCGGTTAATAAAAACATAGTTATGGATTTTAAATGCTACGACAATGACGCAAATTATTTTAGGTACGGTGCAATAGCATAGGATCTCACAACAAGCAGATTCTGTATATAGTTGTCTTGATATGGAGCTGCAAGTCAAGTTATTCTGTACAAATGAGACCAGATCACTAATGTATGGGTAATGTCTTTGACATGGTGACGGCGATGATGCTATGAACTACTGCTCTCAATACTGTACCGATCACAGTCTTCAACATGCGCCAGACAAAATCTCATGTGCTCACTTAATATGTTACGCAGGTGAATATTCAAAGTCAAGTCACAAATGAGCACTGGTAATCTTGAGCCAGTGGTGGATATTCCACTTTGCCATGGTAGAGACCATTCCACGTGGAGGATAGTCACTGCGGACCTCCCACACAGTGGTGCAGTCACCTCTTTCCAAGTGGTACTCACTTTAAACTTGACCACATGATTACACATCCATCAATGCACATATACACACCGATCCAGGATACAAACACATACAGTACACATACACGCAACTTTTATACATGTACAAGGGTGTAAATATAAGTGTATAGTAAACGTGTGAACATATATAACAAAGACAACAATCCCACCATTTAGCTATTGAAGAGTTATGGAAAGTGCTGCTCGTGAGCACCTATTAACATTAGCACCACACTTGTCAGGAGGACAGAGGGCCTCATTTAATTCCTTGCACCAAGGGCCAAACGAACCACGCCATGACATCGGTGTGTACACGCGCGAAATTACGACCCCCCCCCCCCCCGACCCTTCAGAACCTGAAAAGGGGTTACACGACTGGATTTCCTACGTGCTCATTTCAAACAATGCCCTCTTGTGTGCTCCCTTGAATTTTTACTGCAAATAAATATCCCACGCGAGCCCACGCTCGTTCACGTGCAGACTTATAAGGACGGTCACGCGTGCCCCCGAGCGAGCAGCACGGGGGCGAGTGCGGCGGCGGTAGCGGCAGCGATGGGGAAGAGGGGGTGGCAAGGCCCAGCGCCAGCGGCGGCCGCCTTGCCATCCTTGACGATTATCGGCACCGCGTTCGACTGCGTCAGCACGAGGTCACGCGTTGTAGCCGCGTAGCTTTCCGTGCCGTCCTCCAGCAGCAGCGACACCGAGAACGGCTGGAACCCGTTGGCGGTCACCTGGCACGGGTATTGGGGGGCAAAAGAGTGGTGGGGAGGTGAGGGCTGTTTTCATATTAAGTGAAAACCAGCGTTTAGGTTATTGAGATTATTTTTGCTGCTATAAAATTTTAATATTTCCCGATTGCCAATTTTAAATCAGGCGAAAAAAACTTGTTTAAAAAATAACATTGTGAGGTCATTTAAAGAGATATAAGTGATCAAATTTGTTGTAAAATATTTGGCAGTTTGCATGCTGCAACACGAGCTCTGCTTATTACAGCTCATCAGCAGGCTTGAGTGGGTTCAACACTGGCCACGACCTTAAAAGGCTTCTGTGGTCTTTGTGGCTCCTGACCTTCAGAACCCCCAAGACTGGCTTAAACTGGCTGCTCAGCCGGCTGGCGCGTGGGCCAGTGAGTGTGCGTTCACCTGCAGCGTGTACTGGCCAGGCAACAGCAGGCGATAGTACTCCCCGCCCGCGGTCGTGTTGAAGGGGAGGATGTTGGCGCGTCCAACCACGTGCACCTGAGCATTGGCCACCCCGGTGCCATTACTGTCGAGCACGCGACCTTTGACCCCTGCGTACAAGGAGAGCCACGTGCAAATTTAATGGTCCCATTTTTTAGGCACTTCGCCAGGAAATGGCTCGCTGGAGGCCTCAAACTTCTCAGGTTTCCATATTAAGTGAAAACACCTGGAACTTGTGACTTATTGACCGGTGTGGTGATGTATGGTTAAACAATCCTCAACTGACGCTGCGTGGGCAGGTCTTTAAATGTCAGTGGACTGACAAACGGCTGTAAATTTATATATTTTTTACAGACCAGCCTGGTTTAATGCTTAGCACGCTGCACTTGCAATCCAGAAGTCGCAAGTTCAATCTCCTGTCAAGGCAGTTGCAAACCATGGCCAAGTTTCATAACTACCCCCGTGTCTCTGTTCACGTAGCAGCACGAACGGTTCGCGACAGTCGCGGTGGGGTAAAGTGTGGGAGAAACTGCTTCCTTCAAATACGTTTGTGGCCAGTGGGGAAGAGTATGCAAAAAAATATCTCGGGTGCTCCTTCAAGTGTAGGGCCATTCCTCCAGCAGTGGCATGAGCAAGCAGTTGCAAGGGTGTAGTTTTACCATAGTATTATATATATAGTTTACTACGCTCAGCGAGGCTAAAGAGTGGAAATCATTGTCGCTGCCACCTCGTACCCAGGTGTGCTTGCTTGATGTAGGCGAGGAGGGCAGCGCGGTTCTCCTGCCACAGCTCCGGCAGGCTGTCCGCAGGAGGGAACTTACAGCAGCTCACCTCCAGTGTCACCTCCAGGCACTGGCCCCACACATAGCTGTAGTCCTGCATTCCGCCTGCATCCCCACCACACATGGAAGTTCCAACAACCCATCCGCGGGGGAGGGGGGGTATGGGAGGGATTGGGGGGCGGGGGTATTTAAGAAAATTGCACGAAGTTTCAACTTCCTCGCAGGGAGCATCGAACCAGCGAGATCTGGATTGCAAGGCCAGCATGCTAACCCATTACATCACGGCAAAAATCTCCACTAAGCAAAAACCTTTCCTGAAAAATTGCTTATTGGGCAGAAGTGGCCATATTATGCAAAGGGGGCTTCTTTTTGTTCGTGACAGATTGCTACCTGGCTAGGAAACACAAATAACACATTCTTGTCGGGATATAAATAGCGGACCGGTTTTACAATGAAACTGCTGGCAATTCAACTGATGCATGATAGCCTTCTCAAATGTAAAACGACTGTTTACATTCATCCAGAAATGTTATGGTCCAGACTTTGATACTATAAATGTCTGTAAGTTCAAAGGCTTTTTTTGGGTTTGGGTTAGATCGAGTAAATATATAAAAGTGTTGTTAAAACCCACCACCACCCGACACAGCAAACTAGTAAGGGTTGTCACGTAAACAGAACGTGCCAATTCGTCACTAGTACAGCACACCGGTGTGCTGGAGAGCCAAGCCACAACATTTACAATCTGAGTACGACGTTTCGCCAGTAATTACCACTAGCTTCATCAGGAGACAGCCAGATTCGTGGAGAAGTCTGTTTCGTTCCTTATATTGAGGGATAGATGTGGTGACTACGTGTCTGCGCTCTTGCGCAAAGTGGGGGGGGGGGGAGGGTATGACTGAGGCAACGTACATGATGCATGTGCATTATGCGACCCCTCTGAACTTGTCCTTCCTTTCTATTGTGTGTATTAAAATAGCCGTACCAAGGGTAATCCCTATTGAAGTATGCTGCCCTTTATAGGCATGCATTTAAATAATGTATTATTTGATGATTCACTTCCATGCAGCACTAAGGCGGTAGCTATCCGAACGGTTAAAATAGTTTTTGTTTCTTTCAATTTCGATAGATTCTCTAATTAGTCTTGGCCAGTAGTAGCTAGTTTTGCACAGAACTTCAACATTATCAAAATCAATTGAGCGTCCTTGTTGGCACGCATGTTCCGCAACTGATGACAGTTGCATTTGGGAGAATTTAATATTTCTCTGATGTTCTTTTAGTCTCGTGATGATCATTCGTCCTGTTTGCTCAACATAGCTTTTACTACACGTGCAGTTAATTCTGTACACACCCTTCTGTTGATAGCTTTGGTTCTACATCTTTTGTACCAGATATAACTTTCTGTATTTATGTACCTTGACAAATCTGACTCGGATGTTTTGTTTTTCCAAACATCTGGAAAGTTTATCATTTACTCCCGCAATGTACGGTATTTTGATCGTTTTAATTACATGGGCAGTTACCATAGTTTTAATGCTCGTGTTATTTGATTTGGTTTTGGCATTCAATGCCCTGTTGATTTGTGCATCATTGTCACCGTTCATTTGCAGCGCTCTTTAACATGTTGAATTTTACTTCTCAGACTGTCACGATCTGACACTTTTTTTAGCTCAATGAATGAGCGTCTTAATAAGAGCAGATTTCAGTGCAGGGTGATGGTGTGACTGCATTCAGAAAGGCGTCAGTATGCGTTTTCTTTCAGTAAACACTGTGTGTCAGGTTCCACTTCCATGGTGAACTGGATGGATGGGTTTTGCGAGTTGAGATGATTTAGAAATGCGTTCAGTGTATCTTTGCCGTGTGGCCAGACCACCAATGTGTCATCCACATATCTAAACCAAGCAGATGGTTTTAGTTTGGTTGAAGCTACTGCTTTTGTTTCAAAATATTCCATGTACAAATTCGCTATCACAGGAGACAAAGGAGAGCCCATTGCTGCTCCTTCCTTTTGTTTATAGAAGTCACCTTGCCACAGGAAGTAGGTGTTCTTTAGACAGTGTTCAGCTAGGCTTGGGATGTCTTTAGCTAAACCTTTGTTCGTTACCAGAGTGTCGAGTAATTGACTCGTTGACCAGAGCCCTTGTGAACAGAGAAGTCACATTAAAACTTACGAGAATATCATTAGGGTTAAGCTTAATATGTAAATGTTGTGGCTTGGCTCTCCAACACACCGGCGTGCTGTACTAGTGACGAATTGGCATGTTCTGTTTACGTGACAACCCTTACTAGTTGACTGTGTCGGGTGGTGGCGGGTTTTAACGACACATTTATATATTTACGCGATCTAACCAAAAAAAACCCCTCTATTATGGATGATATTGGTCGCGAAAGCCTACGTCTTAAAGTTCAAAGTTCACTGGAATGTGAGGCAATAACAATTCGTTTTTGGCACGTAACAATGTGGCCAGCCTTTGCTATGTCTCAAAACCATTTGAAGAGGGTTTGGCTTCGCATTCTTGGCTCATGCGTTATTGAATATATTCACGTGCGAGAGCAAACAAGAGTACGCAGATAAAACTCACACATCCACAAAGATGGTTCATATAACCTCAACGACGAGCCACATCATAGCCTTGCAAAGTAGCCGTCAAATGTAACGACCTCTGCGTGAGCTACCAACTTGGTCTGCCAGGCACCACACTACAAGCGTGTGGCACGACGCTCTGCACACGCAGCTGATACGCAAGTGGCTGCCTATGACCAAATCACCTGGAATGCACCCCGTCTCGTCATACTGTACAAGCTAAGCAGAATTTTGAGCCTGTATAGTGCTTGTATGGGCGATCGTCAACGCGGGGCTGCGGAACCACGTGGTGGGCGGCGGGAGGTAGTGCGGAAAAGGCCGTTGTTGTGCTGCACTTCTATGCCACCTGCATTCGCCAACCCGCACTGATCAGCGTGGCTAAGTATGGGCAAAGTAACCTGCGTCACCCACTTGGCAGCGTGGGGGAGCTCCTCATCCAGCAGTGGATTGACAAAAAGTGCTGTACTCGTACAAAAAAGCGGCGACGTTACCTAAGCCTGGAGCCGAATGGACGCGTGTGGTGCCAGGAACCGGGGTGCAGTGGCCGGGGTGTGTGGGTTACGGGGATGTATGGGAGTGGCCGTGGCTGCGACTCCGTACCGCTGAGAGGGTACCAGTTGGCACCGTTGGTGATGCCTCTGGGGAAGTTAAATCCACACTTGTTGCCCAGGTACATGGAGCCGTGGTTGGATGCGTAGACCGTCGCCACCCTCACAAACACGTCGTCGTCCGGGGATGCGCTGTACGAGTTGGCGCTGCCTGCTCGCGACGCCACACACCCACGTACGCACGTGTGAACAAAGACAAAAGTTCCCCGCCGTTCAAACCTTTACGGACTCTTGGGGCAAGTACTGTTAGCAAGCACCTATTAAGGTCAGCATGGCGTGAGAGGAGGCAATGTGGCCAGCACCGCATCTGACCACCTTTGTTTCCCCGGATGGCTTTGTCTCCCAAAACAGGTAGTGATTTAATGCCGAGTCGACCTGAGGGGATGGCTAGGACCGGTTCAGATGTATGCCACTGATATTAAGCGTGGCTGGGAATCAAACTCAGGTAGCCGGATTCACAGCAAGTGGCGCAAACCATTGTGCCACCTCTCCCCACAAACGCATGCACACAAACAAAAGATGAACATGACCTGAATAGCAGTAGGTGCTATGATGGTAAGTGCTGATAGCGAGGACCTAGGTCTATAGCCAGTCAAAACTGCTATCCGCATTAGGGCTGCTGGCAGAGCTATGGTTAGTATTGGATTAAAGCTATATCTAGTGCAGGGGTCGGGAACCTATGGCTCGCGAGCCAGATGTGGCTCTTTTGATGATTGCATATGGCTCGCAGATAAAACAAAATATTCTCACTTGTTTTAATCCATCCATCGATTTTTCACTGCGCATGTCCTGTTCAGGGCTGCAGGAGCAATTGTCCATTATTTTAATTGGATGATACTGGCCTACGTTTGCCGTTGCTGGGTAAAACAGGTAAACGCCCCCTTTTGAATCAGTCTGAGACTGCGTCTGCTCGGTCATTAGCTCAAAGCTAACCCTTCGACGAAGAAGATGGCGAAAAGAAAAAAAGACGACGAGTATCGTACATTTCAGGACGAATGGACCGAAGAATTCGCCTTTGTGGAGAGAGCGGGTTCTGCGGTGTGTCTAATTTGCAATGACAAAATTACATCGTTGAAACGGTCGAATGTAAAGCGGCACTTCGACACGCGCCACGCTACCTTTGCATCAAAATACCCTGCGGGAGACAGCAGAAAGAAAGCGTGCCAAGAGCTTCTGAGCAGGGTGCAAGCTAGCCAGCAGCAACTCCGCGTATGGACCCGGCAAGGTGACTATAATTCGGCTAGCTTTGCTGGTTCTTTAGCAATAGTGAGGAACGGAAAACCATCTTCCGAACAAAGACAAGATAATCAAACGGATACAAGACATGCCTCTGTCGGCAAGAACTGTTCATGATCGTACCATCGTGATGGCAAACAAAGTGGAGGAAACGCAAGTGAAGGACATAAATGCAGCGCCGTTCTTTTCTCTGGCTTTGGATGAGTCAACAGACGTGAGCCATTTGTCGCAGTTCAGCGTGATTGCAAGATATGCTGTTGGTGACACACTGCGCGAAGAAAGTCTTGCTGTTCTGCCATTAAAAGGGTCCACAAGAGGTGAGGATTTATTCAAGTCTTTCATGGAGTTTGCTCAAGAAAAAAGTCTACCTATGGATAAACTTCTCTCAGTGTGTACTGATGGTGCTCCGTGTATGGTGGGGAAAAACAAAGGATTTGTGGCGCTTCTCCGTGAACATGAAAATAGACCCATCCTAAGTTTCCATTGCATTATACACCAGGAGGCACTTTGTGCTCAGATGTGTGACAGGCAGTTTGGCGAAGTGATGTCGCTGGTCATTCGTGTGATCAACTTTATTATTGCCCGAGCCTTAAATGATCGCCAGTTTAAAACACTGCTGGATGAAGTTGTAAATAACTATCCTGGTCTGCTTTTGCACAGCAATGTGCGTTGGTTGTCAAGAGGGAAGGTGCTTAGCCGTTTTGCGGCTTGCCTGAACGAAATCCGGACTTTCCTTGAAATGAAAGGCGTCGGGCATCCTGAGCTAGCCGACACCGAGTGGCTCCTCAAGTTTTACTATCTCGTAGATCTGACTGAACATCTGAACCAGCTCAACGTGAAAATGCAAGGCATTGGAAATACAGTGTTATCCCTTCAACAAGCTGTATTTGCTTTTGAAAACAAGCTGGAGCTTTTCATCACGGATCTTGAAACAGGTCGTTTACTACATTTTGAAAAACTGAGCCAATTTAAAGATGCATGCACAGCAAGTGAGCCCATTCAAAACCTTGATCTCCACCAGCTAGCTGGCTGCACATCCAGTCTCCTACAGTCCTTCAAAGCACGCTTTGGAGAATTTCGTGAGCACACTCGTCTTTTTAAGTTCATCACCCATCCAAACGAGTGTTCACTGAACACAGCCGACCTGAATTACATCCCTGGTGTCTCCGTCAGAGATTTTGAAGCAGAAGTGGCTGACCTGAAGGCCTCAGACATGTGGGTGAATAAGTTCAAGTCACTGAATGAAGATTTGGAAAGAATCACACGACAGAAAGCGGAGTTGGCGAGCAAGCACATGTGGACAGAAATGAAAAAACTCCAACCCGAAGACCAGCTGATTCTCAAAACTTGGAACGTGCTTCCTGTCACATACCACACACTGCAGCGTGTGAGTATTGCTGTATTGACCATGTTTGGATCTACGCATGCATGTGAGCAGTCATTCTCACATCTTAAAAACATCAAGTCCAACCTACGATCACGTTTAACGGATGAAAGCCTCAACGCTTGCATGAAGCTTAACCTCACCAAGTACCAACCCGACTACAAAGACATCAGCAAATCCATGCAGCACCAGAAGTCGCATTAATGGTGAGTGTTATAACAACATTATTTAAAAGAATAAATTCAGAGGCTTATTATACTGACATTTAGTTGAATTCACTTTTAAAATATATTATATGGCTCTCACTGAAATAAATTTCCAAATTTTTTGCTTTCATGGCTCTCTTAGTCAAAAAGGTTCCCGACCCCTGATCTAGTGTCAGGATTCATGCCAGGGCTAGGGCTGGTTTAAGACTTGGGCCATGTCAGGATCCCAGCTTCGTGCCAGTGCCGCCCAGCAAAAGGTTAGAATTGGGGTTAGGATTGGGATTAGGGATTAGGATTGGGGTTTGGGTCAGATTTACGATCAGGGTTAGGGTTGGGGTTAAGACCAGGGTTATGGTCGAACCTGTGAGCTGGCAGGCTGTCACGTGTGTGTGTGAAGAATGTGGAGCTGAGTGGACTTGCCGAGGACCGGTACCAGCAGTGTCAAGATCGGTCTCTTATGGGGAAAGCTCGTGAAGGACACTACTGGTCAGTTAGAGATAGTCACCCTCCAACAACAACGGAGGGCAGAGAAGCGACGCTCACAACAACAAGCGGAGCGCCGGGCAGCTAAATATAGCGAGTTGGCACAGTAGGGGGCACAGCTGGTCCATCTGCCAGTTATCTTCAGGTCGGTCAACTCATGGCACCTGGGTCTGTCAAATGGCGGGTATTGGTATGGGTAGTGGTGGCATCAGGGGCGGAGCCAGGATTTCAGGCCGGGGTGACATTCAACAAATGTTGATTTCAAGAATGATTAGAGAGTCGGCCTGTTGAGCTAGACGCCATCGGTTGGCGACACACTCTGACAATGCAGTTGCACGGAGTCTGCCAGACCGAGTGTCGTACACTTACACGCAGAATGTCACCCCTGTCACACCCCCTGGCTCCGCCCCTGGGTGGCATAATGGTGAGCGCACTACGCTACGAATCTGGCAATCCAGGTTCGATTCCGGCTCACAGTCAACACCAGTGACAATTATTTGAACCGGTCCTGGCCCTCCCCTAGGTCGACTTAGCCTTAAATGAGTACCTGGTGTGGTGTGTAAACATCAGTACTGTGGAGAAAAAGGCGGTCGGCAAGCATGATATTGGCCACCCACCCCCTTGTGTGCTGCGCCGGCCTTCATAGGTGCTACTCACTAACAGCACTTGCCCTAACATTCTGCTAAGGCTACATGGGAGATCTTTGTCTTTGTGTGTGTGTGTGTGTGTCTCGTGACCTCCTGCTCGCGGGCGTTCAACACTTCACGTGACCTTAAAAGGCCTTAAAGGGCACATAGCACGGCACAAGCACCGCAGTGATGTCACCGCCACTTAGTGGGCGAATGGCAGTTGATGTTGTTATTGAGCGTGCGCGACACACTGGACCTACCAGGGCGAAGGTTGTCGTAGGGGTAGCTCGCGACGACGGCGCCGCCGTGGAGGCCACCCGACAGCACGAACGGCTCGCTCAGCGCCCACTGCATGGAGGCCTCCGTCTCCGGCTGCCGGGGCGCCGAGCTCGGCAGGCTCAGCGGATCCGGGAAGTCTCGGTTTAGGTCTTTCCCGTTGGAGTTAAACCTTTGGCAAGGCGAGGATAAGCTAATGAATCACCTTGTCTGTGAGAGCCAGTGCATTTCTTATCAACATTTATAAATATGGTCTGTCATCTCTGCTCCGCACAGTAGGGGTTAGCAATTTCCCGCATACCCCACTACAGAGGGCAATGTTTGTTGCATGACAAACCATTTTTTGTTAATTCTTAGAGCTTGAAACTAATTTGATTCCAGTAGGCTCCTCAGGAATTTGGGAAAATCGAGTTCAGGATCAAATTTAATATCACCGGGTATATTATTGGTGCAATTAATTGATGATGAGAACGAGACCATCAACGCACTACAGTTTAGGATCCGGTCTAATCAAAGACGGCTGCCTGGATAAAGACGCAAGATTCTCAGTGGTGCCAGCTCGGAGCCATGATCTGCTGAGCCACCTGGCCTCCGCAACTGTTGATATTTGCTACGATTACATCATATATATGCAAAATAATAATTATAATTTACAGCTCTGGGTTTAGCCACTGCTGCGTGCAGGTCTCCCGACGCCATGTGGGTGGATGTCTGACTATACTTCACCATACTGGTCGGTGTGAGTTGATGAAGGTGAGGAAGCATGCATATACATTGCTTCATCATCTTCCCTGTTGTTATCATTATTACTGATTACAACAAGATGTAACCTTGCGCTCCTCAGGCCAGGCCCTGCTCGCTTAACCTAGAAAGTCATTCTACGCTGGGCGGTAGCAGGGGCCTTTTTGCGTGTGGCGCCTGAGATGTGGAACTCTCTTCTGCCGGTCCTCAGATTGGCTCCAAGCACCGAACAGTTCGGGGAAACTCTGCAAGACGAATTAATTTTTTAATTATAGCTTTTCCTTGAGTATGTCCCCTGCATTTTGATATATGTGTCTTGATTTTATAGGTAGGACTACCTTCATTTAATTCATACTGTAAAGTATTTCGATGCCCTCTTTAGTTGGGGCGAGTTCTTACAAAAAAATTCGAAAATTGAATGAATGAACGAAGGAGCGAGCGGCTGACCTCCCGGTGACACTGTCGCAGTCTCCATTCACAGAGGCGTCAAATCCGTCGGGGTTAAGGCTGGGCAGGAGGTGGATGCGCACGGTGTCCACCAGCCGCGTCACTTCCTCCTCGTTGCCATATCCCTCCACCAGCGCGTCCAGCAGGAAGAGCAGCAGCTCGCGACTCACAACCTGTCCCGAGGGAAAATCTAATTTACAAACAAGTGTGGATATAACCGTGCATAGGCAACGCTTTCCGACAAGTGGTTTTCTCAGCAAGCTTGTAATTAGCAGTATGGAAGCTGATGGGCAGCTTCGGGGCAAAACGCGTTTTGCGTATTTGCAAATAGTCCTTTTTGCTCTGGTGTTTCTCCGAGTTCCAAAAGAGTCGGTCGCGAATCGCAAAACGCAGAGCACCTTCGTGATAGCCCTTTTGCTATTAGAACAGCGCGAAATACGAAATGTACTGGACAATCATCATTATGGCATCGGCTAATCCATCAACAGCATTTGTATAACCGAGAACAAATTGGAAAAAAATTGACGTTGGGCAGTGTTTTTGTGCGGGACACCGTGCTCGTTATGAAAAGTGGCACAAAGTGAGGGCATTTGAGACCTCAAACCTTGAGGCACGTGCTCATTTCTATAAATAGACAGCGGTGTCTCCCTTTTGGCCCCAGACCAAAGGTAAAGTTTAACAGTGATCAGTCAGCGACCAATTCTCAGTGGGCCCTTTGTAACGTGCCAAGGAGGCTATAATGGGATGCTTGTGGTGCTCTATGAACGTTTGTAGAGAAGACACGGGAAGATGACACCAGCTGAAACTTGATTCCCGAAAGAGTGGGTCTTCACTGGCCACCGAATCTAGAAGCTTGCCGATTCAGCAGTCAACGAGCCACGTCAAATCGTATCTCAACTGGCCACGGAAGGTGGAACCTCGTTTTTTTTTTCCTACAAACGGAAAGTGAAAACAACACCCAAATGCGACTGCGGTGCACTGCAGAGATGAGCGGAGCACACCGTGAGCTCACGCCCACTGACAGTGTTCTCCAAGGACACGGGTGGTGTACGCTTGACGTCCTCCGAAGTCAGGATTTGCAACCTCGACTTATCGATTTACTTTATTTCCACTGTTTTATTCACAAGGTAAATTCCGCTGAGCGACACTGTATAGCTCTTTTTCAGAAGCGACCTGGCCACACACGATAGCTCAATGAAGTGGCTTATCACATTGTCATTTAACACAGCCAAATCATCTAAGCGCATTATTCTAAATGTGGAGGGAAAAACCGGAGGACCCGGAGAAAAATCCACGTGACGAAGGGTAGACATGCAAACTCCAAATATACAACAGGTGTCAGGGTCGGGATCAAACCCACAACCTCCTGTATACCAGGTGAGGCAGATAACATCCTAACACAGAGGGCATGGGGTGATTGGTGAGGAATTCAAGTAAAAATTCTGCTACCAAATGCCTCTCTTGTCAAGAAAATAAATAATTATATACACCTAATGTTTCTGTCCAGGATATATTGAGATGTGGCTACATATATATCCTATCAATTGAAAATTATAGTTGTACATTAAAGATACACGAGTTGCCATTTCGCCTCCTTTCCACACCTGTCTCTCGACATATCCCATTGTTTGAATACAAGCAAACTACTACTTTGCGTTACGTATATTCGAGAGGTCATCTTGACTGCCAAGGTCTGCTCTTACAGTCCCATGCCACTTAGAATAAGACGCCAAGGGTGGGGATACCGGTTCCCCCACGTTATACATGGCCCTCCCCTTCTAGGTGGTGGGCCCATTTTTATCCCAGAATCGCCTCTGTACAGCCAAGGCCACAAGAGGGAAGACGCGTAGCCTCATGCCGCCCAATGTTAACTAGCTGTTTTATGCGTTGCCGTCTTCACGGCTTGTGAGAACTTAAAAAACAAATTGTATCGTGCACTTTCAGATATGCTTATGCGACCGTCTGGAACGCTCTTCCGTCCGATATTAGGAAGCCACTGGAGCTATGCACTTAATTTCTTTCGAACTGCTTGTGTTTAGTTTGTTGTCTTTCCTCCGCACCTCCAATTAGCACAGTTGGCTACGTACAGTGCGAAAGAAGTTCAACATACATGGAAGTCCAGCAGCAACGTGTGTATATATTTTCCTCACCCGTAAGTGCGTGCTATTGTGTCGCCGAGGCGTGGATATAACTCACCTCGTTTCCGTGGATATTGCCCACATATCTGAACTCCGGAATACCGATGGTGTGTTTTTGTGGGTGTTTTCCGATCGCAATGACCCACAGAGTCACCCCTGTTGGGAACAAATGGATGCTACAATTAGCTTGAAATAATGATTATGACAGTGATTGAAAATAGCGGTGATGATAAATGTTACAGAGATGATGATGAAAATGATAAGGAAGATGGAGATAACGATGTTGCTGATGCTAAAGATACTGAAAATGACTAAAAATAGTGATTACAAAGGTAACTATGCATTATGCGAATAACCATTTGTTTTTACAAATAATCTAAATACAATAGTATGATAAGACGTGTTTAAGTGTCAACTACATAAAAAGTGCACAAAAAAATTAAATTATTTGACATTGAATGAAAATAAAATACATTACAAAAATAAAACAACAAAGACGATGACAGTTACTGTGGCTGATGATGACAGTCGCCAAAGACAAAAATTATAACCAAGGATGATGGTGACGATGGAATCGTAGAAGATGACAGTTGTCATGTATGGTATCGACCAATGATGAGGACGATGATGATGGTGAAGACGATCAAACGATGATGACGAGGATAATTGCAGCGGGAAGCTAAAACTACGTTAGCTGTCGACGGGGCCACACGTCTCTCACCTTGCGAGGACCTGCCGATGCTGTACACGTGGGTGATGTTGGGGAATTTTCCGTTCACCTCCTTCAGGTAACGCTCGATGTCTGCGTTACTGCGGTAGCCAGAGTCCAGGGAGCCGCACAGGGCGCAGAGCAGCAGCAAAAGCAGAACGCTTCCAACCGGCACGCTCGCAGGCGATGACGCCACAGCCATCATCGGTCAGTCAGCACTGTGCAGAGCCACGCACAAACACCGCCTTGTTGTGAAAACCCAACGCATAACATCCCTGGGTTTGATCTTCCACGAAGCTGCGCATGTGCCACCCCCCTAAACCGCATCCACTGCACCAACCATGACAGTAGATGCGGATATCTGATGCACAGTGTACGACTCTGGTCAATCAGAACAGATAGTACAATGTATCATGACGCAATGCCCCGATCCACAAATATTAAGAAGACATCACAGCGATACACTACTACGCTGCTCCTGACGCGGTTACCTGGCTTGACCACCTGAATGTGAAATTGTAGTTGTTACTCTGCATCTACATCAGCTATACGAAAGAAGAGCCACGAACGGCATGCGATGACATGAGCCAAGAATGTTTTAAAGATATCATCCGCAACGATCAGCTGAGATGATTAGTTTAAAACAGCACAAAATAGCGAAAACCTGAAAATTCCGTTAAATTCCCGACATACTTTCTCGGTACGCGATAGACCCGCACCAATCTTCTAATCGACAATTAGAAACCAGTTCCGTATGTTAAGACGATGTATCAATCGATGGTGGGAGGAATCACTTGTAACGTTTATACTTTGATAGGCAGGTGGCACTGAACGTTAAAACTCGGAAGCAGAGGGAAAATGGGTCACACTCGGAGCAGGAGGTCAACCAACAACAATGCTTACATGGGGTCAAGTTGGGAAATAAACACACGTGATAATATTTTCACGAGCGTTTGCTTATTATGAAACACGTCGCCGCAGAACACATCTGGTAAAGTGCAGGACTTGTATTACACTGCGCAGGTGTTGTATTATGCTGTGTCCTGTTAGCATTGTATTTTTAGATATTACTTTAAATGTCTCCTTATACAGGCTGAAGATAAGGCCAGAAAAATGAGTATTGCTTATCCATACCAGGGGCATTCATTTACCAATAATCTCCCATGCCCGATTATTTTTCTGGGGCTGTGAACACGTTGGGAGTAATCTCCATATATATAAAAGGCAAAGTTGTGAATATGTGTATCTGTTCAAAATGTTTAGCGTACTTCCCGACAAACAACAAACTGGAAATTTCCCATGTGGGTACTTTCCAGACCGTACACCATGCAAAAATTATAAAAACACACTTTTTTTTAGTGGGGGGGGGGGGGGAGCTCAATAATAATTTTTTGCAAGGCAAGTGAGCTGTGACGTCAAATCTGTCACGTGACCCTCGCATGTGGAAGCGTAACGCATTGTAGTGTAGTGGTTACTCGGCGACCTGAGTTCGATTCCCGCTCACAGCCACCACGATTATTTGAACCGGTCCTGGGCCTCCCCTAGGTCGACTCAGCCTCAAACGAGTAACTGCTGTGGTGTGAACATCGCCACTGGGGAGACAAAGGCGGCCGGGCGTGGTGCTGGCCACCCACCCCCTCGTGTGCCGTGCCGGCCTTCATAGGTGCTCGCTAACAGCACTTGCCCCTGTTAAGTCTGTTAAGGCTATATGGGGGATCTTTGTCTTTATAATGTGTGTGGGTGTGTGAGCAAAGGTTAAGTTATAATAGGGAGCACAGCTGTCAGATCACAGGCTACACGGGGGATCTTTGTCTTTATCCTGTATGTGGGGGGGTGGGGCAGCGACTGTGCTACGAACCCGGCGACCCGAGTTCGATTCCCGCTCACGGCCACCACCGGTGGCGATTATTTTAACCGGTCGTGGGCCTCCCCTAGGTCGACTCAGCCTCAAACGAGTAACTGGTGTGGTGTGTGAACATCACCACTGGGGAGACAAAGGCGGCCGGGCGTGGTGAATCCAAGTCCCGAGTAGTACAGCTAGTCATACATATAACCTGAATTAGAAGTCAGAATCCCTAGCAAAGTTTGTACGGAGTATTTTTTGTTAGGATACTAATTAAGAGTTCCTGGTCAAAATGCATTTATTTTGTTAAATAGACGTTTCAAGCGCTGGACTTGTGTGTTTCACTTGTAGGCCTTGTTTTATTTGAAAACGGGAATTTTTTACATTTGGACAAATAAGTTATTTAACACCCCTAGCTATACAGTACATGACATTCATCTTTCACATCACCAGAAACTAACCCACGTTCTTGGTTCCTGCTGGTACAAACAAACCGCAAAGTGGTTCCTGAAACAGGAAGTAACTTCAGATTAACACGTAAGTTTTTGCAACCAATGTTATTCATAATAAAGGTTTTTTTTAGTTAGATCGCGTAAGTATAAATGTGTCCTAACCCTCCACCACCCGACACAGCCAGTAAGGTTTGTCACGTAAACAACGCGCCAATTAGTTTACTACTTTAGCCCACCGGTGTGTCGTCGTTATCTTGCTCTGTTTAAGACCGAAAGCGAAAAAGGCATTAAAATATTAGAGAACACGTGAACCAAATTGAAACACCAAAACACATTTACATACATATTCCACACATGAACTGGTAAATTGAAAATTGCAACAAAACTCCAGCCTGCGATTCAAACGACGCAACTTAAAACAAAAACAAGCGAGTACCAACTACACCGGGCTCGTGACCTCGGCAAAAGACAACTGGCTCTTATCAATGCAACCCAATTATTCCGACCAAAAAGCCACCCATCAATTCCTCAACAGTGACCACAACTGACGCCGAATATAAAACTCACCGCGCCGCCACCACCGCCACCACCGCCGTCACCGCCACACGGAACCATCAATCCAGCCGGTCAAGCTGTCACATGGGCGACGTGAACGCGCAAATGAGCATCGTCAGGGGTTGCGCAAACACGGGACATTTGTGTGCGCGTGGGACGTGGGTCTACGTCACTTTTGTACAAAGTCTCATTGAGCAAGACGCGGGGTGTGGGCGCTGAGCCACTCGCCGTCTTCACTCGTCGGTGTCAGCGTTGGGGCGATGACGCAATCGCCTCTGAACCCCGGCAGGGGGGTGCGAAAAATCATTCGAGGGTTGTTTGGGTTACTTGGTTTGAGTTGTGGTCTGGCGCAAAGCTGTTGCATTGCCTCAAATGGTACCGGAGGTTTACGTGGTACATTAAGTTCAAAACTCCACACGCACAACTCGTATATCTGTGCTATATACAGAACGCCTCTTATCCGTCGTGATATGGTGAGCCGTAATCGCCGATCCTATGACACGCAAATTTACTACGCTCATGCGCGACAAAAAAAAACGCGGACGATTGGAGTAATTTGCCGCGCAGCGACTGTTACCCGTGAAAAATATTGCAGGTAATGGGATGCCGTTCCATGGTAAAGTTTCCAAAAATAAGAAAATTAGGACCGCGGGTAATTGGAGTTTTTGCAGCATTCATGGATAATAGGTTTCATAGGTAATAGGGAAACAGATAAAAGGAGTTCTCCTGTACAATGCATTTGAAGTTGAATATGAATTTCAACTTGTAACACACACAGTGTTCGCTCACTTTCGAAGACAGAGAACGACTCGGAGGGCCGAGGATGAACCACAGGCGAGTGGGAAAGGAAGCCACATGGTGAGCCAGTGCCAAATTCCACCACCCTCAAGCTCTGCAGTCCACGATATACTACTGTTGTCTGCCAATTAATGAGTGTTAACAAAATGTGACATCTCAAGACGCTGTACAGAAACAGTGGGCATATTTTTTTTGAGAGAGTCAGTCATGGGTAGAGGAAAAATGGATGTCCAACGTAAAGGAATAGAAATAGTACATCCGAAAGACTTGACATGGGCATCATGCATCATCTCCAAATATATAAAAGGCAAAGTTGTGAATATGTGTAACTGTTCAAAATGTTTAGCGTACTTCCCGACATGCAACAAACTGGAAATTTGCCATGTGGTTACTTTCCAGACTGTACATCATGCAAAAATTATAAAAATACACTTTTGTTTTTTTTGTTGGGAGGCGGGGAGCTCAATAATGCAGATTTTTTGCACGGCAAGTGAGCTGTGACGTCAAATCTGTCACGTGACCCGCGCACGTGGAAGCATAACGCATAGTAGTGTAGTGGTTAGCGCGCTGTACATGTGTCTGTCTGTGTGTATGTGTGTATGTGTCTGTGTGTGTGTCTGTGTGGAAGCGTAACGCATTGTAGTGTAGTGGTTAGCGCGCCGCGCTACGAACCCGGCGACCCGAGTTTGATTCCCGCCACCACCGATGACGATTATTTTAACCGGTCCTGGGCCTCCCCTAGGTCGACTCAGCCTCAAACGAGTAACTACTGTGGTGTGTGAACATCGCCACTGGGGAGACAAGTCCCGGGCGAAGCCGGGTAGTACAGCTAGTGGTATATAAAAATAATAGCTGAGGGTCGTAACCTCGGGCCAGAGGACCGAGGGCCTGATTCTGAGTCATGGGTCAGGAATTTGTTCAAAAAATCGGAGGGAGACATCGGGAATTAATGTTAAAATGTAGTGGCTAGGCAGCTGCTAAGTGTAAAAAGCAGAAAGACATATGGGAGGGTTGCTCCTTTGAGGATATTAATCTATATAGAGCTCAATTGCGAGAGCATATTGGAGTGTACTAAATCTGCTGAGCGTGATGTAAAAATCGCAGAAATGGCCAGACTGGACTCGTCAGTTATACAATGATGCTGTCGAGATAAGTGGCAACCAAATAATCCTAATGGTGGGGGGGGGGGGGGTTTCCGGTCAGTCAACAATTTTGCCATTCAAGTGCCACACGGCCAATGACGAGCGAGAAAAGTCGTGCTGTTGAAAAATACCAAAGCACTCACTGAAAAGCCAGCGAGTCCTTTCAATGCCTCCATCTACACTTTGTCTGGCGAAAAGCCATATACAACGTCTTGACTATACACACATGGTGGCCTGAAACCTGGTCTCCTGCAAGTATCTTTCAAGTTGTTATTATAGCAAGAGTAAAATACTCAACAGAAGAAGCCCATTGCTGGTTCTCAGCTAGTGGTTCCACATTCCACATTCCCATAAGTGGGGGTTCCCTTTCTCCATCATCAGCAGCACCCACGCTCAATCCACTGCTGGATGGAGGCACCCGCAAGCTGTCGCCATCTCTGACAGTCTCTTGATGCCACAATCGAGCTAGCAACGGCACGCCACCCGAATTCATCGCTGCATCTCTGCGGTAATGTTGTTAACTTCCCACAAAAGTGTACCCTTTTTTTCAAAAATTAATGCAAACCGACACACCTGATGACGACCGTTTGTGTTATGGTCGAAACGTCGTGAGAATTTTTATTGTTTTATATGTATTTTATTATTTCCCTTCAACGTGACTTTACCGAAAGAGCTAAGAATATGTACCCTTTTTATAGACCCTGGAAGATAGGATGCTAGTCTGAGTAAATCCCTGATTGAGATGTGAACTCTTGGCTTTTTGATTCAACCACCGTCGCACCGAATTTAGAAACAAATACCAGAGTAAACTATTTTTTTGCTGTAACTTTCTGAGCCGCCTCCCCTACTGGACATCTGTGACAAAGAGCTTCATAGCTTATCGGATTTATCCAGGATAAATAAAGATTCTGATTTTAATTAAACAAATCACATAAGTGGCATAGCATCTATAAAGTACATATATAACACAGGAAGATGTGTCTTTAAATTGAAGGAGATTCCATTGATTGTGGATACTGTACTGGGAAACATCGTTGGCCGTGTTTTCTTCAAGTAGTGCAAGGCCAAGAGACAGAGGCCGACACGTGTCAACATCAGCTGACACAAACGAGCAAAGCACTAGGGTCAGAAGAGGAATCGCTTGTAAAAGCAGTCATTTTAGAATGCACAAAATAAACACGCCGCTTCAAACGTAAACACATGACAGCACTCACTTAAGAATATAACTTGAAAGGATTGTTTTATTTGTAACCTGTGAAATTAAAGTTGTAATTATTAACGGAGCTGGATTCAGCCTCGTGCACTTGACTGGGATGATGTGTTGAACATGGGCGTACAACACAGACAAAGAGAGGAACTATGCCTTTTAAGATTAAATATTTACCAAACTATACAATATACCCTATACAGTACTGTACTTACGTGGATAAAAGACTGCTTTGCCTGACGTATTGTTTTTATTTAAGACATCATTTCTTGCTTTATCAGACATCATATGCCATGAGGTGAATGATTCCCCGTACTCATAACACATGGAAATAAGTTACAAGTGTTGTATTTTGTGTTTGAAAACTATCGTGCCCGTAAACAGAATGTAAAAAAACCCACACACAGAACAAGCACTAAAAGGGGCCCAAATTGCATCTATTTAATAAACATTCCCCTTCAGGGTCGATTTTTCTCAAATATAAACTTTCTGAAAGGAAATATTTAACGCTTACACACAGTATACCCTTGGTATACATTTCCATATAATGCTGAACATTCGGTTCATATGCTGCACAGGTATATTTTCCCATCAGAGGTTTTTGGGTGAGATCGTGTAAATATTAATGTGTTGTTAATCCCAACACCACTCCACACAGCCAATTAGTAAGGTTTGTCACGTAAACAAAACGTGCCAATTTGTTACTACTGTAGTTCCACACACCAGTGTGTTGGAGAGTAAACCCACAACATTTACAATTTGAGTACAACGTTTCGCCAGTAATTACGAGCATCATCAGGCAACAGCCAGAGTTGTGGAGAAATCCTCCTGTTTCGTTCTTAAATAGAGGTATAAATGTGATGTCGCCACTAGTGAGCCAATTTGGTGCAATGGCGGGCGGGGGGGGGGGTTAATGTATACATATAAATTACCACAGATATCCATTACCGGTTGGATTATTCATAACCCAATGTGTATTTTACTTAAAGTTACCAAATTTCTTGGAGGTTCAACCGAGTCGCAGCCCCGCCTATGTTTACATAGCCACACCCACTCAGCCACTAGCGCCGAGCAGAGCGAGTCCATTCGCTCCTTCTGATGCTGGCGCTGCCCACTCTTCTACCGGCACCGCCCCCACGAGTCTGGACATCTGTGAAAAAAGAGCTTTATGGCTCATCGGATTCCTCCAGTGTAAATCAATATTATGTCACATAGCCTTTTTCCCCACATCATTAGACGAGCATGAGGCTGTAACATATTAAACCAGTGACAAAAGGCCATTTTTTTAAGCTTTAAGACACGAGCAGAGCCTTTCTTAAACCAGGACTGTCATGCCGAAACCAGACCTTATGGTAGCTTTAACTTTATCTGTAAAATGGGTTATCTGTACATTTGCAGAGTACATAACAAGGCAGCAAATATAGTACAGTACAGTAATTAAAGATAAGAGATAGAGGAAGAGTAGAAATCATTGACGAATGCACCGGTGTGCAGGACAATGGATCGTTACTTTGCCATTAATCATGAACTTTGAAGCCTTAAAGAGTGAAAAAAAAACCACACTCGCTTATGCTCGAGTATACGGCGATAGTGGCATAAATGTGACTAAGATGGTACAGCTGCATCAGCTTTTTCAACACATTCAATCTGAAAAAAGAAGCAGAGTTTTTACCCTTTCTGGCAATAAAACGGGTGTGGGTTGGCCTTTTGGCGTTCTCTGGTCTGACACTGGTTAAACTAGGCCCTAAAGAAGGCTCTCTCTGGTGTAGGTCAATCACAAAGACAATGCCATATATTATCAGAGCATGTTAGTTTGCATCTTCACCACAAGCACATGTGGTTAACGCAGACTTGATTCCTTGCGAAAGGTTTCTATTTGGTGTTTGAACATCTTTATACCTATTATTATAATACTTTGTGCACTGTAGTG